ATGATGATGAAGATGATGATGATGGTGATGATGAAGATGGTGATGGTGATGATGATGATGATGAAGATGATGATGATGATGATGATGATGAAGATGATGATGATGATGATGATGATGATGAAGATGATGATGATGGTGATGATGAAGATGGTGATGGTGATGGTGATGATGATGATGATGATGATGATGATGAAGATGATGATGATGATGAAGATGATGATGATGATGATGGTGATGATGGTGATGATGATGATGATGGTGATGATGATGATGATGATGAAGATGATGGATGAGCATGATGAATGTGATGGTGACGATGACGAAGGTGATGATGAAGGTGATGATGATGATGGTGATAGTCCTGATGATTTTGATAATAAAGGTGATGAAGGTGATGATGGTAATAAAGATGATGGTGATGATCATGATAATATTGATGGTGATGATGATAATGATATTTGCACTGTATCAAATACAGATGCATATATTGAGAACATCTAATAAACGGTTCAATTGCACAAACATTTGGACATGATTATAACAATCTTATTAGATGCACATTTTATAAATATTTAAAGAATGTTATGAATAATATTCACGATTGATGGAATAATAGCATGTATTTTATCACGATACCTCGCTATACAAGTCATGGATAGTACGATACTCTCGACAGGGAATGGTTTGATGAGGCATTTTAACCCAATTAACAAGAGTACACGATTAAGTGGGGAAATTTTCTATGAAATTAAAGAGGTGATAGTTAAAATCTGACTCCAATACTTGACAGGAGTTCCCTTTTATGTGGGCACTACAGTATAAAACTAAATTGTCTTTCGTAATATTTTTTTTTTTTTCAATTTTCTATGCCTTACCTTTTCAGAGGCAAAATCCATAAAAGTGTATTTTGAAGAACGTAACTTTCAAATCAAAAGTTATTAATTGTGTACTTTCAAGTAAAATAGCTTAAAAGAATGAACAAAAAGGAGGATAAGTAATTCCTTGCATGCTTCATTTCAGTGCTTTCTCGTATTTGAGCATTGACCAACTTTAAGTCCATGGTTTGAGCGAGTATACCTTTAGATGTCACTTGGCTCAAGGCCTACACCTCTGCATCGACGGATGTATCAGTTAAAATCATTCTCAGTAATACTAATAGGAAATACTTATAATAACCCTCATTATCGTCTATTTCGTCGCCAAAAACTATAACTATGATTATTTAGGAAACATATATTGCAACTTTATTGTTGAGACAAAGGGCAGGCGTGAGGATGACGTCGTCCAAAGGTGTATACAAAATCCTTATAAAGTAGAAAGTTGTTAGATTTGGAACAGATAACACCCCAAGCACGCCATGTGTTCTCTGTTGCGCTGTCCATCATCTATTTAACTAATCTTCACACCGCAATTTGTATTAATTGCACCTGTTGTTCTAGATTCGTCATGGAAGAACTACGTCACAATAGGCGGAAGGACAGATATTTTACCATTCAAGAAAAATGAAATGTGGCATGATTGGGATAGCTGAATCGTTCGTATTTTGTCTACAATAAAAGATACTTATTTTAACCTCTTTTGTGTCTGGCGAATCTCGGACACAACTATTTACATAGATGCGCAGCAATCATGCACTGCAGAGCCGGGGGGGGGGGGGGGGGGGGGATCGACATCAAGGTGTTTTCCCCTCTCATTTTCAAGTGTCACGTAGCTTACATTTTCAGATACTTTATTTCCTGACTTATTTTTTAAAAATATTTCTGACCTATTTCGTTTCCGCTGTTGGTCATCTCTCCTTCCCCCTCACTTTATATTCATTTCTGTTCCTTTCATTTTTCGATTTCTCTCCTTCTTCTCCTTTCCCATATGTCATTCGTACTTTTGTAATTTTAAATAAATGTTTCTTTCTTTTCTGTCTCCCATGGTGTCGACAGCAAAGTCGACAGTTAACACAAAATTGTGGGCACTTGCCCTCCGTCCCTTCAACAATGTCCCTGTAAAATGTCCAAAATATTACCGCAGCATCATTCTACTTATTCTATTTATTCCTAGTTAACATGTCATAAAACTGTCTCTTTTTATGTATCTTTCCACAAAACAGCGCCCAAAGTGAGACACAGCATACTTTTTATATGACATTATGACTTATGATTAGTATAGGCACAGCCTCGAGAAAGACACGAGAGGATTTGCGGTGAGTGTCGAAAGACGATTCGCATTTCGGTTTGTGCTCACTTCAAAAGTGACACCAACAGGTGTTAGTGACATGCTGTCAAAATGATCTTTACTATAAATTATATTAGTTTGTACTGACGTCAGTTTATTGATTTTCATATTCAAACACGTCCAAAATATAATAAACAGTGGCTAGGGTCTGATCAGAATTGTGAATTGGGGGAAATGGGAGAAATTTAGCATTTCCTTGTGCATTTGAAGTTTTTTTTTCCTGGGGGGGGGGGGGGGAGGGCATAATCGGCTCGTGCCCCTTGTGAAACCAATGTGACCTACATTGAATGCACAAACGTATATGCCTCCTACATGGGCTCTTATTTCCCTTTGCAAATGTTTGACCCAAAGGCATAGATCTGAAAAGAAAATTTGCATCTTAAACTGAAATATATCAGAACCTGTTTCGAAATCGTGTTCTTCAAAACGAATCAAATCAATAGTAAATATGAAGAGACCTAGGCCTATATACTAATGAAATCAATCAATTTCCTTGTGTGGACATTCTTCTCATTTGCTTTTAACACATTGACTACTGGAACCTGGTGGTCCCTGTATTAAGCCTATGGGAATGTGAGAATCCAGTAGTCAATGGGTTAAAGGGAAAGTCCACCCTGAAATTAAGTTAGTTTTAATAGGAGTAGAAAAATGAGAGAAACAAGTCAGTGAAAGTTTGAGCAAATTCCGATTAAAAATAAGGAAGTTAGGATTTTTGAAGTTGTGATCAATCAAACACAAATTGGCAACTCTATGACGTATCATGCGAGCTCAACTTCCATTTGCTCAGTACTAAAAAAATCTAAAATTTTCATTTTCCCTCAAGAAAAATTTCAACCATACATGCACCCTAAATATAATAATTGCAAATATGTTTCTATACTCCCCCTGCAAGGAACAAATATATATTCCGTCATCAATAACGAAGAAAACATGATTTTATGGAATATTATGCACAAAGCAAATGAAGGAGAGCTCGTATAATAAGTCACAGAGTTGCCAATTTGTATTTGATTGATCACAACTTCAATAATTCATAACTTTCTTATTTTCATTCAGAATTTACTCAAACTTCCACTCACCTGATTTTCTTATTATTCTGCCTCTATCGAAACAAACTTATTTTGGGGGTGGACTTTCCCTTTAAGTATATAAAGCCTAATGCTCACAATTACTCATGCTCTCTCATCAATGTTTACAAACATGAAATCGGAAGTGAGGGATCGACGTAGGATGAGGATGACGATGAGGAAACAAAAAACGTTTAACCTCCTTCTTCGTACGGGCCTACCAAGCCCCTGACAATTTCCGTCACCATAAGCGGAGCAATGAAACCCTTCCGGAATACGGAAACTCAGTAGTGTTGGTTTAGCCATTGAAGGGGGAGGGGGGGTAACGGACTAATAAGGTAGATCAAATCTGGTTTATATCTTCAAATTCTTTACCTTCTTTTTCGTACCTACAAGCCGGGCCTTGACAATTACCGGCATCATCACCGGAGCAATTCGGAAGTGACCGAACACTCAGATTGAGAGGCGCGTATAGCGATGGTCCAGCCATACGGATAGGGGGGGGGGGGGGGGTACTTATGTCGTGAGGAAGGGGGCATCGGACTCACAAGGTAGATGACATTAATGTGAGAATATACAAGGACATTGGGTGAGGGTGGAGGTGAAAATGGGTCATACCATCTTCTTTTGATTATTGTCTTCTCTCACTCTCCCTTTCTTTCGCTCTCCACAAGATAATTAATGATGTTCCTAAAATTACCTCAAGGGCAATTTCAATGCCCTATTTTATAATAACCCGTGTAAATCATACTCATGTTACGTAATATATCACTCTTTAATGTTCACACATTTCACTAAGTGTTGTACAAGGCTATTCAAATTGGAATTTCGAAAGTCCTCACTATTGTGTTTCTCTTTCTCTAACTTTACCCTTTTCGCAATTTGGAGAGGGCACGTGCCCCTGCCCCTCCTTTTGATACACCCCAAACTCTAAGCACGTGCATTGCACGAATCTACTAGCCAACAAGACGCGATGTCGATCGCTGTGTCTTCAAGGCTGGGCGAAGTTGATATCGAGGTGTCCAATTTTTGCAGACCATCGAAAATTATTCTCACTTGTATGAGTCAGTGGTTAGTTAATATACTTCAATCTAGAAGTAAATCAGGTCGAGGTGGAGTAGCAATGTAACACACCTGTATATTAACAATTAAGTACTTCCGGTCGTACGAAGCTTTTCGAAAAGGAAGGGTATGTTGTAATTAACCAAAACATGTGTGCACATAGGCTGAAATCTCTCTACAAACACGAAGGGGCAACTCTTAAATTATTTAATAAGCTACAAAAATGATTAAAAAATGAAAAATACTGTTATATTTTTAAAAAGGGTAATCAGCTAATTCCCTGCACATGTTTACTTATTATTTTTTTTTTTTTGAAAGGGGTGCGATCACATCCACTTCACCCCTACTTATTTGTGAACATGAAAGTTCTCGAGAAACAATTATACTTTCTTGGCCTAGTCGCCGTGCGTGTCCTTGTAATGGGCCTCAAATTATTGTTAATGACTTGGGGTTTATGAATCATGCGCACGGCTCTCAGGGCATCATCTTGCCAGCGCCACCGGGAAATCTTTTGGAGTATTATTTGCCGTGGAGGAAAACATATATTCAGAGAGATTTCCTCCTCCCCTTTTCATCCTTCGGTCTCCGAGCATTTGATTCCATTTAAACACTTTAAAATATGACAGCTGGTTATTTCGATATTTCTTCTTAAATGGACAAATTAATGAGACGCATATGCATTTCAAAGACGACATAAAGTCTCAGGGGATTCAAAATGTGTAATTTCAAATATTTACCTCTTTTACATGTATATTTCTATTTTATGAAATATGTGAAAGCGGTCAAAATTCGGACACTGCACTAGCTCGCTAAATGTAAGAAATATCAAATCAATGACGTCAAGAGAGCCGAAAATAGCTGGAGATAGTCCCCTTGCGATTGCAACCCTGTGTCAGACAGGTAGAAATTGTCAGCATAGATCTAGATAAAGAGAAGTGAATGTGGACATCGCACATGCGCAGTGCTATCTGTTTCGATGTTGAATCATCAGCGAACTGATAAACCTTCACGAAACTGAAAAGGGGATGTCCCCAAAAATGTGCTGCGGCTTTCACAGCTCATTCATTTAAAGTGACAAGGCCTTCACGGTTGTTTGCTTGTGGGTCAGATTAAAGTTTTCAGTAACACTGAACAGACTTTAACTTGTGTACGTCATCGTCATCATCTCCATCTTAACTACTTGATGGTGGTATATGACACTTTAGTCGAGTTTACAGAGCTTTATTTTGTCGGATGTTTCTGAACGAAAGTTGAGCTAAATACAGTTGTTTTTAAGACCGGTTGCATCGCAGTTAAACGGGCTCTACCTTTCTTTAATCTGTTGGATGAAAAGTTTGGATTAATAGATTGAGATACCATACAGCTGCGATTGTGGATCAGAAATAAACCTCTGATATATACATTGACTCTTCCTCAAAAGCAAAGCACTCTTGGAAATGTTAAGTCGATATTTCTGTCATTTCAACTAATCCCTCTGTATTTCAAAAAGGTGTGTTCCCTGAGGTGAAGACACTTAAGATTAACCAATGACGTTATTGAGATAGACAGAGAACAGTGAAATTATCTACCCCCAACAGGCAACGGAATCAATTTCCCGCCAAATCATCGCTCATTTTTTTTGCAGACGATCGCTGTGTGTTAACCCCACGTGCTGTCATCGGGGATTTGGCGCGACGGAAGAAGTGTAAACGAGTTAGCCTGGAGGCTTAAACTCAAGATGCAACGAATAAGCTCAAACTGTTGATCCGTTTCACACCGTTATTGACAAGGTGAACGACGTGACAGTTGGAAGTCCTCTTCGTGGTATTTGTTCGACTTTCCTTTTCACTGTGTAAATTTTTGTGACATTTAGAAGCATTTTTAGAGATTAATTTGATGCCAATGACAGACTCTTAGATGATTCATCCAACCTCCATCAGGAATACATTTCCGTGATCCTCTGCATCTTTTGCTACCGGGTATCATTCCGCGTCTTAGCATCTGAACCGATAAAATAAATCCTCTTCAATCCAGCGACGGTTATTATGGAATGTTGTGCCGACGGACAAATCTAAAGATCACCGAGCTCTGACGTCAATCTCATGTTCACCTCAACGAATTTACTGCAACATTAAATCAACAAAGATCTATGATTTTGATTTCTAATGATGATTTAAGAAGACTGTGATTATAAGGGACGTCGACCCTATATATTTCCGAGTAAATTGGCTGCTCTTCATATCTTAATATTGCTCGTTGGCAACAAAATGAGTCTTTTTGATGCAAATAACACACTGGAATTGGAATCGTCTTTGGAATGACGCAACGCGTCTAGAACTCATAGCATTCACGTCCTCGAGGGTATCTCCTATTCTGTATGAAGAATCGAGTCTTGGTCTGGCGCCTCTGATTGGGAAAAACTGCGGAAATCAATATACAAATTTGATTAATTAGAGTAATCACAGATTTTGTTCGTATCTATATCAAGAGGAAGCGTATAGTTCTCGTGCGGTCGTTGAAGAAAACGAATAACTGTCCAAACGTGCCAAAGACTTCAGTACTATTCTGGAAGGACCTTGATACTTTTCTGGAACGGAACATCGTATCAGTTTTGAAATTTTGTTTTCATTGAAAAAAAAGAAGATTGTGTACAGTTTAAGCTCGCATGGTCTAGTTGCCGAATATACCCTCTCCATATATTATACGCAAATACAATTTGTGATTACCTTATTTTTGCGAGGCCCTCGACAACCGATAATTTGAAACCATGGGGGAAGAGGTGCGCTCTGGATGTGTTGATGTCTTTGTGAAGGTCTTGTGCCTCATTGTACTCGTAACACAAAATGCTCTCATTGATTATTACCTGATCCAGTTTGGAAGCGGGACTGGTTTCAGACGAGGTTATATCTGGATCATCTGTGACAGCCTGGTCTTGATCTTCTGGGCTGTTGCCTTTGTGATGGTTCGAATCCGTGCAAAACAACCCTATCCGGAAATCCCCAAAAAGGAAAGGCATATACCACAGGAGCTTCCCTTTGCATACTGCTCGTGGCTGATATACGCCGGGGTACTCATTGCCAAGTTGGTGAAGATCTATAACAGCAAGGATCACCCGCAGATCTTCTGGTGGCTGTCGTCGTCCGACATGTTGACGATCGCCGTCTCGATGTCGGGTCTCATCTTCATGTTACTCGCCTACAGTCACCACGAGGACGTCGACAATGCGAAGTATCGTCTTCAGATACAGAAGCTAGGCACCGTCGTCGGCCTGGCCATATTGGACACCACTGACCTCCTCGATATGCTGCACGAAGTTGAGTCAAACGCAACACTTCCGTTTCATCTACGGGCCGCCATCTTAGCATTCGGGTGCATCTGCATTGTACTTCCGGTGTTTCCGCTCTTCGCGCTGCGTCTCATTGCTGCCAAACGGAGCGCGCACAAGCGGAACTCGGAATCGTGGGAACAGGTCTTCCTTCTGAAGAACGTCCTGTTCATGCTCCTCGTCGACATCCCGTACTTCGCAATCCGATGTCACCTCTGGCTCGATTACGGTATGTCGGCGTCGGTCTTCCTTACCAAGAATCTCATCATGTTCCTGAGGGGAGCTTTCGATCTTTTGCAGGAAGTTAAACTGTGTAGTAGTACGCGAGATAAAAAGAAAAACAGGCCTTTGTTAGAACTCGGACTGGTCGTTCGATTCAACAAGTAGAGAAGCAATCCTTTATGACAACTATGGACACTATTTTTAACTGATTTGAACTATTTAAAAAATCCAATGTATCGGTTTAATTGATTTTGGAGATTTAAATCACTGATGGTTTTTAAGATGATTCAAGAGACTGGACTCGATATGACATCATTTTCTGGTAGAGCCAGATTACCCGAAGTTCATATCAATGAAGAGATATCGATAGTTGTACCGCTAAAAGGTGGGAAAAGAGTCATGTCTGATTGTTTGTGAAAACGGTCGACGGCAAGACGATGATAAAGAAGGAATGTATAAAACAATGTGCCTCTCTTTAAAAAAAAATCTCGTCACGGGAATTTTAAACTTTACGCTAGTGTTAATCTCTATTTAGAATGATATTGACAGTGGTGTATCCAACATTGCCGAGGTGTAAAATCGAGTTTGATCAGACATCAAATTTCGTTTACCATGTGAGGAGCAAAATACCTTTTGATCGAGTTTCATGAAAATCCCATTGAATACAATAGTTCTACCTCAGTTTACCCTCTATTTTTCCTGCTTTATTTTCATATAAAATGTTTCTTCTTCTTACGTTGATTCTTCTGGTTTTCGAAATACTTTTCAAAAATTGTTATGTACTATGTTCCTTGTGTGTTTCTTGTCAACATGTGCCACTGTGTGAATGATTGGGATGTTTAGGTCTGGATGCAAAAGTTAGGCGTGTTACATTAAAACAAAATCTCAACCCCCAAGACAATATGGAAATTGTCTACAAGAGAAAGTCGTATTTTCCGGTAGGTTACTTTTACTTTATATCTATGTATTTTGATGGTTCATTTCAATTTCAATTTTACTTGCCTTGTTTTAAAAGATTCTCTTCAAATTCCACATGTTCATGCATGTGAGATATCTGCTGTTTGATTATAAAACAATATGGAAAACTTTTGAATGAATGCCAGGTTGCCAAGTTTGTTGGTACCCGATATTAGATTTTCATGACAGGGAAAACTCCCACGATGATTGAGCCAAGTGCTATTTTAGATCATGTTTATTACATCAAATTTGCAATTTATATTAAGTTATGATACACATAAATATCAAATGAGCCATCAAAATACATTTTAAGACCATCGAATATTAATGGAGATTGCCAAGAAAATGTATATTGTATTATGTTTGTAAATAGACGAGTGTGAATATTGAGAGAATAAAACTACGATTTACACTTTAGACATTCTTTATTCGTTTGATCATTATTATATCATTCTATAGATGGTTTTAAAGGCATGACTGTATTTTTGTGTAGAGTGATAGATTACATGTTAATTTTCCGCTCGCATGGCTGCTTTTCTTCCCTTTTATATTGTCCGGTTGCCTCTTTCATATCATTCATTCTTGTCATTTTCTGAGATGAGTGCAAGGCGAACAGCTCTATTATATCTTCATTCACTGTATTTCTTAGATTTCACGTTGATATAATAATGTATCATAATTTTTTGATGACTTATCCTAAAGTTTGCACTTTAGTTTTGTTTTCGAAATCTAGGCATTCTGACAGGTATATTATGTGCCGACTGAGAGCCATACGAGCATTATCTCGTATCGTTTATCAATGATTTAGTGCCCTTTTTACTTACATCACACGATGTAAGAAATATTATGCGCTCTGTCCTGAAACTTTACTAATTTGAAGGGGTTAACAGATTAACAAGCAAATCTCCAAACGATGTCAAATCGAAACGAATATCAAGTAAGGATAAGCGAATGGCACAACAGAGGGAGAAAAAAAAAAGTTGGAACCAAAACAAAAAGTCGAAGTGACAACGAGAATATGTTACGCAATAAAAACAGGTTCAATTGTACAGATGCATGGTTTGTGGTTTACAGAGTTAATTGTGGTATGCAAATCTTGGGACAAAGTTATAACCAAATCATCAGGTTCATGATAATCGAATGCACTTCAACATCATACGTGCAGGTGTTGTGAATGCATTATCGCCATGAAAGCTTTCCCGGGGTAGTTTTTTCTTCTTCTAAACATAAGTGCATTGCGTATCAGGATAGTTACCCTCTGGACAATCACCCCGGAAAATTCTCTCCAGAAAACTACCTCAAAGGACAATACCCCCCCCCGGAATGTTACCCCCATTGACAACCACATCCGAGGACAATAACCCCCTTGAAAAGTACCCCCGTGGACAATCTCCTTCACTCCATTGGCTGATTGTCCAAGGGGGTAATTTTCAGGGGGTGGTAGTTGTCCTCGGAGGGTGGTTGTCCTCGGGGGGGGGGGGGGGGGGGTAATTTTCTTGGGGTAATTGTCCCGCTGGTAATTGGCCGGGGGTGGTGATTGCCCAGGGGGTAATTGTCCTAGAACCAGTGCATGGCGTATCCAGCAGAGGGTTTGGCCGGTGTATGTATGCCCCCGGTCTAGTTCTGCATGCTTTTTTTTTTTTAAAGTTTTGACCTTAACCCCCAATGTTTGCGATATATAGTATGAGGCCTACGAGGACATGTCACCCCCCCCCGTCTTCTTGGCAGAGGCAATTGACAATTTTCTGTTGGAAAAAATTGAATTTTCAGAGCTTCATTGACACATAGCGTAAATTGATGACCCTCTAATTTATTGTTACCGTGTACAGAGACCGTCAAACAACACGTGCTGTCTTTATTTTGCATATTAATGTTTAATGTATTTTCTATCGCGATCAAATCTAAGAATATTTTACCAGGTTTCGGGGTGGGGGCGGCGCCTCATGAATCACTTGAAAAACAAATCCTAATTGCTTTCCAAATTCATAAGAATACAATGGTTCTCATTCATTTCTCACACTAGCATGGTCTATAATTCGTATAAGCCGAACCCTTGAAAATTTTAACACGGGACATAAGCCTAATTCACTTTTAAATCCCCGAAACCACCTTAAAATGAAGCGCCCTAAAAATAGCTCATAACCAAATTATTCAATTTTCAGATGCTCACCTCACGGATATGATTGTACTGCAACACGATCCGAGGGCAGTTATCAATCGTCAAGTTTCTTTTCATCTAGGTACCAGTGACCGCTAATAACACCGTCTTACTTATCTGAGTCAATGAAATTGCCGTGGAACCGGGGAGGGGGGGGGGGGGGGGCTTTACTTCCCCACGATCGAATGTCCACACTCCCACCAAAAAGAAGGGAGGCTACAACTCGTACCCCCCCCCCCCCCCACACACACACACACATATCTACGGAGTCGTTAGCTACGTAGAAGCACTGACAAACTTTTATTTCAATATTATTGCAATTTAGAAATATAGAAAAGTGGCATTTGGGGTCTAAATTTATGCCGGTGGCACAATCATGTGATTTTTTTTCTATTTGTACTCGATCTATACTTAAGATATGCCAGAACGGGCTCTTGCTCGGGGGGTAAATACCATTTTTGCCCCCTCCCCACCCTGGTTCCATAGCAAAAGGACCTTTATTATTCATTAACAGTACACATTCTCATACAATAATATTATATAAACATACATGTATACAAAGAAAAGCAATATGCAAACAATAGAGTAAAGATAAAAATAACACATAAAACTTTGAATATGTTTATGAAAAATTTAAAGAGAAGAACAAATACTGCCGTAATACAATTCCTCGTCGGAGTTTCGTTTGGAAATGCCTTTGTGTACTTCCGAAATGCACCGTACTTATAAATCAAGCTGGGAGTGTAAAATCTCTACGGCTGACGAAAAGATACCTCCGATTTATTCGCTTTCCTATATTTAGCTTCTATGATGCGCACTTCTTCACTTTTCATATCTATATTTTCTTCATGGTTAAAGTAATTCAATCAAGAACCGACAAACGGCTTGTTCCTCCGTAATTATTGAAGATAACCTGGACTTCCGACAAAATTACCGCCCTCGTGAGTCCCCACCCAGTGACGCATCGCCTTTCTGCGTAAACCTACTTCTACAAAAGCTTATAATATCAGTTCTAATTAAACAGACAGGGGAAAGCGTGATTATGAAGTGTTTCCGAATGTCTTATATGCAGTTTTGAATTTCCTTTATCACCCCGGGCTCTCCTGGTAGGCCCATTACACGAAAAATATGACATTTTGAATGTTTGATTCATTAACTATGGATAGCACCTGTATGATATCGCGCAGGTGTTTGGGATTTTCAATCCGACTTCTTATTCGTTAATTTTTTTTTCATTTATTTTGAGGGGAAGAGAAAAACAAGAAGATAGAAGTGAGCACAAACATTGAGCAGAATCAAGTGCGAAACATATAAAGAGAGACATATATCTGCAGAGAGAGAGAGAGAGAGAGAGAGTTATGGGAGGAAGGGGGATGCAGAGAGAGTAATATGAGATTAAGAAAGAGGAAAGGGGCAGACTAGAGAGAGAGAGAGAGAGAGAGAGAAAGAGGGAGGGAGGGAGGGAGGGAGAGAGAGAGAGAGAGAGAGAGAGAGAGAGAGAGAGAGAGAGAGAGAGACCGAAACACAAAGAGGCAGAGAGAACAGGAGAAGAAGATGTCTTAGAAAGAGATAGATGGGAAAAGGATTGATATATGAGGAAGAGTCAAGAGTCTGATGGAGATGTTGAGAGGCTAGGGAAGCGCACATTTGAATAAAGTATTTATGAATAGCTTCATATTCCATGGTACACTACCCCTCACTCTCTCTCTATTGCTCTTACTCACAGCATCTCTGACATACTTAACACCACTAACTTATTTCAAATCTTCTTTTTTCTCTCTCTGTCCTTTCTTACACACAATTTACAAGCTGCAAGTAATGGCATCATCTTGAAATCGACCACAATTCATGTTATACCAATCATCACTTCTTCTTTTTTTTCCTTTTATTTGGTACTTTCTCGCTCTCTCTCTCTCTTCCCTTACTTGCAATTTACAAGTTGAAACTTCTCCTTCTCATCTTTCTCCTTCCTCTTATTTTTCCCTTTTCTTCTTCTTCTCTCTCTCTCTCCTTCCTTACTTGCAATTTACAAGTTGAAAATTCTTTTTCCTATTCTTCTTTTTCCTTCTCTTCTTCTTCTCTCTCTCCCTCCCTTATTTACAATTTTCAGGTTGAAAGTAATGGCACCACCTAATATCCATCATAATCCAATGCACTTAAAGCAATGCCTCTCGCCAGACAGGCCTAATCTAATTCATTTCCTGCAATCATTTTCTAACATTGGAACCAACTTTAAAAATGTCCCGAGATATTCAGGTATTTGTACATGTTGGGCAGTTTTGTCTGAGAAAAGCTACAAGCAAAGTCTTCTTTGTAATCTTCTTGTATTTACCAAAACAAGTACATGTAACATTTAAACATATTTTCTTCATATAGCAAAAAAATGAAAATTAATCTTCTTGTATTTACCAAAACAAGTACATGTAACATTTAAACATATTTTCTTCATATAGCAAAAAAATGAAAATTAATCTTCTTGTATTTACCAAAACAAGTACATGTAACATTTAAACATATTTTCTTCATATAGCAAAAAAATGAAAATTAATCTTCTTGTATTTACCAAAACAAGTACATGTAACATTTAAACATATTTTCTTCATATAGCAAAAAAATGAAAATTATGAATTATGAATTTCTGAGACCTTCGGAGAAAAAAACAAAACAACAATAGCAACTATACATTGAATAGTGAATCAAATGCATGAAAAAGAATTGGTTTTTAATAGCAAATAAAAATCAACAATAGAAAATAATACCTAATAAGTGACCATTGGTCTCCCATGGTCCCCTTTTTCTGAAGTTATTAATTGAGAGCTGATTTGATGAGATAACCACCTGTCAGTGACCATGCAGGGAGGTCTAATCCCTCCTGGTTAAACTAGTGCAGAGGAGCATTAAGTGAACTGGCTTTACATCATCTAGAGGAAAAAGATTTGGAATGATCATAGCACATTGACAGGTAAAAAGTGTGCATGGATTTATTTCACCTACTGGTATCATGACTTAAAACTTGTTATATACTTGGCTGCATGCCTCCATCCCAGAGATGGATAAGCATCTAGTGTATTCTATATACTGGTGAGAACCCTGCCACCCCTACACATATCAATCTTGTATAAAAATCGCTGTGTGGCAAAAATGACATCATTCATTTATCATTAAATCATAAATAATCACTATGTAGGTATTCTACAGTTTTTCTAGTTTGTCATACATTTTTTTGAGAAATAATTTAGAAATGTATTTCTCTTCTTACCGTAATCATATTTTTAAATAGATCAATTTATCACTTCATTTGTCCTGCATATAGGCTTCAACAATTGGAAACCAAAGGAAGGGTCAATTAATACTGCTATAAATCTAACTTTAACACAATTGAAGAGACTAGATTACATTATTATCCAACTTCTCACAAAATGTTTGTGTCCTTCAGAGATATGACTGTTGCCACGGATACAAGTCAACATCAACATCACTTATTTGGCACCTCCTCTTTCTTGCTCTCAGTCCTAAACACTCTGATATGAACAGCAGAGTTGCTTCTCTCCCTCGTATCAAAGTCCCCTTCATCGCACAGCGGTTCAATGTCATCCACTAGATCGACGGTGGAAGTGCTGATGGCCACCTGGAGCGTCCCAAGGCTTCGGGACTCCAGCTGCAAAGCAATGTTCAAGGCTCTGTTGATGGCCGCACCAAGACTGTGGATACACACCTCTTTCTCTCCCCCATCAAAGAGTTTCTCACACTGCTCCATCTGGCTGGCGAAGTTGGACTTGCGCGTCACGTAGATGTCGTTCTTGCGCTTGGGCAGCCTGCGGGGCTGACGCTTGCGGATGTTCGCCGTGGAGGGGTTGATCTTCGGCTTGGGCGACTTGTGAGGGCGGGCTGCATCCTTTTGAGGAGCCTGCTGAGCATCACCAGATGCCATCTTGTTCTGAATATTGTACTTTCAAATGTTAATCTTCTGAAGTCAATCTTTCAAAAGCAGCTCATCCACCATGAAGCGTCGATATGAAGATAATTTTGTCGTTGTTTTGTATCTCGTAATCTAATTCACCCTGCATGAAAATGATCGTGAAATATAAAGCAAACATAATGTACGATTCACTAAAAATATGTTTTCTTCTACAAAATGCCCTTTATATCATTTTATGATAAAAGGAATCAAAATTTGAGGCAAACATACAAAATATAAATACATGTATATAATTATACAACCTTAATCGTAGCATTCAAATTTTGAGTCTCTATTACAGAGTGTAAAGAAAATCAAAGGATTTATGGAAAGGGTCTACCTAGTAGTAATTCTTGAACAAAGCAGTACCCTCAACCAATCACCAATCCCCTTTGGAACATAATAGACTCATTTTCAAAACAAATGATTCCATAATGAAATGTGTGCTAGTATTCTTTTCTAAGGAAATCATAACTAAATCAAATAACATTCATTTTTATAATAAACAGAAGCAATGTCTTACCATTAACTCCCAATCAGCATCATTCACAAGCACCAAAATACCAGGCCTCCTGTTCAGATGAAATGTAATAAATTACACACTTAACCATTAAAAGGTATGCACTTATCAAATAAAAACAAAATCAAGACATCAATATCATTTTGCAGAACAAAAAACACATCAGGGCATGTATTGTCACTTGTGATTACTGATTAGCCTAAATATGGCAGGAACATATACATGTGATGTAAGAAGGAATGATGATGTGGAGGGAGAGGAAGAAAAACAGAGAGGGACAGACAGTGTGACACAGAGGAAGAAAGAGAGAGAGAGAGAGAGCGAGAGAAAGAGAGAGAGAGAAAGAGAGAGAGAGAGAGGAGGGGGGGGGGGGGGGGGGGGGGGGGGGGGGGGGGGGGGGAGGGGGGGGGGGGGGGGGTAAGACCACATCATAGCATAATTACTATATCCAGTAAAAAAGGGGGAGCAAGGAGAGTATGTAATTGAACTTAAAACAACATCTCCCTTCAGTTTTCAGTTTATTGTTTTCCATATATATGATACAAATATTACAATATAAAACAATTCTTTGTAATATTAAGAGACTCCAAGTCTTCAACTTTCAAAAGATAAAGATAAATCTTATATCTAAGGAATAAAAAATGTCTCATATAGATTCATCAAATTACCTGTCCATCTATTACAACACCCCCCCCCCCCTTCACGCCCCACCCCTAGCTGTTCTTGCTACAACGTAAAACAAAACATAGGCTTACACTGTATCTCCTTGGATGAATAATTCAGGTCTCTCCTTCAGAAGATTATCTTTAATCCAAACAAGCAACGTTTTGATTGTACCTAAAATCAGAAAAATAAAAATTTGAATGAAATATCAAGACATAAACAACAACAACAATACAATGATAATCTCAAACATCGTTACTCTGCATAATATTAAGATTTGAAATCTATTTTCAATGATAAATAATACTATAAATACCTATATGTTCCATAGAAACTTAGCATTTGTCCATATAAAGTATTTCTTGAAATAAAGTAGATACTCTCACACTGTGTTACGCATGAATGCATGTATCGTTCCATAGACTGGTGTGACTTGGTGTTTTAATTGTCTACTTTATTTCAAACAATACTGTAACAAAGGTAGGATAAATCAAAGAAAGAGGAAGAAAGAATTCTGAAGAACTGTGTTTTATAAACATGAGATACAGTGGTGTTTATTGTTGTATATAAGGTGTTATACAGTTCACATGCTAAGACTTTAAAGGTATTACAAAGTTTTGGTATGGGGTCATGAATTTGGTTCAAATTAACATATTGGAAGCATACGCGTTCCTACAATATTCATTGATCGTTGTCCCGATTGAAATCGAGTCTAAAGTTATGAAATTATAAATAATAAACTCTTTTTGTTGTATATCTCCCTCGCAAGGTCAAGATATTAATTTAGCTATGAAACAATGTTTCTTGACTAAAATCAACCGTTTAGCTATTCCCGTTTGGAAATTATATATCACAACTACATATTCTGAGATTTTCATGGTCGCAGCTACCATTGTACGGCCGTAAGCGCTATTTGAAATTTATCAAAATTTACCGGGAGCACCGGTAAATTTTTATATTCAATTTTTCTTGAAAACAGAAGTGTTTTAGAGGTTAATTTTTTTAGTGCTTATAATACATCCGCAGGGGCACCCAAATATATCAAAATTGTAAAGATTCACTATCCACCCAATTTTCAAAATTTCCCAAAACTTTGTATTACCTTTAATAATACAGTCTACTGATTAAAATCTTAAAAATGTTAAACCCTACATATGTTTACAAAATCCAATACCGTATGTTTGAGAGTCATGTACTACTACTAAGTTTCAATGTTCACATTTGAAGAAACTTACACTTTTTATCACTGCAGTTTAGAACAGCTTCATGATGCTTTATCTTGCCAAACAATAACTCTGCTCCACCGCTGTAAAGATACAGGCAATTCAATCAATATCATTTTCCTTATCTTGAAAAGTTTCAATTTTCATTCATGCATTCAATCATTTGACATTCTTTAACTTAACAATAGTTTGAAGGTTGAAAGAGCAACAGTTCACACAAAACAATGTGCATGATTTGAATCAAGAAAAAGTATAAATACTATACAACTTTAATAGATAATCAATCATTAACATAGGCTGTGAAAGTGTGAGGAAACTTGACTCTTGAGAAGCTTGAGTGATTAGAAGCAGGGTATAGAAATATACAGTTTGATAAATACATTAGACTATGATAGATGTATCCGGTTGATGTCTGCATAGCATGCAGTTTGATATTAGTCCGTCGTTTTGTGCTAGTGTACTTTTGTATCCATTTTTTTACCCGTAACTCCGGCGTGGAGATAGCCTACTAAAACATACCAAAAATCAACTAAATCTTCATCAATTGTTCAATCATGGTCATGATTTAACAGTCGTTATGTTTCTTACCCCTGTGTCAATTTTCTTATATTTTTTGGAGTATTTTTCCTAAAAACGAAGACATTATAACAGGTTTCACAGCAAACCACTGCACAATTACAATACAATTGCATACAGACGAAAGGGTGCGGGCCAGCGTGCGTGAAGTAAGCGACCGTAAACTTCACGCACGCTCGCCGGCCTGCACCCCTTAGTCGTTATGATATGCAATTGTATTGTAAACTGTGCAGCGGTTTGCCGTGAAACTTGTGAGAAAGTGTAAGACTAGGCCTAGACTCTATATTATTATGTCTTTGTTTTTAAGGAAAAATGCTCCAAAAAAGATAATAAAATTGGCACGAAAGGGGTAAGAAACATAACGACTGTTAAATCATGACCATGACTTGAACAGTTGATGAAGATATGGTATTCGATTTTTGGTATGTTTTAGTAGGGTATCTCCACGCGGGAGTTCCAGGTCAAAAATCATATCGTAGGACGTCTTCCAGATCCAGGCTACCTGCACTTGCATCTGGCAGCAGCGGTTCCGAATTCCGCGAGCTCGCGCTCGACTTGCGGCCCCGATGGCCATGCCATGCCATGCCATGCCATGTACGTACAGTGTACATGCGCTGTGGCCTGTGCGCGAACAGTGTTGCCACTACACTGCACTGCACTGTTTTGTTGGCTGCTTTGGGGATCGAATGACATGACAGCGTATAGTCTACACAAATGATATCCCAATTCATACACTTCATGAACAGTATACATATATCATACAATTGATACTCGAAGTTGCAATCGGTATATACATATTACGCTTCAAAATTAGTGAGATTACCTGAATTCAAGCTTCACATGAATTTCACCAATGGGCGCTGCCATCTTTAATTTACGAAATTCACAGCAAGGTGGCGCTGTTAAATAAGTTTGTCAAAGAGATTCGATCATACACGTATGTCCTCCGTAGGAGGACTAGAGGGCCAACTAAAATCGTGACCTTTGACATTTCATAGGTTTTGCATTGGATGCATTATGGGGTTTTGTCCGATTTGAACGACGGTTTTGGAGGGTCAATGAATATTCATGAGCAATGACGTAAAAAATACGCCAATTACTGTTTGTTGATTGGCCATCGACAAAATGTTTTATGTATTAGGTCATGCATAAAACATTTTTTGCATTCCCAGAATTCCCTACGATTTGAGCAAGAAAATGACGAAAAATGGCGGTTGTATGAACTGCGACTTTGAAGTTTTTCAATTACGAACAAGCACACACTTTTCTTTTAAGTGAATTTCTATTATAATAGAAGTTTGTCAAGTACATCTCAGTGAAGCAGAAAATCTTCAGGCGAACATTGACATCGGAGTGATACCCTATGATATCAAGAAAAGTAAGTAAAGATCCATTTTGTGTGAAGGTCTCTGAAATAATTGTGATGTGTTCGTCATTGCAGTGAGGGGCTCTCCGCATTGTCACAACGTATTATTCCATATCCCATCCCATTTCTTTTGTCTTACCAAAGAATATTAACTGATTGAATTAACTCTAATTTAAGTCGTCGACGGTAATATTTTTAGAAATAATCAGGAGTTTACCGTAGGTTATTTCATTACAGCACATCTCATAATTTTAAGTTAGGTTCACAGCTTGATTACCGATAGTAATCAATGGTAGATGTAGACCTGTTGTAGACTGCGCAAATGGCTCATTGCTAGTCCAAGCCGATGCCATTTCGTCGAGCGGTCTATGATTTTCAATTCGCCGGTGCTAGCCGGCTGTAACACTCCACCAAGAAGCGACTGCGTTTCCTGAGCTGGCGCGGCTATAACTTTACAGTGTAGGCTACACTTTAGTCTTACTGTAAAGCCTAGGCTAGTATTCATACAATCATAGCACAATCTAGCCTGAATTTTCTGTCTCTTTCATTCGTTAGCCTCTGATTTGGGTAGAGTCGGCTCCTCTCTTGACTTTAGCCAACCCTACCCAAATCAGAGGCTAACGAACGAAAGAGACAGAAAATTCAGGCTAATTAAGGCATAGACTAGGCCCTGGCCTAGGCTAGGGTCTAGTCTAGATCTAGTCATGCTAGTGTGGCAGTATCCAGGTCCAGCTTAGTTCGGATGTAGGCTAGATAGACTAGACAAGAACAAAACAAAAAGGGTGTCATTTCCTAGCTTCCTAATTTTACCCCCACCCCCACCACTCTTTTTTCTTGATTGTGCTCTAACTTCTAAGTTATGGCACTGTACCTTGTTTGAAATATTTAGAGGAAAATGACATGTTTAGACTTTAGAGAGAAAGTAGGTTTATATTATTTGCGTATTACTAATGTCCGAATATTTACCTTGTTTACAGTAAAGTTTCAGGACTATATCATATATGCTACCCCCTTTTTATTTGGTATGGCATGGGTATTTCTAACTCTAGTCTAAAGGACATGAACTGATAACTAATGCAAGCATTTGATACTATTACTTGCACGAACCTTACTAAGTTTCTGTTTTCTTTTAATTGTAGATCCTATGGAACCAAGAAGCAGATAATGACCACAGAGGTGCAACAGAGACTACCAGTACCTGATCATCGTATGTTATGGTGTAGATCTCAGGAACAGGACACCTAAGTTGAACTCTGGCAAGGTATGTTTGTATAAAGTTCGAAAATATTTAGGCTGTATAACCTAAGGCTAAGCCCATGCCAACATCGCACTCATCTTGGACTAATAAATAATAACTTAAAATAAATTGGAAATACATCTAAACCTTTACTCTTCTCTTCAAAAAAGGCCCTATCAGATAGACATAAGTTTATCATTTTTTAATAAAATTAAAATGCAAGACCTACAAAAAGTGGGGAGGTACTATTTTTGAAAATCCAATATAGTGCAGCAGTTTTAATCTTATTTGATTTCTCCTCTCTTTTTGTTTTTAATATGCAGGTTGTCCCAAGCTGCATGGTTTGATTCCCAGGCTTCTTTTGTACAAGTCCCTAGTCCACCCTCATCTTGAGATCTGTTCCGGTGTCTGGGATCCCTACAACATCTAAGATGTCCAGGACGCTACTTCACAATGGGGACCACAAGAGAACCAGCAGTTTGACTGAGATGATCAGCACCTTTTAGTTGCCTACTATATCTACAACTACAAGGCACTCTGCAAGAAGACTGGGAATGGTGCATAAGATAGTCAATGGTCTCTCCGCTCTCCCTTGAAAATTTTCCCACTGCACTACTTATAGCTACTTGCGCCCTCTATATAGCAAACAATGCCTAATCGGTGACTGTTGGTCCCCCATGATCCTCTTTTTCTTATATTAATTGAGAGCTGATATGATGAGATAACCACCTGTCAGTGACCTTGCAAGGTGGTCTAATCCCCCTGGTCAAACTAGTACAGACGGGCTTTAACAAATCACGAGCAGGAAGTACCATGACATGACCCTCCAGTTGCACCAAGCCAGAAGCGACATAGACAAGTTTGTATTTGCCCAACACTCTGTCCCAAAGTTAATGGAACTGACTTCCAGCAAATAAAGTGCATGATGACAGTCCAGAGAACTTCCAGGGACTACTTCTGATGCATCTACTCTCCTTATCCCACTTAGAAAACATTCTGTCTTCCTCACACCACTTGTAATTGTTAGGCTACAATGCCTTTTGAAGATTACCAGAAGAAGAAGAAGAAGATATATCGAGGATCATGAAAGTAATCATTTGTTCTTTTAAATGTGTGTACATGGAACATAGTTTTTTTATATTTAATCTTAAGTCAAGTTCTGACAAAAATATTAGGGATGCTGAACTGAATAGTAAATTGAAGGGGGGGGGGGGGGAATAAAATGATGTAGTTCATTAGTAATACTGTAGTAATATAATTAATAACATAATAATAATAACAATATTAAAAATAGTAACAATAACGACAATGATCATGATAATAGCAGTAATAATAATGATAATACAGGTACCGGTAGTAGTAAAAACAACAATAATGTCCTATGTAAGATAAAGTACTAATAAAACTCAGTATATACCTGTGCTTTACATAATAAAATAGCATGTTGATATTATTGAATATTTTTTTCAAAATCTACAGTAAACTTTTACAACTGAAAAATTTGAATTCAAGAGACAGCACCCCCCCCCCCCCATCCATTTGTCATCCTTTTTTGATGTCATGTTGGATTTAAAAAGATCTTAATAGAAACAAATATGTTGATAAATGAGTTCATAAAAGTTAATAAATTAGTTAATACTGCTTAAATCTGTTCTTTCATTTTCTTATTTTGTGAAATATATGTGACGATGCTGGTGATTATGATGATGTAGGCACTCTGTAATGATGATGCTGTATGACTGAGGTGAGATGGGGGCTGATACAGTCTTGTGTAGAATTGAGTATGGTGTTCGACCTTTTGATGTTTGTTTATATCTGGCATCAGCGAGATAGATTTAACCATCTTTCCTAATGAGAGAGAGAGTGGGCAAGACTAATGTATAAATGCAGTATAAAAAATGGTTTACAATAAAGATGAGGTGGGGGGGGGGGGGGGTTAAATAAAGAATAAGTCAATGCCAAAATGATGAAAGCATAGGTAATTGGGGTGGGGATTGGGGGGGGGGGAGTGTAATAGATCCTATGGAAATGTCAATATCAGAAGGGGTCCTTGTATTGAAAATGATACTGTTGGGGGGGGGGGGCAAATTAAAAAAAAAATCTGAGGCGACGAATGCAAGAACGAAAAGAACGAGACAAAATTGAAATTTAATTGGGGATGGGGCACAATATGAAGATCATTGAAGTCGAGGTGAGAATGATTCATTATTTAGACACTAAAGATATGAAAATATCACTTGTTAAGTGGGCTAAATGATCAGTGCAATTTGTCAGATTTAAAAAATATTAATAAGTTAAAGTTAATAAATGAACAAAAAAAAAAAAGAGGCAAAAAATGAATTGAGGTACCACAGTGAAATGGGGTCATTATTTTTGCCTTTTAACTGAACTGAATTTTTTAAAATGTACTTGTGGCCCCAACGAAGTGAACCATTAAAATTTGATTACCCCCCACCCCCCCCCCCCCCCCCGTCCCCACACACACACACCTCCCCAACTCTGACCTTTGTTCTACATTTATCTGGCCCAATTAAGGATTCTGTCGATATAGTAACGCATGCGCATTGTCTTTTTTTCATTGCGATAATATGCTAATAGGTGGAAAAGAGCTCATGAATATTCCAAATTTTAATTTAAATATTTTGCGCGCTGCGCGCAGTCCAAAATCCCCATTTCGCTGGTGCACTAAAAATTTGTCGTCTTCATAGGCTAATACATGAAAAGTGGAAGCAGTGTGCACTTTTGACCCTCCAAAATTTCCCCATGGCGAGACGGATGCAGAAGCGGAGTTGAACCCCCCTGAAGTTTGTCTAGAGTACCTATATATAGAGAGTAGCGACATAGGGGGACCGGAATTTGATGGTCACGTGACTCCTGGCGCCATTTTGTTTCACTCCGCAGCGCAGCGCAACGCACAGCGCTTACCGCGACCGTGATATCAAACGAGCTCGAGCTGACAGTCAGTGATTTAAAGAACACGACAAAATGACGGGTTGTTGCGCCTTCGGGTGCAGCAATAAATCAGAGAAGGGGTACAAGATGTATAGGTTCCCCGCAGATCCACAAAGACGAAAAATATGGGAGAACAAAGTGAGCAGAGTGGGGTGGAAACCAACTTCTTCATCTTGTTTGTGCGAGGTAAGTATCGGTCCCATGTATTAATATCGGTGTATAGGTTATGTATGTAAACTTGAACTTGCAGAATAGGCATGCCTTTCTTCTGTCTGAATTGGTCTACAGAATTCAACCAGAACTGAACAGAATGTTTATTAAACCTTAAAGAACAACCGACTTTTAGTCTTAGAATGTATAAACACATGAATGGTGAATAATAGCAAGAATTCAGATGTTATTGTTAAAAAGCTTGAGAGTGGATTCGAATTTCTGGGTTCTTGCACTGCCACTGCCACTGCCACTGTACTGACTACTGGCCACTGTCACTGAAACGTGTCTGCTGCACTCTTTTAAAACAGACACAAAATCACTCTAACCAAGATTTAATTAAAGAAATTGCTAGGTAACCTGATTCAGGGTCTCTTGAACTGGTCTAAGACAGAGTACAAATTTGAAGTTTCAGAGTTGAAAGTGAAATTAAAAAAAAATATCCTCTCACTCCAGTCTTATGAGCTAACTTAACTTGATTGTTAACGTTAGACTGGCAGTAGAGTTGAAAGTGAAATTTAAAAAGAAATGAATATCCTTTCACTCCAGTCTTATGATCTAACTTAATTGTTAACGCTAGACTGGCAGTAGAGGGGCACGGCCGATTTGGGAGACTGAACAAGAGGACAATAAAAACAAGTCAACACCAACAATAAGGCCCTTTTTCTCAGCCAAATTTTTTCCTCTCTAAAATCATTTGTTTGATGTGGGGATCATGACAAAAAATGTTATGAAAACAAAAGTATACAATCAGGTGTAATTTTTCATGAAGAATCTGCCTATCACATTTTCATTTTGACCCAGTTTTTTTACCAAAAAAAATGTCAAAAAAAGTAATTTAGGCAAAAAAAATGAGTTTCAGAATTTTTTAAACAACAAAGATGTTTCGGTCTTCATGGTTCCGTTTGTAATTCACATTTGAAAATGGTGGCTTTTTAGCGTATCCGCATGTGCTGTTGGTGATGCAACAGAATCAAAACTATTTGATGTGGAATAGTGAGATGTCTGATAAAATCTAGGCATTGGTGCTAATGTCTGGGTCTCAACAAAGAGATTCAGTCATACAAAGTATGCCCTCCAAAGGAGGACGAGAGAAAACTGCTCTCCTGAATTCCGACACTAGCCCTTGTTCATATATGATCAAATCTCTTTCTTGAGACCCAACATAGCACCACTGGAGATTTCATCAGAGATTCTGTATTTGTCAGTGTCACTAAGGTAGTTAGTTAAAGTAGATTAGGGGATTTTGTATTAGAGTAATTATTAGTAAAATTATTAAATTTCAGACAATGAGAAGTTCAACTTTAATATTCTCCCAACTGACCTAGTGATGTGAAGGGGGGGGGGGGGTGACAAGATGCAGTGACATTTGTTGAAATATATAGCACTACCTACATTTAGGACCAGGGAGTAATTAGAATTAACAAAATTGTATCTTCTTTTCTGCAGATTCACTTCGATGAATCACAATTTGAAAATGGAAGAGCAGATGGGAAGAAAAAACTGAAGTGGCAGGCAGTACCAACCATATTCTGCCATCGCAGTGTGCTGAAGCCCAGGCGACCTCTGAAACGCCTTCCCTGTACACCAAACGCTGTTAGTGCTACCAAGAAATTGTGCGTTTCCTTTGACCATACCTACTGTATTAACCCAGCCAACAAAACAACATCAACTTCAAGTTCAGGTACGTACTGAATCAATGAATCATTTTCATCAAACTACTGTCGTTATTTTAACTTCCTTTGTCCAAACTACAGAAGGGCATTTCCATGGTTACTCACGTTACATTTAGAGAGATATTGAGTAACCTCTTAATCTCCTGTTCCTGACTATAGGTGTTTAAAGGTAAAATGATTTTTCACAACACTGCACATACATGTATATATTAGAGTAGTAAATGCAGCTTCAAAACTTCAGAAGTTGGTTACTCACATTCACTATTTTGGACCAACCAGTGGAATTGCCTAGAAGACAAAATGTGTGCCTTCATTCTGTAGGATTGCATGTATGCAGTTTATCGAAAGTAAAGGGGAGCATTTTATGAAGAGTCTTGTCAGTGATTTTCACTAACAAAGTTGCTCTCAGCCAATCAGATGCATGGATTTCAGTAGCTTATAACAGTTGTCACTGAAAATCACTGACAAGACCCTTCATGAAACTCCCCAGGACTGTATAAAACATGTGAAAAATTATTTGTCTTACATCATGGGGGGGGGGAAGACTGCTTTTGTTATACTCAAAAAGCTGCATATTGTTTTTTCTTATTCATTTAGAATGTTCATTGAAATCAAATAGATAAATGCCCCCCCCCCCCCAACACACACATACACACAAATAAAAAGATCAATAATTGTCCATTATTGAGATGCTGTCCCTTAAATCTGTTTGACTACAACTAGGGCCTCTTTTTCATTTGTTGAAAAATACAAGTTTCCATGATTAGAAAAAAATTAGCATTTATTCTATTTGGAAACTGGTATGTGAAATTTCCATTAATTCATGAAATTATGCTCATTCATTTCTTGGAGGATTTTGAGGTATAAAATGCCTCTTTTAAGATGTTCATGCTAGCAATGTGATTTAGAAAAGGGATTAACTTGCATAAGTTTGTCTCAAAATGAAGGGTACAAATTACATTTTGTTCTCTTATTATGTTTATTGTAATTTTTTCTCTCCTCTGTTATTTGTTATTCCAGTTGAAGACACTGCCACAGAAGACGAGAACTACCCCACCACATCAAGTGTACCACCAAGTAAACCAAGAATGAAAATGCAAGGGCGATCAAGGCCTTGAAGACTGAACTTCGGAAAACAAAGAAACAGTATAGAGCTATTCAGAAAGCTAAACTGAAACAGGAATCGCGGACAGCACGAATCTTTGGGAAAGATCAGCTAAACGCTATGTCACGACGGGCTATGAATGGGGTACAGTGGTCACCAGCCACAGTTAAGAAGGCCTACAGCTGAGGTTCTCATGCGGATCTGCAGGATACAAAGTCCTATTAAAACTGCAATACCCACTACCATCGGAACGCACACTTCAGAGGAGGTTACAGTACATGTCTTTTCAGCCAGGTGTATTGACGCAGGTCTTTGAACTGCTGAAGCTGAAAGTTGATGGTCTGACTAAGGAAGAAGACTTTGCTGTCTTACACTAGATGAAATGTCTCTGACACAAAAAGTCGAGTATGATGTCACTAGTGGTCACCTTGTAGGCGATGTGACATTGCCAAGACACTGTGGCAGTGCTGACCATGCGCTTGTGTTCATGCTCGGTGGAGTTACCTCTCGCTGGAAGCAAACGATTGGCTATCACTTTACAAGTGGCTCAACAGATGGAACCGTCTTCAAGGACATCATTCTGGACATCATCAGTCGTGCAGCAGACACCGGCCTGCATGTCCAAGCAGTAACAAGTGATATGGGTAGCGCCATCGGGCTATGTGGAAGTCGTTTGGGATAATATGCGGTAAACATTGCCAGACGGTCTACAGAATCCCTCACCCGCATGAAACAGAAGGTTGGCTGTATTTTCTCGCTGATGTTCCTCATTTGTTCAAAAACATCAAGTCAGCTCTAATAAGTGGGCAGAATTTTGTTCTTTCCAAAGACACCGTAGAGCGCCATCATCTTCGCTCATCCATCGTCAGTGATTACCCCTTCATGACCTTGCATGCTTCCAAGAGCACCACGAGTTGAAGCTGGCACCAAAGCTTACCAAGGCCAAACTTGCACCTTCTCACTTCGAGAAAATGAAAGTGTCCAGCGCTACACATGTGATCAGCCATGATGTGAGCAGTGCCCTCATCTACCTTGCAAACAAAGAAAGCAGGGGTGCAGACCATCGTACTGCAGCTTGGTTTATCGAAATGGTGAACCATTGGTTCGAGATCATGACAAGCCGTCATCCTGTTTTGGCCCTTAGCAAGATGAAGCCAGATAAATACAAGGAAACTCTGTCATTTCTTCAAGATGTCATAGCTGTGTTCAAGGGGATGAAGATAGGTAAAGGTGACTGGAAGCCATGCCAACCGGGGTCATCTTGACTACTACATCAGTTCTTAGCTTAGCTGAGGAGCTTCTTGATGCTGGTCACAAATACCTTCTTACAGGTAGACTAACACAAGACTGTTTGGAAAATCTGTTTCTCTGTCGTTCGCCTGAGGAAGCCGTCCCATCCCCACTAGAATTCAAGTTTGCCCTGAAACTCATCAGCACTGCCCAGTTTCTCACGCTGCCACGTTCAGGGAGTTACAGCCAAGATGATGGCGAATTCCTCGCTGATTTCCTGCAACAGGACGTGCAGGTCCCAGAGGAAGTCGAAGTCTCAGGCATCATCCTGTCAGACAACCCGATGTCAGTTGTCTTCCTCCAGCAGAGCGCGCTAGCCTCTACAACCTTGCAGGCTACTGTGCCACCAGTGTTAAGAAGAACGAGACAACTTGCGAACTTGCATGAGTGAGGTGACAGCTGAAGACACAGAAGACACACATCCTGATGCACAGCTCACCATGCTGAAAGAGTTCAAAACTGGATGCCTTCTTCGTGTGTCAGACAAGACATTCAAGATGATATTGACTGTCGAAGCGATGTTCCGCGAGGCTGAAGACAAGCTCATGGATGAAAAAAATGTGAAGAGTGTGCTTCTAGAGCGAGCGCAAGAGCTAACTGAAGATGTGAAGTTTGCAGACTGCCATAACATCAAAAGGAAACTTCTTGCGAAGTTTATCACATCGCGGCTACATTTCTTTTGCAAGAAGCAAACCGGCAATCGTAAGAAAGAATCATCAAAGAAGTTTAATGAACTGGGTAGCAAAAGCATGACAATGAGGAAGCTAGCCGCAAAAGTGAAGTGAAATGAATCAAGCATGCAATAAGTATTTCCATTCTAGTTTTGAACACTTGAAGGGGTGAATATACATGTATGAGGGCAATTAGGCAATGAATATTAACTTTTATTTGAGCTAAGTACACCATGTAGGTATACACATGTACAGTGTATCCTAATACTGGTTCAGGACAAACAAATGTATATTTCTACAAACTCCTTTTTTTTTAAGTATGCAAAAATATTGTGATACAAGTCATTGATATCACTCTGATTATCTGTTCCCTGAGAGTATTGATACAAAGAGGATGTAAATCTGTACCTTTAATTTTTTACATTATAATTGCTGTAAGAGAAATCCTGATATAGTATTAAAAGGAGTGTTGAAAAATGACATTCTGATGTGAAAAGAATGTTCTTTTAATAGTGCTATCCTAAATATTTTGCAATTCTGATCACATTTTGTTAACTTTTAGAGCAAAAAAAAAGCACTTTCAAGCGTTGTAAGGGAATTATTCTCACAAAGACTTATGGTTGGTTTTTTTTTCCCTGTATCTCAAAAATTATTCTTGTATTTAACATTTTAAAGGTATTCATAGAATATACAGTAAAGGTGTTTGCAGTGGACACATTCCCTTTAAATAATTGATGATAGATATATCATATTTGTAATATTTATTTGCCAGTTCTTTGCCATGAAAGAAATTCAGTAGAACCATCTTTCTCATTTAGAAAGCACAACTTATTTTGGGAACAATATGCTACAACCTCCTTATAAAGAGCACTGTTAAAAGAAACTCTAATTATGAAAAGGTAATTTTGCTGGTCCTGCTTATTTGTATTCTATTCTTTTTTAGCCCTGATATAACAAGGTTTCGATATAAAGAGGTACAGTTAACTTTGCATTAGTCAAATCTGTTGGGATCACAAAATAGTTTGACTTACATGTATGCAAAATTTGACATAGGAATGTAAATAACACATGTTTTGTATAGTTTGGTCAAAAAATTTGATTCGACTTAGGGAAAGTTTGACTTATGTGACTTCGAGTTATGCAAGGTTAACTGTAATTTCCTAGGTCCCAAGGAGTTTGTTATAATGAGGACCCACTGTACTGTACTTGGCATAAACTGAAGTTCTTAGTTTCCAATTTCAAACTTAGCCAAATAGACTTGTTTCTGTTTGTTCATTTTGTGAAATAACCATTCCAATGATGGAAGATTTCCTTGAGCAAGTAGAGATTGACCCATTTTTTGCGCTGTTGCTTGCAAATTGCAGTAGGCCCATGTGTTTTGTTGCATAATTCATGATTATGTACATTTGCTTGTTTAGCAAAGTTGAATTGTACATTTCAGATAAATAATGATACCCATCACATTCCAGTTTTTTATGTTTGGTAAAAAATTTAGTAATTGATGATCCTGACAGTCCCATTGTGTAATGTCTGAATTTCCAATTTTTAAGTTGTTTTGTCATGTCAGGGATGTACATGTAGACATGAGTTTGGAGCTTGCCTGGAGAAAATCAAGTTGATGCAGGGCGAGCATATTTTTATACCGCTTTTTAAAAAAGGCACAATCTATACTGGAATGGTATGGGAGAAGTTGTGCATATCTGGAATTGAAGAAGATGTGCAATGGTATTCAGATTTTCTATTCTAAGTTTAATTGAATCATCACTACGTGTAGAACTAAAGTACATGTTCAGGTAAAGTTGTGACACTGGGCAAGGATAATATGACATGATTTTCATGGGGAAATACATATATCATTGTCTACATTGATCCCCCTTTTTTTCTTACATATCTTAATACCATACCCATTATGTATTGTTGAAAAGGATGTCTTTTCGAGAAGGAACATGTATATGTATTATGACATGAAATAAATTGAAGAAAAAAAGCAACAAACAAAAGAATTGCCCAATTTCAAAGTTACTTTGTGTGAAATTTATACTCGGAGCTGTGTGTGTGTGTGTGTGTGTGTGTGTGGTGTCGAGGGAGGGGGGGGGGGGGGGGGGTGTATACTTCTGTGTCTGGAATTGTGAGTAAACAGATGTATGAGAGGATATGTTTATAATGTGTGTAAAGGTATTGATGTGCATGGATTAAAAAAAAAAAAAATCTCATTTTTATGAGTGAGTTGGGCATTGTCTATGGAAGGGAGGGGGGATGGGTCGGATTGTTTTTGCCAGTGATGTCTTTATTATATGATGTGGGTTATGGTTGCCGCCCCCCCCCCCCCTACCCCTCTTATGAGCAGCAAAACTTTTGGTTTGGGGGATGCAAGCTAGGTTAGCTTGTATATGGACATTCAGCCCCCCTCCCACTTTTCCATGTACGGGGGGGGGGGGGGGGGGTGTTGAGATACAATACAAACAATAGCGCGAGTTGCTTTCTGGCTCGCACAGTTGTGTTTGAAATGTGGCCGACACAACACAGTATATTATGCACTTCAAAGTTTATACATGCACTGCGCGCGCGCGGTAGACCGGCGAGTGAAACAAAATGGCGTCAATGCGCAAGTTGTCGCTACTCTCTATATATAGGTACTCTAAGTTTGTCTAGAGTACCTACATAAGTTTGTCGGGCCGCGCCACCCCTTGAGCAAACAAACTTTTTTAAAATTTATTTTTAAAATAAACTTGATGAAGAAAAACAAAATCACACTCATTTTGTGATTTTACTTGTTATTGGTTCTTTCTTCTTCTTCTTTTGTCATGAGGGGGTCATGAACCAGGGTCTCACATTAATCTTTGAGTTGGCCTCTGCGCGCCGAGTTGTGATTAGAACTTACAAGTATACACAGCCACAGACGATTCTGATTGGTTGAAACTTTCAACCAATCAGAAACGTGCGTTACGGAAAAAAAAAGAACCGTCATAGAAGGCCAATCGATCAAAAAGGAAACAAACAAATAAATGAATAAATAGGTCTAATGACCTCTTGTTATTCGTGGTCATCTCGTTATATATGTATTGTCTATACACAGGGCCGTAGCCAGAGTTTGATGTGTTTTTTTTTTGGGGGGGGGGGGGGGCACATACATGTAATTGATCGACGTCCTGGGGAGGGATCTAAAAAAGTTCAACTGATCTTGGAAAAAAATTTGGGGGCACGTGCCCCCTCTCCGGCCCCCCGCCCCGTGGCTACATGCCTGTCTATACGTGATCTTCATCTAATTCTTTCTGTCTCATGATTTATCTATTATTCTAGAAAAAGGTACTGACAAAATTTTCGTTACAAGCTTCTTTCTGTACATGTATTTATCTTTAACACCTCTCTTTCTCTCTCCCCCTCCTCTCCCCTCTCCTCTCTCTCTCTCTCTCTCTCTCTCTCTCTCTCTCTCTCTCTCTCTCTCTCTCCATTTCCTAACATGCCTAAAGCCCTATGTCCCTTTCACTCATACAGTTCTCTCGGGGCAGTGTGTCATTTATCATGAGTGGTTTGGCCCATTTGTTCCTAAAGAAGCTGATGGTAATTTTGAACAACATGATAACAAATGGGTAAAGAATTCCCAAAAGTCGATCGTCGGACTTAAGTTACCCACATCTTGGGCAGTTTTACACAGCCGTTAATTTTTTAAAAAATTGTAATAAAACTAGTAACAACCCGATCAACATGCATACCCCGATCAACAACCGGTCCGACACTCTATCCCTATAAATTACCAGTTGTGGGGAGAGGGGGGGGGGGGGGGCAAATACCATACTCAACCGACCCTCATACCATATCTACGGGAGTCCTGTTCTTGACTACTAACTTGTCCAGAAGAATATTGTCGAGGAGGCGGGGCGTTTTATTTTTGTCCGACTACGATAAAATCGATAGGCCTAAAAATTAATGATGACGTGTATCATCAGATCATGATTATCTTTCTGCATGTATCATTTTCTCTGAATAAGCCTCTCCTCTCTCACGATTCCATCTCCCCCCCCCCCCCCCTCCTCTCTCTCTCTCTCTCTCTCTCTCTCTCTCTCTCTTTCTCTCTCCCTCTCATTCTCTCTTGGTACTCAGCTCAACTTAATTCCCTCGTCGATCTGCTCAAGTTTTCCAAGTTATCATAATCCCTTTAAACTACTGCAATTTTTAAAATATGAATAATAAATATCTACTGTCATGTCGATCATCCTCTTGTCACTAATTGTATATCCTTCTAAACTGTTTATTCAAATCCTTTTTTGCAACTCTTGTTCTTTTCAATCGGAAACAATAATGCAAAAGGCTAAAGAACACTCTTTTCCTTCTTGTTAGTATACTGGAATGTGTCATGTCGGCATTCCATTGTAAAAGACACACATTTCAAGTGACCCCGCATTACTAAAAGTAATCTGTATCTGTTATTTTCATCATATTACTTTTTCTTGAACACAGAGCATCATTAATAAGTGTCTTGCGTTTATGTGGGCTATGCTCTTTCAATATTTAATTTTCTGTCAGTGTTACATATAAGCTTATCATTAAAAAAAACGGTTACTTTTATAGATCTATAAATGACATCAAGGCTGTGTATTTCATGATTTTCTAGACAAATATCAATAATTCCATCTATATTAGTGAATTCTCAATTAATATATATCCCGAATATCTCAATGACTGTTATTGCTGCTTCAAAATTTTTAGTCACGTTTCAGCAGCGCTGAGAGATGGCGTCCTACATGTAAGACGTGGCATTAGCGTGAACCCGTTGTCAAAACTAGAGCTGTTTTTCGTGTCCCCACGCATATGGTTGTATGTGTGTACCGCATTTCTTCTGTTCACTTCCCGATCCCATCCATGTGTTTTGCTAGTGGTTTTTGAAACTCAGCTGCTAGCACAATAACTTCGACGACTGACGCGGCACTAGAAGCTCAGCTCATCGAAGGAGGGAAATTTCTCATCCAGTGAGCTTTCTTTGGATTAGAGGATCAACAAATTAAGGCAGATGGCGTCCCAAAATGAACTTGTCGGCAAAGCGGAGGATGTTGCAGATCGAGTAAGAATGAATTAATGAATGAATTGAATTGATTTTTCTGTGTTTATGAATCAACATTGATTTAAATTGACTCTTGATTGAAGTTGAAGACGGGGATTTTGTTTGTACACGCATCGGAATTTTGTATGTGTGTTGTTGTTGACTGAAATACCATTTGGAATTGATAATGATAATTGTTCTGAGCTGAGTCTGAGAGTGAGAGTATCCAAGTTAACGCGTTTTGATTTAATGATATGATTTATAGACCCCTGGATCTAAATAAATTGTTCAAAAGATGTGTAAACTGTCAAATCTGAACATGAATAAAACTGGAATTAGTCTAATGAAAATAGAGTCTAGAAGTTTTATAATGATGATGTGTAAAGATTCACAGACTTCAATTTCAAAGACAAAGTCCATGCCAATGCCAGCATATGGCCATTTTCGCGAGTGGATCGAGATATGAATTATGATGATCAGATGATTAATATGATCATGTTGATTGATACATGTACATAGAGCTGAATTTGAAAGTTGTGTCAAGTTAATGTAATGGATGAATGCATAGTCAGAGTATTCTAAAATGGGTCTAGGGTCTAGATCTACATGTAGTCTGAAATTAATGCGAAATTAGAACTAGAATTTTACAGAAAAGTTGACCAAAGAAAGCCAAGCAAAGAAGAAGAAGAATAATTTAAGCAAAAATTTTTTTTCTTCATTTAATCATATAAAATGCTCATGATTTAATACAGCAAAATTATAACAAAAGGCATGACTTGAATTACATGTACATGTAAGTCATGCCTTTTAATGTTTTTTTTCCATACAATACCTTCAGGAGATTTAGCTGCCACAAAGTACAAGATGTCTTTGAAAGTAATTAAAACATTTCCTTCGTTGGTACAGGAAGAGCAACAGTATGTTGAAAGTTTTAAACTTGTAAATTGGTACACAAAATTGATAATTTTGACATTTTCTATATGTTGTCATTCGCAGGATTTTTCACAAGGAGCAGTGAGGAACTGAGGATTATTTTGATGGGACTAACAATCAAAAGATCAATCAAATTACCAAATTTGGACAGTTTCTTGAATAGGTTAATAGCTCTGAATAGGTTAATAGCTCTGCTGTTTAGTAGCCTGTTATATATTTCAATCTATATATTTTGTTGTCCAGGTCCTGAGGAGAGCAAGCACATCCTCCCTCATGTAGCCCGCCTGTGTTTGATCAGTACATTCTTAGAAGATGGCATTAGGATGTGGTTTCAATGGACTGAACAGAGGGATTACATCAACCAAGCCTGGGGCTGCGGTTGGCTTCTTAGGTAAGTAAAGGAAATCAGCGGGTCAGTTTCTCAAAACATCTAAGTTCCTGGACATCTAATAGAAATGCATGATATTATAGAATTATTAACATACATTTCACTGGGATGTTCATGAACTTAGATCTATAACATTTCCAAGGAACTGGTCCCTGGGTCACAAAGCGTGCATGTGATGCGATATTTGCTTCATTGTTCTTCGTTTTATTTCACTTGTGATTCAGGTTTTGTGTTGCAGTTGGGTTTTAGGTTAGGTTTAGGGTTGGGTTATGGTTGGGTTATGGTTATAATAGTTAGGTAAGTTGTTTAGTTCACTGTTGATTGTTGAAGTTTGGAAGTCAGTTAGTGTAGGAAACTGGCATTTGAGCAACTCTCGCTAGTGCATGTGTCGTAGAACCAACTTGCAGGCCCCAAACTGGAAATATTAAGACAAGGTCATGTATCAAGCTGTAGATTGCCCCCATAGGACCTTTTTTGTAGTTGCCAAACATAATTGTGAAATTGAAATCACTTCAAGGCTTTACTCCAAACACTTTTTTCAACACTTTGCTAAATTGATATCAAATGATCCATTAACTTCATTAATCATTTACAGTGTAGATGAAATTTGGCTAGCTTCTCAATAAATTCAGGTCCTTTACATGTAGTTTGAATAGGCTGTCAGCCTGTCAAGTTTAATATTTGTGATGTACTTGTTCACTGTATACTTCAAACTTATTAACTTGAATGTGATCCCTTGACTTCCCTTCCCTTTGTTCACTAGTGGCTATACCTTTTTTATTGAAAGTTTGTTTGTTTGTTTGTTTTGTTTTATTTCCACTTTTTCATATCAATACAAAGAAACATACAAATAAATATGATGAATAACATGTAAGTTTGACAAAATTTGTTTCTAGTTAAAATAAAAGTTTCATACAAAGGAAAAAGCAGGAGACCACATGTCGTAAGCGTAAATGCTTGAACATGACCGTGGCCTCTGCCGAGTTAACAAAATAAAAGAACAACCCATGCAACTGCATTGTATTCAATGTTAAATAAGATATAATTGAAGTGATTAAAAGTGAGCATGGCTGAATTAATTTTGAGCGAAAATAACAAAACAAATTTAGTGAAATATTTCGTGTTGAGAAGTGCATTTGTGCAAGGTGCAAAAATTTAGCTTGGTGGAATAAAAAGAGACTAATACCGTGATATTAATTGTGTGTTGGTTTCAGTTACGGGTGATAATATTAAATGTATGCAGGGTCCATTTCTGTTGACAAACAAGACAGGACAATTCAAGACATAACAAATTAGATAATTTTTAAATTTCTATGTAAGATCTAGTAAACTATACTGAGTTAACAAATATGCTTTCAAATAAGCTTTAAAAGAATACAGGGAGGTCCTAGTTTTAATATGGTTTGGTAAGTTATTCCAAATATCTGGTCCATGGTGTCTAATTGATCGTAGGGCTAAACTAAGTTTGGGATTATTAGATGGTAATCATGAGCATGTCGAGTTAAATATGAGTGTACGTTTACATTTAATAAATAAAAGTTTAAAAAAAGAAAAAGTACATGTATGTATCCTTGAAAATCATTCAATCTTTTGTAGTGAATGTTAGAAAGGGTAGTCTGGTTGTGCCAGCTGAATAACAGACATCTTGGCATTATACCAGCTTTAACCGATTTGCTGAATTGTTTTCTTTGTTTAAAAAGAAGTTTGATTACCAAGGCAAACATGACTACTTTAATAACAAGTATTGGCAACAAGCATCAGAGAAATTACAACTGACCTTATTAGTCAATAATTTTAGATTGTCTTTACCAAAGCCTATTCATTACCAAAGGAACTGTTCAAAATTATTGCCAAGTCTGTCAGCCAGTTGATATGAATGAAATGTCATATTTTCCTTTTGCAGCGTGTCTTTATTCATGAAAGGAGGAGGTTCATTATAAAATTATAATTATTTCTAAATTAAGCAAAAATGCTTCATCAGCATATTCTAGGATTTCTTCTGGAAATGCTAGGAGTACCGGTAATTCAGATGTAATAAGCATTGCATAAAAGATGTATACAGATGTTTTGAGATATTTGTTAATGAAAATAGAGTACCGGTAGTTTGATAATGATGATGTGTAAAGATTCACAGACTTCAAAGACGAAGTCCATGCCAATGCCAGCATGTGGCCACTAAGTTTGTGATTATTCTACATTAACATATTTTCTTCAAGTTTCCAATGATCTTTTCATTCAATTGTTATTAAAAACAGTGTGATATACGTGTATCGTACATTGGAAGCATCCATCAGATTCAAGGGGTGAAAATCAATTATCAGTGAAAATATCCCCCCCCCCCCCCCCCCCCCCCCCCCCCCCCCCGTTCACAAGAGCTGTACAGAAATAGTGAGATTTCCATGCAGCGCTTTCCCCCTCTATTCCTATTACCCCCCCCCCCCCCCCCACCCATATCCCCTCCTTAGATGAGGCAATTACAACAGCTCTTTGGGAGAGCTCTTGCAAATAAACCCCTCTCCACTACCACACAGTTTTTTTCCCTGTCTAATCAAGTAGTTATTGATTATGTTAAGTTGTATGTTATGTATGATCCTCTCATTTTCTCTGTAGTACTTTCTTTGTCCTTCTGTCAACCTTCTGGGTCAATACAAAATAGCACAGATAAGAAGTATCTGCCTCAAATCAATATTTATAAATGTATTTTTTTATATACACCTGTTTCTCTTTTTTCTATTCAGTACGAAGTACCTGCCTCAAATCAATATTTATAAATTTATGTTTTGTACATAGATCTGTTTCTCATCTTTGCAATCAGTACGAACTACCAGCCTCAAATCAATATTTATAAATTTATTTTTTATATACACCTGTTTCTCTTTTTTCTATTCAGTACGAAGTACCTGCCTCAAATCAATATTTATAAATTAATGTTTTGTACATAGATCTGTTTCTCATCTTTGCAATCAGTACGAACTACCAGCCTCAAATCAATATTTATACATGTATGTTTTGTGCATCTGTTTCTCTTTATTCTATTCAGTATGAAGTACCTGCCTCAAATCAATAGTTATTAATTTATGTTTTGTACATAGATCTGTTTCTCATCTTTCTAATAAGTAAGAAGTACAGTGTACCTCCCTTAAATCAATATTTATAAATTTATGTTTCGTGCATCTGTTTCTCTTTTTTCTCTTCAGTACTATCTTTGTCCTGACAAACCTGGTTGGTCAAGTAGTAGGATGTATCATGGTGCTGAGTAGACAACAAGTACCTGCTGCTTGTGGACTTTTATTTTTCATCATTGCTCTTCAGGTAAGAACTGGGCCCCATTTCACAAAACTTGTCATCAGTGACAAATGACAGTTTTTGTTATAAGCTACTGAAATCCTTGCTTCTGATTGGTTATCAGCAGATTTGTCACTGGTTTTTGTCATTTGTCATTGAAAAAAGGCTTTGTGAAACACCCCCTGAACTAAGCTCCTTCATTGTAGTCAAGACTTGCCTGTAACATGGGTCCTCTTTACCCTGGCATCATTACATGAAAGCGTCATAAATTCTTCAAAAATTGATTTAACACACACACACACGTTTTAACGGGTTGTCACAAACTTGTACTTATGACGGTTTTGTGAAACAAAGCCATGGATCCCTAAAATTTTTACGCCAGACACTCAAGATATTATATTTATTAATGGTTGCCGAGTGCTAATGTACCCACAATATTTTGATACAGGCCCCTAGAAGAAAGGTTGTCAGAGTGCAGATCCCTGATGTTGCGCTGCCTACTGATTATTGTAATTTGACAATTTTTAATTGACCAGGTTGTAATTAAATCATTGGATATTTCATTCCATAGTCACAGTTACATGTATATCTCAGTTTATAGTGTTCATTTTGCATGCGTTATAAAGTGATTTGTGAGTCAAGTCTGATAAAATTTGGGATATAATTTACTTTTGTTTAAGAAGTATATTTGTATACTGCGAGGAAGCTAAAGATTTTTCCAAAACTGGTCTATACCTTTAAACATCATTTTCATCCATAATTTTTTCATAAAGATAATGAACAAGCTAGCTGTTAATTTTTTTAATCAATTGACTGGAACAAATTTCAAGCAGATATTCATTAATTAGAAAACAGTGAAAGATGTACGTATGTACATGTAGTTTATTTTTCAAAGCCTCTAGAAAAAAGAAATTGACAGTTTAAGAGAACATGCATTGCATCATGATTTTTGCTTAGTGTTAGTAACAAGAAAATGAAATGACTTCCCTACATATGTCTAGCAAGTGGATATCGTAGAGATCTATTGAGGGGAAACTTCCCTTTTGTCTTAGCTGCAAGGACACATCTCACATAATCTATGATGAAAAGAATGATTTCTTGAACTTCAGAGTGACGTTCAGAGTGACGTGTTGTTTTGAAACAGACCAGGCACTGCACTTTCAGTCGCATCCTGGGTTGTTCAAGCTCTGTATTAACTGATTGTTGGGATGATTCTCGGAGATGAAGCGGGATGAGAATGATAAGCCGAAGGATTTCTGTTGACTTGGATTATTAATCTTGATAGTTGTACAGAGATCACCTTGGATAATCGAAGCATTCAGTGAGTGTGTGGCTGTGTGTTAAGTGGGGCGAGTGAGTCACTCGTAGGAGACAGGAAGTGAAAGTCTTGTCAGTCTAATCAGAGGAAGAAAAGCTAACCATGCACTATTTTATCTTCGTTTGGGTCATTATATGTTACATAAACAATTAATTAATTGATGAAAAAAAGGAGGATCCGTATACGGTCAATATTAGGGCAGGGCAAGCTTGATCATCTTTGCCAATTAAATTGCATGATCAAAATAAAATAAATATCAGAATATGAAAAGTTAAAAGAAATATATATATGTACAACATAACAAGAGGGTAATTGATATTTCATAAGAGAAAGATATAATTGCTACATTTACAGTATGTATGCAACCAATTTTCATGAATGTTGAGGCTAATGTTCATGACTTTAGGAACTGCATCAAAGCATAATTATGGCAACGTCCTGATCATACATGTACATGTACATGTAAGATTGAATATTTAGAGGAATTTTATTGGAGGCAGGCGAGGGAATGGGGAGAGGCTTATGGGTATTGATGAATGACAAACTGTCAAGTTAGACTAATTCATACACAATTATGAAAGCATCTTTTATAAACATGCCATATTATTTTGCCAGGCCAGAGCATAATTATTGAAATATGATATATTCATGTCAGCTTAAAGAAAACAAAAGAAAAAATTATATCACCTGTTGACGAAAAGAATAACAACTATTGTCATATATCCAAAATGTTGATTGTGACTACGGTATGTGATATTCTTCGAACATTCGTAGCAATAACTACTTCCACTTGTGATATTAGTGTTTGTTTTTCTTAATTTGGCAAATTTTAGTTGATGTAGAAACGTTACAATTATGTACATGCAAAATACTTACAATGAAACATTGATCATTGATTATTGCAGTATTTATACTGTCAATATTTTGATCAGGACACAATTAACTTGTAATATTTAAGATAAATAAAAGATTCATTAAAATGCATCAATTGTATGTTTCAATACAAAAACAAGATTAAACAAGCTACATGTAATACAACAGTACCGAAGATTGCACAAATTTGAATGAAAACAATGTTTTTCAAAATCATTAGTTTAATTGATGACCCTCTGATTTTATGTAAATTTTTAAATAACAATCTTATTTGTATCTATCTCTCTCTTCCTCTCTCTCCCTCTCTCTCTCTCTCTCTCTCGCTCTCTCTCTCTCTCTCTCTGTCTCTCTTTCTCCATGCAGACTATAGCCTACAGCATTCTGTGGGATGTGAAGTTTCTTATGAGGTGAGAAATTGTCTTTTTCATTACAGGAACTACATGCTGTGTCATTTTTCCCCATTAGATATCCCTTTCTTATACCTGATAAATTCTTCTAAAAGTATAGCAGTGTCTTTTAGTTCAGTGGTTTAAACACTTGATTAGGAATGCGAAGGTCATGGGTTTGAGCCCAAGCACAGCATGGTACTTGTTTGTCCTTTGGAAAGATATTTATGTACATTTGCCAATATTCAACCATTGATAAATGGGTACGCAGTAGGATGCTAACATTAATATGGTTAGATTTGCATGTGTAAATGGTGCATGGCTAGAGTACTCCCCAAGGAGCGGAGCATGCGCACCACCATGTGCAGATTAGGTATTGAATTCAATGACTGGGGTAATAATAATTACAATGTAAATTGCATAGAAACGTAGCAATAAGCACTATAAGTGTTTGTACTAATTAGTATTGATATAAACTACGATAAACCTGTAAAAAATAAAAAATAATATTTGAAGAACAAGTATTTTTGTTGTTGAGAATGGAGCTCAATGAAATGACCAATGAAATACATGTAGGAGGTTTTATCTAAATTATCATCTATTTCCCATCGTTCAGCAAACTATGCATGTAATATGCATCTCTGTTATTTGAATATATGATACAATCTTTTAATTGCATGCTGCAATAAATAGTATTAATATTAAAAATATTAATCAAAATATTCAATATGTACAAATTACAATATAATTGCATGTATTAATGTTTTCTGATTAGATAATGTCTTTACCGTTCGTTTTATTCATACAGGAATATAGCTTTGGTTGGCGGTGTCATACTTCTCCTCGCTGAGTCAAGGAAGGAGGGAAAGAGTATGTTTGCTGGTGTTCCCGACACAGGCTCCAACAAGCCAAAGACGTACATGCAGCTGAGCGGTCGCATCATGCTCGTCCTCATGTTCATGACGCTGCTTCGCTTCGACTTCACGCCTCTCCAGATCACCCAGAACCTCGTCGGCTCCGTCCTCATCGTCCTGGTCGCCATCGGTTACAAGACGAAGCTCTCCGCCCTCATCCTCGTCCTCTGGCTCACCATCTTTAACTTCTACGTCAACGCCTGGTGGAACATCCCCGCCTACCGGCCAATGCGAGACTTCCTCAAGTACGACTTTTTCCAGACGTTCTCCGTCATCGGGGCTTGCTACTCATCGTAGCGCTCGGGCCGGGAGGGGTCAGCATGGATGAGCATAAAAAGGACTGGTAGTATACGTACGTCTCCAGTCAGCATTGGGAATATATAGTGTATTATAATGCAATCGCAGCAAACCATGTCTTATCTATCATTGTGTGTATTTAGAAGTGATGCTGTCATGGCACTGAGGCAGACGGTTTCAGAATGACTTTTTCAAAGCCTCTTTCATTCTTGACATGCTTAAATGTCTTTAAAAAAACTGCCTTTGCAAAAAAAGAAAAAACGAGGAAGGATGACACAAGGTTAGTGCGCTTCACGTTTCTGTATCTTGGAGCTTACAGATGAATAGGTATATGTGTGTTTAAGTTTAGGGGCAATTGTTGCCAACTGCTACTTTTTCTTCCCCCCAGTTTGACATTCACTTACGTTTTTCTAGGCGGTGTACCGAATCATGTCTGAACAAGGCTTGTGTCGCACCTTTTTCTTTTTTCACATTTGCACGCATTCTACCTTCCACCATCATTCTCTGCCACTTTGGTATTCTTGTCCCGCGAACATGGCGGCAGAAACCAAAGAAATGCCTCTGTGACTTGACAGTAGTCCTTTAAGTTTGTACAGTATATGAATTCCATGAGACAGCTCCAGTTATCTGTCTGTTATGTAGTTATTTTGCAAAAAAGAAGAAAAATGGATGTTGATGTTTTTTTTTATAGCAAACAGACATGATTGCTTGTGGCATTCAGGGTAGGTATAATATTTGAGAATTTGTTGTGGACAACATTTAAAGCTATTAAAGCTGGTAACCATTCTAAATCATACTTTAATTGACATGACATTATACTCTTTATTAAAAATAATACACTACATGGAAAGTTGTTTTCTTGACATTGTACGCAAACGTATGAATATTATCGGTAAACTACTTACCCTCTATCAGAGACTTGTACAGTGTAAAAGTTACATGTATCTCTCGCCAAAAAAAAAGTTGTTTTCTACAGAAGTGATTCTTCAAAGGCTTCTTCGCTACAAAAAGATTAAATATTAAAATAGAAGAGAAGTGGATGTACAACAGTGCTACAAATTAAGTACTGGACCAAATATTTTACATGTATTGAGTTATGTAACCCTTGTTTTGTTTAGGTGATATTTTTTTGCAAAAATACACCATGTTTGTAAATATCACTATGAATGTAAGGTAATCCAATCCAGCAATTTGCCACAATTTTGCTGCGAGGTGCTGCGAGACCGCAAAATTCTGTTCAATGAAATCCCTAAATTACCATGATTTTGTTTTTCCCCTTCAAATTTAGGTATTGTTGCCATGGCAAAATGGATGATTAATTTAACAAAAAGCAGAAACCAAAAGAAACAAAGATTTTCATTTTTTAGAAGTACATTGAGATACATGCAATAAGTATCCACTGATTCTGAGATGATATTTATATTTTTGCATCTCAAAGAATTTAATTTATCCTCTTAGGGAATCACTTTGTTTTACTTTGTTGTATGTTTCTATTTTTTTAAAGGATTTATTCCTCTTTCTTTTCTTTTTTTGGGATTAATGTGGTACTAACGAGCACACCTTAAAGTAGATAGACGCTACAAATTTGCTGGTTGATGATATTTGCATTAATATAGTTTGCAGTAAACTAGGGAAACAACATAAACCATGCCTTATACTGTGGATATATATGTGAGAGGTTCAATGTATATGCTCGTAGAGTTTCGCACATGATGTATGTACAGCACATTTTAATTCATAAAGAAAGTTTCTAGTTGTATTTCAAGCTCAAATGGATGATGTGTCTCTCAACTGGTGCTGGGCATGTCAATTCTAGAGAATATCACTCATCTTCTAAAGATGTCTGTTCACCTTTTTTGTCAAGTTAGTATGTACTGATTGTCAAGGCTTTGAGCTCATATAGGCCTTGATAATGTTTCCAGACTTAGAGATGGTTCTCTCCATTTTTCTTTTGTAGGGCATGATAGATACATGTATGTCTTGATCACTTCAACCAAGCTTTAGCTCCCTGCTGCCATTACCAGTGCACCATGTATTTTTTAAAGGAATAAATCCTGTCAAGTACCTATTCATAATATGGAAGGAGAGGCACAACTGTAGGTACAATGCCTCGTCTAAGGATATATCACATATGCACCTGGCACAGATTTGAACCCTCGACCTTGTGTTTCAGAGTCTTATGTTGCTCCCAGGTCTTTATTCTAGTATTTCTATCTTGCCTTTTGATAGTATATTTCATTATTTTTTTTATAGGATGGTAGAGGGATTTTCTCTTTTCTTTTTCATGTGTGTAGTTATTATGAAAAAGGGCCAGATGTGAAAAGTTAATTTGTCTCTACTTACCTTATTTAATGGAGATAGCTCTCGTAGGCAGTTTCCTTCATTAAACAAATTAATTGAATTTGATCCAGTGTTATGTATTGAATGTATGTGTATGTTTACCGGTATGTATTTGTTTTTAAATCTTTATTTTTTGATATTTTTTGGGGAGAAGTGATGTTAGATTAGCTTGATGCAGAAACTCAACTGTATGGTGGTTAACAAGTAATAAGTACATGCATTTTCACATCATGCTTTTCCTTTTTTAAAACAAATATTGATGTGCACTTACTTTGCGATAATACTTAGAAATAGATGATTACAAAATGTTGATTTCTAAAACGTTGGTTCCTCTTGGTAAAAATCTAATTGTCAACAACATCAGAATGTGATTCTAAGAACCATTTTCCCCTACTAGACTTACAGCAGTGAAATGATATTTAATTGTGTCTACTGTCTTATATACTAAATATGAATATTTTTTCACTCAACCTATATATATTTTTATTTTTTAAGTTATCCTTACTATTGCGGTCACACTAATTTACAGGTTTAAACACTTGATATTGATTTTGGGGAAATTTGTACATTTCCTACCAGCATAAATTGAAAGATATTTTTAGAAAAAAAAATCTTCAAATTTCTGGAACATATTTTCGAAGTATATGTAGATCAACAAATGATGATAGTTAGAACATGTAGAGTTATAGCCATATCCAATTTTATTTTATCTTCGATTTGGAAATCTGGTTTGTAATTGTTACAAGTGTTGTGCGGTTTGTTCATTTGTAAGACATGTTGACTTCATGTACATGTGTGGCATAATTGATGGCCGAATAACAAATAACAAAAAATGTCACTCTTACATTTTATTGGAATTTACTGTATTGGAGAAGCATTTTGAGTATCTCTCTGTAAGTGATCATTATTTTCGTACAGATTTGGGAATCTGAAGGAAATAAGGTTGATGGTGGGAGAGACGGGAGAGAGAGCGGAGGAGGGAGAGAGAGAAAGAATAAGAGAGGTGGAGGGGATGAGAGGTTGAGAGAGAGAGAGAGTAGGAGGAAGGGAAAGAACAAGAGGAGGGAGGGGGAAAAGAGCAAGAGGAGGGAGGGGTGAGAGAGAGAGAGAGTGGGGGGGGGGGTGAGAGAGAGTGGAGGGGGGGGGGGGGGAAGAATTTGTGCTCTCTGGCTCACCATAGTAGATGATACAATAAGAGTTTGAAGAGGGACCAGATGCGGCGGTGTATACATAGGTACTATCAAAAGGCTGGTGAAATATGAGCAGAACGAAAAAAAAGTTTAAATTTGGAAAGTTTTTTAAAAAAATGTATGAGAGGGGGAGGAAGAAGATGGAAGACAAGCACTGAGAAATAATTTCAAACAAACTAACGAGAGATTGAAAATTCTTGATTTTAGTCGCACATTGAATATTAATTTTTTGCTCTATGATACCGATCATCAGAACTATTACGTTTACTGTTTTCAAGAAAAAGATGTTGAGCAAAAGTATTTACTAAAACTATTCAAATGATGAAAAACAACAGCAAATTTTGAGGATGTAATACCTTTTTCTTCCCTTTGCATTTGAAGTTACAGGCAGCCAATACCCAGTCCGATACTTCCCTCCCTCTCTCCACCCCATCTCTCCATTTTCTCTTTACATCCTTTTTCCATTTGCTCTCCAACTCCTTATCTTTTTTTCTTACTTTTGTTCATTCTTTTCCTACTTGCATCATGTATCCATCTCCCAAGCCACACAATTAAAAAAAAAAATCTCTTCATCCCCCCCCCTTCCCCCTGTCTCTCTCTCTGCCTTTCTCTCTCTCTTATACATGATTAGCCTATACACAATACAAAATAATCAATATGGAAACAGCTATTTTTGTGCATTAATTTGTAATGTTTCTTTTTATATAAATGGCATTGTTTTATAGATAATTGAAATAAAATGCTACAAATGACATATACACAGTTTCTCTGGATATATCAATAGTATTAGAAGTAGAACATTCTATGAAACTATTGATATTTCACGTAGAAATGTAAGTAGGTAATCTACAAATATTTAGACAAATATATTTCCCTCACAATATGCCCCTTACAATGCAATACTTGCTACAAGTAGAGATTACTAACCTCAATTAATATTTTGGTTTAATGCAAAGGTAACAATAGATAGTGGTTATGTCCTATATTTCTCGCTTCTTTGCTAAGTTTTTCCCGTGATAAAGAAAATGAGAAATAAACAACATCTCAAGTCATGTCTGTAACTAATATTAAAACATAAAGTTATTAATGTTCATTATGATACTTTAAAAAAAAAGAGCATAATCAGACATTCATTTATAGATTTGAACCAACATGCATTTTTAATAAATTTGGATCAAATTTTCAACTTGCTTCAAAGAATTACGATATATGCTAACAAAAGTCTTCTAGCAAACTTATATTCAATATATTTTATGAATTAGATCATTTACATGATAAATAGGCCACTTTTTGTCCTTCCAAATGATAAACCTCTCCTGATTTCAATGCCTGCTCATTCAAATGAAATTTATGGGTGCCTCAAAAAAAAAATGCCAGTTAAAGATAAACTTGAGTTCTGGTAAAAAAAAAGAAAATGAACTCTCACAGAATCTAACAAAACTTACACTGAATGTTCAAGATTACAAATAAATGTCATGTGCCAAACAATTTTGGAAGAAAATGTATACTGGCTGAGTAATGAGCATAGAAAGATAAGGAAATCAGGGTGGTAGTACCAGCCCCGACACCATGTGTGTTGTCCCATATACATCTTTCTGTGTAAGTGATTGTTACTTTACCAAGACTCTGCCAAATTTATGATGATTTTGATGACTCCAGAACCTTGCATTACACACCATTACTTACATGCTATATGATCAACTTTTCTGATCCATTCTACACCTTTTCTTTCACAATGCAATCGCATTACCAGAACTCAAGTTTATCTTTAACCTTTTCTATTTAAATACTGTGATTGCATACCGGTACATAATAGACAGTGTAAAAGACATCTGTAGTCTGCTGTGTTAAAAAAATGCTGTATCATATGTAAATTGGGACTATGATCTAATTCCTTACTATAGCCTTACCCTAAACATAAGTGGTTAAAACCCAATTGCAACCCTTAACATTGTTTATCTGCGCTGAAAACATGCCTGGAGCAAATAAATCAACAGAGAAAATGGCTCATCACCTTGCAGAGAATATTAATCTTTCGTTGCAATGTGGGCTATCAATTCAAATCAATATTTTGTTTTTAGAACAACCTACCCGAAATTCAATCTTATACTGTTCTACAGAATCCAATATATTTATGGTGCCATATGATTGAGTGAAGCGATCACAGCTAATGTCCAAAAGGCTAAAAAAATGTCTTTTGATATGACTATACAATGTGAGTCGTAAAAAAGGAACCCCATGTTCAACTCTAAAGATAGTTGTAATCTGGTGTTTCCAAGTAGTCCATGTAGCCTATGATGTAGATATCATGGAATAGGCTGGGATTTCTTGTTTTCTGACTCACACTGTACTTAACTTAGACCTACTAAACATAAATGCAGATGGAATGCATACTAAAGAATGAAAGGAAATGTGGCATTACAGATCCACCTTACAAAACTCGACATTTGTAATTGTGGCACGTTTGTTGACTAGAATCAGGTATATAAAAAGATCAAAATATACTAGTCTGAAGCTGGAAATAATCAAACCCCTTTCCTGTCGGTCAATACTCGGATGATTGAGCCTACACCACCAACTGCATATACCTGAATAAAGGGAAAGGAAATATTAGTTAATTTGTTAATTGGGTGATTCCAAGCTAGAGAAAAAGGAAATTCTCATAAAAGTTTACAGCCTTACAATATTGATATTTAGCTGTTATATAGCGCTTAACACATCAACAATGTGTTAAAGCGCTTTACAGATATATTATCACCCTAGTCATCGGATTCAGGCTTACCCAACATAATGTATGCACATCCTCCACTTCCTGGGGAGCTTTCCAGCCAGGCATCATTATAACTCTCTATAACCACATTAACTCTCGCATCCTACTGGGTATCCATTTAACAAATGGGTGGAGAGTGGCAAATGTAGATTAACATCTTGCCAAAGGACATTAGTGCCGCGGTGGGACTCATACCCCTGTACCTTGAGATTTGCAGTCGGGTGACTTATCCACTAGACCACAACACCTCTACCTCTAATAGCAGGGCTCCACACTCACTACTTCCATAGGGGGTGACTGCTCGTTGTCATTTTAAGGGTCTGTAGTTCTGTACACGTGAGGCCCCATCATGTTAAATTATCTGAATTATGTGGGTCTAAACTTTAATTTCAGGCACTACTCATATTATCAGCAAAAGACATACATGAGGCAGTGAGAGATTTAGCTCTAGAAACGTCCAAGAGGGCTCTGGTAAACCAAAAAAAAAAAAAAGAGCTCAGGTAAAAAATAATGACATACATTAAAATCAATGTAACGGTGACAAAATCCCAATCTTATAAACAGTGGATTTGTATGCCTAGATGCATGTACAGACAAGCAAAAAGGGTAGGGGACTAGGGGCCGACATGTACTGTATATCACACATGGGTATCAGACACATAGGTGTCTGATACTCAGACACCCATGTGTTTCATCCTTTTATCCTTATATTTCATGAAACTTACGTTAGTAGAAAGCAAATTGATTCAATTAAATTTCTCTCGCCTCTGGACTGGAGGCTTCAAACACAATCCTGCCTTTGAGGTCGTCTTTACATGTACCGTTGGCAACTGGATGGACATGTGCTACCTTTTGAGGTGATGTCTCTTATTTTTCTTTGTGAGGGCTAATTTTGGATTAAACAGAGCCTGAAAAAAATCCAGATGACCTTCTTTGTTTAGTTTGTTGTTGTTGTTGTTGTTGGATTTTATTTTTTTTTAATTTTAAATTTAATTTTTTTTTTTTTTTTTTTTTGGGGGGGGGGTGAGTTGGTCTGAAAAATGTTTGAGTAAAAAGGCAAAGAAAAATCGTGATAAACATTCGTTTGGCCTGTCAGCAAATTTTGGAATATTCTGCCCCCTCTTTTACAAAATCCTGCCCCTTGTCATTTGTGTGTAAGATATTCATAAACTAATCTCACCTTTTCATGCCATGTCAGGCAGACGCTTGCACTTTTCTCTGAGGGTGCTGCAAACTCTCTGTAGATGTACTTCATCAGAATATCGATGGAGTTGCTATCTAATGAGTTCACCGCATCGCCGACCTCTGATGCTTTGAACATTGTGAGTACTCTGATCACAAGTTGGTGTGCCTTGTCCTGTGCACAAAATTGGACAGAATAATGGAAATAACATTACCTGTTAATAAAAACTTTCTGGGTACAAGGAAAAGAAGGCATATTGTTAAAAAAGAATTCCACAGCGAAATCTGGAAATAAGCCTCTTTACTTTAAAGAGTATGCATATATCTCATTCTCAATTTTGCAATTTTACACTCTGCAATAATTTGTATTGCAACCCTCACTACATGTATCAGTTATCTTTTATAGCCTTGTGAAACGTGGTGGTGGTGGTTATTTTACCCGACTGCTAAGAAAGCATAAAGTTTGTTAGTAAGCAACCAGAGGACCAACAGCTTTAGGTCCTCTCTGAGGGACCTGGTAATGAGGATTATTGCATTACCAAAGGGCACTAGCGCATCGACTTGGTTTCGAACCCGGGTCGCCGGATTACGAGACCACTGCTCTACCAACTGAGCTATCGCGTTGCCTCACTATTAAATTTGTTCCATATTTATGTGAATATGATATTGTTTACTGTTGTTACCTGTATAATTGCTTTTCCTATAAGAGTAACAGACTTGTATTTGACTGTTTATGGGTTTTACAGTATGTTTATCTACCAGGGCAACAACATAAACTTTCCTGGATGACGATACAATGAATTTGCACAGAATTTACAGCAAAACACGTTAATCTACCAAGACAAAAATATAAACTTGATGATGATACAATGAATTTGCACATTTTGACACATCTTTATGTACCTCACACCTGTGTCTCCATATTTTTATCACTCACTTTATCTACTTGGTTCTTTGACGTGATTGGTGCGTTTCGCAGAAGAAGCTGCAATGCATCAACATTCTTCTTACTGTTGAAAAAAGAAAAGAAAAGAGAGAGAGAAAAGGAAATTATAATAAAGGGGAAGAAAAAAGGTAAGACAAAATACTTTATGATTGGGGGTGGGGGATGAGGTATGTAAACTGTTTCAAAGCTTCTTTTTTAAATCAATGATTTTAGTAAAATTATTTTGTTAACCTTGTTTCTGCATACTCTGAAATCGAAGTTAAGACAAATTAGGACGGATAAACTTAATGCATATTTTGAAGTTGAACTTGATTTAATTTGACTACAGTGACAGGCTCAGCTCAGAAGGCTTTTAATATTACTCCAATCAATACAGAGTAAAATCTCCCCGATGGTTGGTTTTACTGTTCAGAACTTCAGATAGCAAAATTGTTATTTACAATGTTTTTACATAGGTCTAGATATACCTTGTACAAAATTCTGAATTTGAAACAGTAACAAAAGGAACCTCCCCCCTACCTCGTTCATCATCCGTCATCATCTTTATTGAACTTTCGTCATCATTTCTACTTTGTCGTAAGCTTTATTTATTCACTGCATTTATTCATGTCCATCTCATTTATTTAGTACATGACCAATATATCTCCATCTCCGTGAAATATAATGTTTACTTGTTTCTTATTCGTGACATCATGATTTAGGGGGAGCGTTGACCCTGTTGAAGCCCTATTTCGGTATATTAAATTTATGATGTGTTTTTTATTGTCTGTACTAGACCGAAAGCTTCAGTCTCTATACCGTCGGTTGTTCCACTGAGACTACGTCTGGCTCCACTAGACCTCCGGTTATAGAGACAGAACGACTGCCTATGCCAGCCTGTGTTGAACTTATTCCGCTAGATTTTAGCCGCTAGGCCCCTCCCACAAACTTGCCACGGCCGTATTGTTATGCCCCCAAAATCCCCCAAAATGTCATTTTACCTCGTCCATATCCAATTTTAAATTAGGCCTAGGCTATAATACATCGGTTCCACTTACTAATTTGATGGAAATAATCCGTTTAATGGTCCCTTTTAAGGAAATTATGGGTCAAAATCGACATCCATGTTGAAAATCTTGCAAGCCGTGTTAAACTCTCGTTGCCGTCAATCTCATCCCTTCTAGTCTACGCCGAAGGCAAAATGATTATGAAGGAAAAAACTGTGATAACGCCATTACGAGCGTGTAGATGGCGCACAGTTTTTCCTTCATTATCATTTTGCCTTCGGCGTAGACTAGAAGGGATGAGATTGACGGCAACGAGAGTTTAACACGGCTTGCAAGATTTTCAACATGGATGTCGATTTTGACCCATAATTTCCTTAAAAGGGACCATTAAACGGATTATTTACATCAAATTAGTAAGTGGAACCGATGTATTATAGCCTAGGCCTAATTTAAAATTGGATATGGACGAGGTAAAATGACATTTTGGGGGATTTTGGGGGCATAACAATACGGCCGTGGCAAGTTTGTGGGAGGGGCCTAGCGGCTAAAATCTAGCGGAATAAGTTCAACACAGGCTGGCATAGGCAGTCGTTCAGTCTCTATAACCGGAGGTCTAGTGGAGCCAGACGTAGTCTCAGTGGAACAACCGACGATTATAGAGACTGAAGCTTTCGGTCTATGTCTGTACGTGCAACCTTGCTTCCTCGTAGCTAAAATAAAAAATAGAATTATGTTGTGTGAATAGTGAACACTCATTATAATTTTCATTCACAATCCATCCACACACTAAATAACAGTGGCACTACTCGCGCAGCTCAGCTTTAATAGCAGCACCATCAGCCATCCCGGGCGAGAGGGGCCCTTGCCTAGACCTGCCCCTGCCCTGGCCTTCCCGGCCCCGCTTGGGCGTGTGACTGAAAAGTAGGAGTAATTATTACAAGTCTATTACCTGTTCAGTAGTCGTTCAATTTCTTCTTCGGCTGGTACAGCGACTTGATCGGCCTCTACCACTTCATCTTGGTAATTATTTTCATCAAATTCATCTATATTTACTTTACGAAAAATTGTTGTACTTGTACTTTTAGACATTGTGATAGATATTATTGGTCTCCTACTCCCTGATCCTTTTCTCTCGCACTGGATGTTCTTCCTGATTAGTAGGCGTATTGCTGTAACTCAGCTACTGAGATAAGCTCTTGAGCGCGTGTATTACGACATATCACTTACAGGGTGAGCACAAAGATATCACAAGGCGGAAGTAAACCCTTTCAGTGAAACGGAAGTACAAGTGTATTTTAGTACCAACGACCTTTTTGGCATCTCCGAGGAAAATCATAATGGTACGACCGTAGAAAGAGTATTTAAAATCCCTTAAAATCTCTTGAATTACTCCATCATCCATACTTTAAAACAAATAATATGAATGAGTAATCTGTATAAAATTATATTTATGTACTTTTAGATAAATGTTGAAGTTTTTCTTCTTGATTTCCCCCCTTTAATCGAAATGAAATATATTTTTATAATTTCCACTCTGTCGTAGTCCCATTCGCTTTATTTTTTGTCTGCAGTGCACCGAGTGCGAAAAAGAAAACAAAAAACCAAAGGTCTATATCTAGATCTAGGGTCAATTCTGTTCTGCACTTATCATACAATAGTTATTAAAATTTATAAACGTAAAGTTATACCAGTTTATTAAAAGAGAAGAGAAAAACGAGTGAGAATGTGACAAAAGTGAATGACATTGACAATGTTGGTGGGATTTTGATTTCGGCACTTCACTGTCTCGAGCGTATTTGTGACTTGTTAGAAAAATGTTGAGACACCTTCGGCTCAGAATTCACTGAAAATCGGAACTTTAGTGACACTTGATGACATGTAACCAATAATTCCACAGATTTTGGCCAGATTAAACATCGGTAGGGCTGCTGGTTCAAGAATATGATTATGAATCGTCCGCATAAACGGGGATATCCTTGACCGAACAAATCACATTGGCGATGCGAGAAACGATGATGCTCCATGATGCACTTCTCGCTTACCAGTGGCAGTAGGAGCGCTGATCCAAGAAAATAAGGATCGTCCACATTTTTGCTGACAATTCTGATTTCCAATTGGCAATGCGAAAAAACAGATTCCGCAATGATATTCTTGATGCAATTCACATTGACTTTCTAGAGACTTTCATGTTATGAGCGATAAATCCTCGGGAAGATAGACCACTCACAAAAGTGGACGGTGAACTGGGGGTATTTTATTACGCGGGATACATTTCTAGCAATTTTAGCTCGCGGATCAGGAACCCTAAACCCCCAGAGCGCCGAAGAAAAAAACATCCGCGAAAATGTGGAAGATTCTTATTTTTTAGGATGCGATTTGTCAGCGTTTACGAGAATATCCTTGTTTGTTTGGGTGATCCTCATACTCTGACCAGCGCTCACTCCTAATGACTAAAAACTTCAAGAACATTCTAAATAAGACTAAAATGACTTACAAGGATACTAAAATTGATCTAAAATACCTTCTTGATGCAGAATAACTAGTCCAAGGTCAACATTGAACTTTGAAGCTTATTTGGTCGAATCTGATGCTTTTTTTTATTAGGACAATGGGGTCAATTTATTACTTTTTCTAACAGTTTGTAGATCTATGTAAGGCAGCTGAGCAGTGGAGGTATATCGATATACATCGATAGTAATGAGTGTATAACTATTTTATTTCCAGGCAATTTTGTTAATGATTTTAAAATATTTTATCAGAAAGGAAAACCTAATAAACAATTATAGAATATAAGTTTCCAATCTAAAAAAACCTAAATAATCATTCACATACCCCCCCCCCCCCCAATACTAATAATAGTAAACAAGAGAGAGAGAGACACAGAGAGAAATATATCATTTTGGTTTACAACCCAATTCACAAAAAGAGAACAAAATAGCCTGGAAATAGAATAGTTGTGCACTCATTCCTTGACAGGAGCCTCTGATCTGGCAATAGAACCCCGCTCCCAAATGGAAGACATTCACTTCATTGTGCATGCACTTCTACTCAGAACTGCTTGTGGCAGAGCTCTGTTAAGTTGATATTCTGGGGATTTTTAAAACTATAGCCTTGCCTTTGCCTTTGAAATCACTTTTTAGATTGCAGTTCAAGTTTAGTAATGTACATGTATTTCTTTGAATGTATTTTCCACAGTCACGGATCAAGGCCCATGAACTTCGAGGGAAGAAGAAGGAGGAGTTGGAGGAGAACCTCAACAAGCTGAAGCAGGAATGGGCTCAGCTTCGAGTTGCTAAGGTGACCGGTGGCCAGGCATCCAAGCTTGCTAAGATGTGAGTCAAGAAGCAAATTCATATAAATTTCCATTAGGTGCTCTTTTTCTTATGTTAATTTAGAGCTGATTTGAGGAGATAACCACCTGTTCGTGACCTTGCAGGAAGTTCTAATCCCCCCCCCCCCCCGCCAAACTAGTACAGATGGGCTTTAAAGTTTTGAAGAAATCTAGAATTTTAGAAACACTTCTCAAGCTGTGACATGATTTTTGGGGTCCATACCTGTTGATCACTATGTCGGGTGACTGTTACAGTAGGGTAGATTAACAGCACCCCCCCCCCCCCCCCCCCCCCCCACCGGCAAGGGCTCCTTTTCAATTTTTCAGCTCACAGGTCAACATTTTTCAATGTTCTCCATCGTTCCTGACCGTTCCATTTCGGGTATTTCAAAATCAAAAATCACCCTGATATTTTGCAAGACTGTCGTATAGCATGTTTTGTCCCCCTTGTGCAATTATACAAGCTGTTTTTTAAAAAAGATTGAGAGTTAGGGGATATAATTAATGTGCCTTCTTTTGTTTCTGCAGCTGTGTCATCCGTAAGAGTATTGCCCGTGTGAGGACCGTCATGCACCAGACCCAGAAGGTGGAGCTGCGCAAGTACTACCGCAACCGCAAGTTCAAGCCCCTGGACCTCCGCCCCAAGAAGACACGAGCCATCCGCCGTGAGCTCAGCCGATCAGAGCTGAACCGCCGTACCAGCAAACAGATCCGCAAGGCCAGCATGTACCCCATGCGCAAGTACGCCGTCAGGGCGTAAACGTGATCACATTGCAACTCTCAAAACTATTTCAGAAACTTGTTCAGTACCAGATTGCTTCTGTCCTCATGGGATCCGTTGTAATGGCTTAGGCACTCCGTGAGAAGTGCTTGGACATCACACAGAGGAGGGAGAACCATCGCCGATGGATTACAAACACTCACAACAATGGGCAAAGAAGATTAACCTCAAACTCATATAGATCGAAGAACGTCAATGCCAGATTAATAAAGTCTGTTTTCAGCACATAATTGCTACGAGTTTCATTTTGTTTTTTTGTGATGCAGTGTTTTATTCGGCTTTCTTGGTGAAGGAGTGTTGAATTGAAATTCATTGAACTAAAGTTGTCATTTTAATTTAATTTGAACTGGTTTATTTAATATAAGACATACATTAAAATACAATACATAGAAAGATAGATAAAATACAGTAATATGCACAATAATATACAAAGTAGAAATAACAGACATGTTAGGATAAACATTGAAATTAACAATAACGACATAATTTCAACCAAATATAATGACATGAACTGTATTTGTGCAAGACAAGGTATTTTGTCACATGTTACCAACAACATAACTGAAAGACCAAATACCATGAACTTGCCCACTACAGCTGAGAGACTGAAGTATTATGAGGTGTAATGTATGCATCTATAAAAGGTGGTTTGAGAAGCTGTCAAAAGAGGGAGGAGGGTGAGGAGAGAGAGAGAAAAAAGAGGAGAGGGGGTGGGGAGAAGTGATATAGGAAGAGAAAGAAAGAGAGAGAGAGAGACTGCAAAGAGGAGGAGAAAGAAAGAATACTGCTGTAAGTGAGGCACCAAGTGTAGCTATTGTAACCCCTAAAGGCTCTTTCAGATATGAATTGGCATTTTTTGTTTAAATGTGTAAATGAATGGAAACTGCTCAACAAAAGTGCTACACATATTCATTAAGGGTTTTGCGCTTAGGTCATAATTAAAAAAGAAAAGAAAAAAGTTTACCGTGCCATATCTGAATGAGGAAATGAGATAGATATAAATCTTTTAGGTACCATTTTCAAAATGGAAACTGCACAACAAGAGTGCTACACATATTTTGTCGAGCTTTGTGCTCTCAGATCCTGTACTCTCAGATCCAGAAGAGTGAAACATATTGTTCCCGTTTTCACGAAGTGACGGTAAGTGAGGAAAATCGCATTCAATTTGCGTGACAATTTTTCTCACTACTGTCACTTCGTGAAAATAGGGACGAATTATGACACTTACAGTCTTACATCATACTAAAAAAAGTAAAACTGCAGTTTACCACATCTGAAAGAGGGAATGAGATAGATATAAATTCAATGATGTACATTTAAAAATCTTTTGAATTGAATTTATTTCCACATTTGCATTAAAATAATACAGAAACACAGTTAAACAAACATCAAATACATGTACATGCAAATTAAGAAGATAAAAGGACAAACTTGCACGACTTGAAAACCATACAATGTAAATGTGGCAGGATCAAAGAAAGTTTTTGTAAAACTTATGTCCATGATCCCATACTTTTAAGAAGCATTTATACAAGTCTAAAGACACAATAACACGATATATAATGATGTTAATAAAATGCAAGAATGATTTTGCATTCACCATCTATTAACAAAAATTACTCTTATACTCTTTTAGTCTATTCTCATATTTTCATGTAAAAGTTAAAATCTTTAATAAATTTTGGCAATTCATTCCATAATACAGGCCCTCTACACTGAACGGTACTACGTGAAAAGGAAGAATTACCATAAGCAACACAGTAATCAAATTTAATACAAGTGTTATAATTATGTACTGCAATATTACGTTGAAATAAGAAATCAAATGATTTCTGTAATAATTTCTTAAGAAATAAAAACATGAATATTCCTACATTATAAACATACATTTCATAAATTGGCAAGACTTTCAACTTTTAAAAGTAGGCATACTATGTGAGCGTAAATTAGAATGTGACTCGTTTTTTATAGTTTTAATAATCTATCTAGAAGATATATATTGCACGATCCCCATATAATGTTACCATAATTCAAATGAGGTAAATCATTTTATTGTACAACGTCAATAAAACATTTCGGTACAGTATCACTCAATCTGTTTATAGCTCCGATGCTTCTGGATATTACATTAGATATCTTGTTAACATTTGATTCCCATTTCATACCTTCATCAATAAAAATTCCCCAAAATTTAACAGTTTTGACTCGTTGAATCGAGGCATTGTGCATGTATATATGTTCATGATCATCATCAATATTTTTAATTCCAAATACCATAAAATTAGTTTTTTTTTAACATTTATTACTTATTTACATGCTAAAAACCAAAGTACCCTTGTTCCAACTTCTCCACAAAAAAAATGTTTTATGACCTTGAAAGGGACAGCCATTGTTGCACTTCCAACTTTAATCTCCCAAAGTGCAAAATCTTATTCAGATTTTGCCTTTTGGGCTTATATATTTGTTTATTTGTTTATTTATTATTTTTGTCAAATAAATCATTTGTCTGTTCAAGAACACATGACTGATGAAAATCAACATTCAATGCCAATCATTGAATGAGAAGTAAAAATATCTATTCTCTTTGTTAAAAAAAAAAATGTGCATGAAAATTACTTCTATCACACATTTCTTTCTTCTGAAGTAAAATGGAAATGCCTTAGAAAACAAAGAGATTCGATCATACACAGTATGTCCTCCGTAGGAGGACTAGAGGGCCAACTAAAATCGTGACCTTTGACATTCCATAGGTTTTGCATTGGATGCATTATGGGGGTTTTGTCCGATTTGAACGACGGTTTTGGAGGGTCAATGAATATTCATGAGCAATGACGTAAAAAATACGCCAACTACTGTTTGTTGATTGGCCATCGACAAAATGTTTTATGTATTAGGTCATGCATAAAACATTTTTTGCATTCCCAGAACTCCCTACGATTTGAGCACGAAAATGGCGGTTGTATGAACTGCAACTTTCAAGTTATTCAATTACGAACAATGAAACATTTTTCTTTTAAGTGAATTTCTATTATAATAGAAGTTTGTCAAGTACATCTCAGTGAAGCAGAAAATCTTCAGGCGAACATTGACATCGAAGTGATACCCTATGATATCAAGAAAAGTAAGTAAAGATCCATTTTGTGTGAAGGTCTCTGAAATGATTGTGATGTGTTCGTCATTGCAGTGAGGGGCTCTCCGCATTGTCACAACGTATTACCCGGTTAACCCCCTACCCCATCCTCTTTTCTTTCTTCTGACCAAAGAATATTAACTGATTGAATGAACTCTAATATAAGTCATCGACGGTAATATTTTTAAAAACAATCAGGATTTTACCGTAGGTTATTTCATTAGAGCACATCTCATAATTTTAAGTTCAGTTCATAGCTTGATTACCGATAGTAATCGGTCGTAGATGTGGACCTGTTGTAGACTGCGCAAATGGCTCATTGCTATAGTCCAAGCCGACGAGATCTCGTCGAGCGGTTTATGATTTTCAATTCGCCGGTGCTAGCCGCCTGTAACACTCCACCAAGAAGCGACTGCGTTTCCTGAGCTGGCGCGGCTATAACTTTACAATGTGTTACTGTAAAGCCTAAGCTAGCTGCCTACATAGCATAGTCTAGCCTGAATGTTCTGTCTCTTTCGTTCGTTAGCCTCTGATTTGGGTAGGGTCGGCTCCTCTCTTTAGCCGACCCTACCCAAATCAGAGGCTAACGAACGAAAGAGACAGAAAAATTCGGGCTAAGCAGAGCCTAGCCCTAGGGCTAGGCCTAGGTTAGGCTAGGTCTAGTCTAGATCTAGCACTTAGATCTAAGTATAAACAGCATTTAACCCCGCATCTAGTATAGGCCTAGATCTAGGGCTAGATTCTAGGCCTAGCCCTAGGCCTAATGCATTCTAATTTTTAAAAAAAGACTAAATAAATGCCTGGTTTAGGTGGGTCAATGTGGGAGTAATGGAGGGGGGGGTGCACAATCATTCTGTGCCCCCTTATTCAGATGTGGCATAGGGACGGGTCTAGATCTAGGTCTAGAGCCCCCTAGGGTCTACTAATAGGCAATAAGATCTAGATCTATAGCTTGTGTTATGCCATAGCCTAGCAAAGACTTCCATAGCCATGGGTCTAGTCTCGTTTTGCTCCACTACTACTACTCGTGCGCATGTGTCATTATTGTGATCCAGGTCCAGATTCAGCTTAGTTTTAATGTAGATCTAGGCTAGATCTACCAACAACAACAAAAACAAAACAAAAAAGGTATCTCCTCCCCCCCCCCCCTCCCCCTCCCACTTCCCCTGATTTCGCTCTTAGTTATGTCATTGTGCCTTGTTTGAAATAATTAGTTTATTTTCAGGATTTTATGCCACCCCTTTTATGTTGGTGAGAATTCTGGATCCAACCCTACATATGACATGGATATTTCTTTCTCTAAAGGACATGAACAAAGTTATAAACTGATAACTAATGCATGCATTTGATATTAGCAGGAACCTTACTAAGTTTCTGTTTTCTTTTAATTGTAGATCCTATGGAACAAAGAAGCAGATAATGATCACAGAAGTGCAACAAAGAGCACCAGGACCTGATCATCAAATGTTATGATGTAGATCTAATCAGGAACAAGACACCTAAGTTGAACTCTGGCAAGGTATGTTTGTATGAAGTTCGAAAATATTCAGGCTGTATAATCTCGACTTGGACTATATATACAAAGATTTGGGGAACTGTCATCTTGTGTTGCATTATATCTTGTAATTCTCATTTATTCTCTAGCTTTATTTAGGTGACAAACTATGGTGTTGCTACAGTTTATTCTCTCAGCATATTAAAAGACATACTCAAAGGCATTGTTTCCTAAATATTACATTATATCTAACAAACTTTTGTTCACAAAAGTCTAGCAAATAATAACTTAAAATAAATTGGAAATTACTTTAAAAAATAATTGGAAATACATCTAAACCTTTAGGCCTACTCTTCTCTTCAAAAAAGGCCCTATCAGATAGACATAAGTTTATCATTTTTTAATAAAATTAAAATGCAAGACCTAAAAAAAGTGGGGAGGTACTATTTTTGAAAATCCAATATAATGCAGCAGTTTTAATCTTATTTGATTTCTCCTCTCTTTTTTTTTTATTATTCAGGTTGTCCCATGCAGAAGGTTTGATACCCAGGCTTCTTTTGTACAAGTCCCTAGTCCACCCTCATCTTGAGAACTGTTCCGGTGTCTGGGATCCCTACAACATCTCAGATGTCCAGGACGCTACTTCACAATGGGGACCACAAGAGAAGCAGCAGTTTGACTGAGATGATCAGCACCTTTTAGTTGCCTACTATATCTACAACTACAAGGCACTCTGCAAGAAGACTGGGAATGGTGCACAAGATAGTCAATGGTCTCTCCGCTCTTCCTTGAAAATTTTCCCACTGCACTACTTATAGCTACTTGCGCCCTCTATATAGCAAACAATGCCTAATCTGTGCCTGTTGGTCCCCCATGATCCTCTTTTTCTTATATTAATTGAGAGCTGATTTGATGAGATAACCACCTGTCAGTGACCTTGCAGGGTGGTCTTATCCCCCTGGCCAAACTAGTACAGACAGGCTTTAACAAATCATGAGCAGGAAGTACCATGACATGACCCTCCAGTTGCACCAAGCCAGAAGCGACATAGGTAGACAAGTTTGTATTTGCCCAACACTCTGTCCCAAAGTTAATGGAACTGACTTCCAGCAAATATAGTGCATGCTGACAGTCCAGAGAACTGCCAGGAACTACTTCTGAGGCATATACTCTCCTTATCCCACTTAGAAACAATCTGTCTTCCTCATACCACTTGTAATCTTTAGTATTAGTTCATCTTCGTGATAGGCTACAACGCCTTTTGAAGATTACCAGAAGAAGAAGAAGAAGATATATCGAGGATCATGAAAGTAATCAATTTGTTCTTTTAAATGCGTGTACATGTAACATAGTTTTTTGATATTTAATCTTAAGTCAAGTTCTGACAAAAATATGAGGGATGCTGAACTGGATAGTAAATTGAAGGGGGGGGGGGGGGAATAAAATGATGTAGTTCAATAGTAATTAAGACTGTATTAATATAATTAATATTAATAATAATAACAATATTAAAAATAGTAAGAATAATGACAATGATCATGATAATAGCAGTAATAATAATGATAATACAGGTAGTAGTAAAAACAACAACAATAATGTCCAATGTAAGATAAAGTACTCATAAAACTCAGTATATACCTGTGCTTTACATAATAAAATAGCATGTTGATATTATTGAATATTTTTTTCTTCAAAATCTACAGTAAATTTTTACAACTGAAAGATTTGAATTCAAGAGACAGCACCCCCCCCCCCCCATCCATTTGTCATCCTTTTGTTTGATGTCATGTTGGATTTAAAAAGACTTTATAGAAACAAAATATGTTCATAAATGAGTTCATAAATGTTAATAAATCAGTTAATACTGCTGAATTCTGTTCTTTTCATTTTCTTATTTTGTGAAATATATGTGACGATGCTGGTGATTATGATGATGTAGGCACTAGGCACTCTGTAATGATAATGCTGTATGACTGAGGTGAGATGGGGGCTGATGCAGTCTTGTGTAGAATTGAGTATGGTGTTCGACCTTTTGATGTTTGTTTATATCTGGCATCAGCGAGATAGATTTAACCATCTTTCCTGATGAGAGAGAAAGCGGAAATGTAACAAGAGAGTGGGCAAGACTATGTATAAATGCTGTATAAAAAATGGTTTACAATAAAGATGAAAGGGGGGGGGGGTTAAATAAAGAATAAGTCGATGCCGAAATGATGAAAGCATAGGTAATTGGGGTAATAGAGCCTATGGAAATGTCACTATTAGACGGAGTCCCTGTATTGAAAATGTTACTGTTGGGGGGGGGGGGGGGATTAAAAAAAAATCAGTGGCGACGAATGCAAGAATGAAAAGAACGAGACAAAATTGAAATTTCATTGGGGATAGGGCACAATATGAAGATCATTGAAGTCGAGGTGAGAATGATTCATTAATTGGACACTAAAAATATGAAAATATCACTTGTTAAGTGGGCTAAATGATCAGTGCAATTTGTCTGATTTAAAAAATATTTAAGTTAATAAAGGAACAAAAAAAAAGAGGTAAAAAATGAATTGAGTGAAATGGGGTCATTATTTTTGCCTTTTAACTGAACTGAATTTTTTAAGATGTACTTTCCATCCTGGTGACGGTGAAGTTTGTGGCCCCAACTAAGTCAACCATTTAAAAGTCTTCCCCCCCCCTCCCCATCCCACACACCTCCCCAACTCTGACCTTTGTTCTACATTTATCCGGCCCAATTAGGATTCTGTCGATATAGTAACGCATGCGCATTGTCTTTTTTTCATTGTGATAATATGCTAATAAGTGGAAAAGAGCTCATGAATATTCCAAATTTTAATTTAAATATTTTGCGCGCTGCGCGCAGTCCAAAATCCCCATTTCGCTGGTGCACTAAAAATTTGTCGTCTTCATAGGCTAATACACGATAAGTGGAAGCAGTGTGCACTTTTGACCCTCCAAAATCTCCCCATGGCTAGACGGATGCAGAAGCGGAGTTGCACCCCCCCTGTTAGAAAAGGGAAAGAGCGCCCTCAACGCCTTGTTTCATGAAGGGACTAGGTTTTTAGTTGTGGATAGTTTGTTTACTTTCAGCTAGGCCAATCAAGAGTCTGACGCGAACACATTGTAGGCTTTATACCTAGGTTTCATACATCTTACATATATTTGTTTTCATCTCTTGGAAATTTTAGTTTTCTCGTTTTCTGACCAATCTTATTTTCTTCCCCTTTTTGAGATTTCCTTCTTAGTCTTTCCATTCATTAAATGCATCCCTCTCCATCTCTCTCTCTTTCCTCTTCACATTCCCCTCCCTCAGTCCTCTTTCTTCCCTTATTCTCCCCCCACCCCTCCCTCTATGACTCGCCTTTTACACTCTTTGTCTCCCTCTCTGCCCTCCAAATCCTATCCTAAAACCCAATGACAACCCTACCCCTAAACTAACATCTTGGAAAAATATAGCCTTGAGTAAATGTTGCCTGAGCAAATGTTGGTTTCATCTCTTGAAACATTTTTTTTCCTTCAATTTATTACCGATATAAATGTTCTTTCCCTTTTTGAGATTTCCTTCTCCATTCTTATTCAATTCTCTCCATTCATTAAATGCACGCTCTCCATCTCTCTCTCTTCATATTCCCCTCTCTTCCTCTTCCCTCCCATCTATTCCTAAACCGATCCTAAAACCCAACGACAACCCTACCCCTAAACTACAGGTAACATCTTGGAAAAAATACAGTCTGGACTAAATGTCACCAGAACAAATGTTGGATGACCCATTATCTTCGTTTCTGTATGTCTGTCTGTCTCTTTTTTTCCCTCTCTCTCTCTCTTCTCTGCATGTCTTGTTCAATCAATATACATCTATGTTTATAAATAAATAGAGGAACTAATCATTTTAAACAATAATAATATTTAATTTTTATATAGTGCTTAATACAAATGTCTTTAAGTGCTTTACAAATATACTATTACCCCGGTCATTGGTTTCAGTGCTTGCCCGCACACAATGTGTGCACAATCTCCACTCCCTGGGGAGCATTCCATCCAGGCGTTACATGACGCTCAAAAACTGTTTGACCAACAATGACGGTCGCATCCTACCGGGTACCCATTTAACACCTGGGTGGAGAGTAGCAAGTGCAGGTTAATATCTTGCCAAAGGATATTAGTGCCGTGTTGGGATTCAAACCTTCGACCTTTGCATCTCCAAGTCAAGCGCCTTAAACCACTCGACCACTATAAACTACATATATATTTATTTAATTGTATATTTATTTACTTATTTGCACTTTATCGAAGATCACATAATTGAACGTAATGTACATGGTAATACCGGTAGTTATGACAAAACATACAATCATAAGTACCATATGTACATACAATGAAAAAGCTAAATAAAGTTCACATAAATAAAAATAAAAAAGCTAAATAAAGTGGGGGATCTACTATTTAAAGCAAAGCTTATTATGTAGGTCCCAGTTATTAATAGGTTTGTATATAGATTAGGATATCTGAATAAACACAAGATAGTTACAAAAGCATATGATTATACAAGGGTTATCTATTAGTGACCTATTTTTACTAAACATAGCGTAAACAATTGAGAAAAAAAAGGGAAAATTTCTGTGCTTTCCTCAGCATAACCAAATGTATATTGGTTAAATATATTTTAGATAGAAGCACATTTCATACAGCCTACATGACAATATTAAACACACATTAATTTCCATGTCTAACTGTATACAATATCATATATAATAATGGTTTATCAGAGATTCTCTGGACATCTACACCAAGCAAATATGTGAAATTTTAAAAGACTGTTAATATCATCCATTTACCTGTGCTATCTAAAAAAAAATTGTTTGCTAAAACAAGACTGCCGGCTAAGATTACCCCCCCCCCCCAAAAAAAAAAAAATCCTATTTTAGGAGATCTCTATGAAATGATATTTCCTATATAACTTCAGAGCCCGTTGTGTTTGTATTTACAAACACTGCTGCAAAAATTTAAAGAAGAAAGAAATGTAAATTGTTTATGAAGCAGATCAAGCGTGAGTTACTCATTAATTAACTAAATTTGAGGAGTTTCTCATTCTTTTATGCATTTTATGCAAGTAACGGCAATGCACTGCATACAAAATGAGTGAAAAATGTGTGCAACCCAGTGCACTGTACAGTCTGAAGCCACTAGGTAAAGGTCATAGAACCAATCACATCATAATCATTTTTACTACTTCTTGAGTTTTCCTGATAACATTTTACTTAAGATACAAATTACAAAACTGGGTCAGTCACAATAATCAAAACATTATGTCATCAATATCTAACATTTTAAAAATGAATGAGTTATATGATCTATCCGTACTCGTGTATAGGCTTCGAAGTTCGCTAGTGGATGCCGAGAACCTGGGTTGAGTGTGGAAAATGTAGATTAATGTCTTGCCAAAGGACCCTCGTTGCTGTGCAGTAGGGATTCAAACCTTGTCCAGCAATATATCCACTAGACCAAAATGCCTCTATGAATCTTAGTCTTAATTGGACCAAGTGTGACAAAATTCCTGCCAGAGCACTGAATAACATGGATTTTCACTATCAATTATCTCAGATTACCGTATTTAACAAAAGAAAATGCTCTCAACCCATACCTATGATAATTCTAACAACCCAGCTATTAATTAGTTCCAGACTTGACCAATGTTTGCAAAGTCATTGCAAGAAAGAATCTTTCCATCTGTGTGACTTTAGACCATACAGATGCACTGGGTTATGCACACTGCTTCCACTCCAACCTACTTTGTCTGAAAGATTCATGCTATTCAGTTTTGCAATGTCTTAAACCGTGCTCGTGTCTGAAACAAAGGAGTCTGGATTGTTAAAATGGCCCTTAATTCATATTTTATACCTCATTCACTCTAACACAAACAATATACATAATATATTCTCTATATTTTTGTGGTATTTCCGAGAAAAGGAATATTTCCATCCTTCAAGAATTAGAACAAAGAATGATAGTAGACTTCTATGACCTCTACCAACACATTGCATTACCTTTACATATCATTTCCACAAAAAAAACACAGAAGAGATGTCTAGTCGTAGTCCAGTCTAGATTCCGACTACAACTTTATCCCCTTGATAGAAATATATTGGTATGATCCTGGAATAGGATCAACATATCAACCATTTCCTATGGCCAGAAAATTGCCCCAAATTACACAAAATGAAAGAAATTATATCTTTCATGATATGATTGAAAATCTTTCAAATTCGCTTTTCACTAGTAAATTTGGTAAAAATCTAATATTGAGAAAAAAAAACACTGAAAACAACAACAAAAAATGGGGGGGGGGGGGAAATATATACCGGTATATACGTGAATATAATGCAGATAATAAGTGCAACAGTCTATTTCCACCGGCGCTTAAAATAAATCAACCCTTTAGGAAATAAGCAAAATCCTTGTAGTAATTTTTTCAATTTATGTTCACTTTTTATAAAAAGTTTCTATTCTAGTAATGAGGAAAAATACAAGTATATATATACAAAGAAGGTTTAGAGGCAACAAAAATATGAACAATCATAACAGTCCCTTTGGATATCAAGTTTACCAGATGTTAGCAGATTTTGGTTTTCAACTTAATGTACAGGAATAAAGCTGATGATTCACCGGTAATAGAAGTTCTAGACAGTTCTACACGCAGGCCTATTTATGATTATTATCATAATCCACGGCCCCGTCGATCGAAACTGCAGTATGTACATGTACAGTGTATATACAACATTTTAATAGAAGCAATGATTAAGAGAATTCAATTTCCCATATTTACAGCAAATATAATGATACCGGTATCTCTTTTCCTTTCCTTTACATTAAATTGGAAATAACAGAGACCGCGACGCGAACGCAGCTGCTGATCGGTCTCCAAAGATATTCTTCTCTTACAATAAGAGAATAAACCTTGAGGCGTTTGAATAACCAGTGACGTCGGGTTCTGTTATTTCACTTCTGGTTTTACTTGATATCAGGGACATCAGATGTCTGAGAAATGATCTTCAAGTAGACGGTGTTGTCTCGGACAAACCCTGACTTTGGATCCTCAATTATCTGGATCTTGGCAAACAGGGGGCATCCTGCTCCGATGTTCTTCTCTGTGGTAGGTTTCTTGAACGAAGAGCTTGCAGGATCAGGTCTGAAGGCCTCTACGATACTCTTGTTGATAGGATCGTCTTGGTTGACTAGCTGGAAAGTAATCCTCTCCTTGAATGGCCAAGGCAGCACTGCATCAAACGAACCTTTCATGATCGTTAGAAACAGTGAGATGTGCGTGCCCTTCCCTACGCCATCTCCCATCAGGAAAACTCGTCCACAAAGCTTGTATCCGTACTGACTGGTATAGAACGGCGGCGAATAGATCGACTTGACGTTTGTATTCATAGCATCCCTCTTCTTCTCGGTGTAATTTGCAATCTTCCAGACAAAGACTCCGCTGTAAGAGGTCTCCAACGTCAGCAGTCTCTCATCTATCTTTTCTCCATACTGACGAAGAGACGCAACAGATCGCTCAAGCTCTTGGAATTTCTTCTGCAGTTTGTCATAGATTCCCGGATCTCTGAAGTTGGGCGAAAGATTCAGCTTGTCCAACCTAGTATGAACTGCCATCACGTCTTTGTTGAACGTCGCCAAGACCCCTTGAAACAGCTCCTGTTTGTAATAGATGGATGCAAAAGCTTTGGGCATATCCTTCATTTCCTCCAAACGCTCTGAGAGACCTTCAATATCCTTCTTTACCTTTTTAAATTCTCTATCTCGATCCTTCTCACTTGCTGCTCCACGTAACTCCTTTTCCTCAGAGGACTCAAGATCATCATCTTGGAAACGTGGGAAGTAGCCATTCGAAGCTCCCTTTGCTGCTGATGCCCCTGGACTTAGGATGGCTGATGATAACTGTCTGCCTAAGGACTGTCCATCTGGTTGGTCATCGGGACTAGACCTTCCGCTGCTTCCATTCTGTCTTGGTCTTACCTCATTGCTCTCGCCAGATCTAGTCTCGAATTGGTTACTATCCATAGATATTGAATCGCTAGGACAGCCGGATTCACTCGTCTGATTTGCAGCGTACTCATCATTTTCCAGCGTGATTGGCACTTTGGGATCAAGGGCGCTGAAGACGAGTACCAACCTCAAAATCAGATTTCTCACAGATGGTTTATCACTTCTGAGGACAAGCCCACAAGTCCAGTCCCACGTTTCCTGTAAACAGAAGGAAAAAAAGAGAGAAGCATAAATGAACAGTTAGGAGATATAGAGTCAATCTGTTGTTAAATATCATAGCGTCCAGATCGTTTTCTTCCAATAGAATTTCACAAGTTTCTGCTGATTTATTTTCTATTTGTGACTAGCAACAGAACATGTATGAAACTTCACACCAAACAAAGACAATTTCAAACTAGATTTTAAATCGTCACGAGGACGATTAAGGTGGTCTGTTTTCAAGTCTTATGATAGATTATAATATTTTGTATATTGAGAAAGGGAGAAGTTATATAGACATGTAAAGAATGATCATCATCATGATGATCATGATGATGATGATCTTGATAGTGATGATGATGACGATCGATGATGATGATGATGATCATGATGATGTTGATGATTATCATCAACAGCTAGACCATGATGACAGACTGAAAAAAATGAGAGAACATTTAGATAGTATATAGTCTCAGCTTCAACATACTCAAAAATCAACAAAAATCAAGCCAAAATAAAGGCGATATTGCTCGCAAAAGACAAGAATGTAGAGATTTTGAGACAAAGTCATCTCCCATAAGGATTACACGCAAAAAGTAATGGATCAAGTGATAATAGGGTAATAATAAAGTAAATATGGTTGTTTATTACATTATTTGCGATATACGTGTTAATATTCAAAGGAGATGGTACAGTGAAAGGTCAAAAAGAAAAAGAAAGGGAAGAAGAAAAATTGTTGGAGACGCCCGTGATGATGATGATGATATAATATATTGATGATGATCATGATCATGCTGACATCTGATTGAAAAAATGAGGGAGACATGCATTTAGATAGCATATAGTCTCAGCTACAAAATACTTAAAAATCAACAAAAACCAAGTGGAAATAACAGCGATATTACTCGCAAAAGAACGGAATGTAGAATCCAGATTTGAGAAAAGTCATCTCCCATATAGAGAAATTAAGAGAGAAATTATATAGACATGTACATGTAAACAATGATGATCATAATGATGATGAAGATGATGATCTTGATAGTAATGGTGATGATGATGATGATGATTATAATGATAATGTTAATGATGATGATGATGATGTTGATGATCATGCATGATCATGATCCTGATGATTTTGATGATGATATGATGATGATGATCATGATGGTATTGATGATGATCATCATGATAGTGATCGATGATGATCATTCATGAGCGTGATCCTGACATCTGATTGAAAAAATGAGGGGACATTTAGATAACATATAGTCTCAGCTACAACATACTCAAAAATCAACAAAAACCAAGCAGAAATAATGGCGATATTGCTCGCCAAAGACAGGAATTTAGAATCCAGATTTCAGACCATGATGATGATGATCATCATCATTAAGATAATGATGATCATGAGCGTGATCCTGACATCTGATTGAAAAAATGAGGGAACATTTAGATAACATATAGTCTCAGCTACAACATACTCAAAAATCAACAAAAACCAAGCAGAAATAATGGCGATATTGCTCGCAAAAGACAGGAATGTAGAATCCAGATTTCAGAAAAAGTCACCTTCGGTAGGCATGACACGCAAATTACGAAAATTCTGACATGTCGCATTTAATCGAAATTTTCACTATGATGACGTCATCAAAATGAAAAATGGTGAGATATAAATAAAGAGAAGGAAAGAGGAAGACGGTACGTTATAGTCATGTAAAAATACATGAGCTGGACAGAGGGATGAAAGATCGAGGAATCAGAAATGCGCATATCTTGGAAGGAGAGAGCTAGCGGGAGATCGAGGATAAGGAAATGGTGGTAGGTATACGCACGTGAAATAAGAATACAAAGCTAGCCAAAGCTAGGCAACGGAAAGAGCTAGAGAAAATTAAGGAGCAATGGAATAAGGCCAAATAAAAAATAAAAAAATGTTTAGCGTCCTGTTTTTAGGAAAAATAGGAAGGGGGAGGCCCTTTTTTTTTTTTTTTTCTTTCAAAATGGCCGCTCAAAATGGCTGCTCGGTACATTTTCCCTGTCAGTCGGGCTACTTTTCAAGATGGCCGCCGACATTTTATGTTTTTTTTCTCTAAAAAAAAAAAAAAAATCAAAAAAAATAAATAATAATAATCAAAAAAATAATAGGAGGCGGCCCCCAAAAAGGAAGCGGGCGGGGACGCTAAACATGTATATTCTTTTTACATGGCCTAAACGACAAGGTATCAGATATCCATTGTTTTGACATTCCTTTTCCCTTAAACACGCAAAATCATGCATTTCGTGAGAAATTATATGCGCGAGAAATATACTGGGCGAATTGTCTGTAGGGCGAATTTAATCTGACCAAGATTTTGGCCGATTCGAATTGCATGCACATTCTCATGATCATGGTCATATGAGTTCTGAGTACTGCTGTTTTATAGTTGTGCTGTTGTGCTGATTGCTAGCTTAGTTTTGGTAAGAATTCGGTTGTTGCTATTGTATTACTTTATCGTGAATCCTTTCTTATTAGTTTGTTGGAGATTTTGCGTTATCGCATAAGTGTGTGAGTGTATTTAAACTTTTAAAGGCATTGACTTTGTTTATAATATTATGTTTGCAGTTTTAGTACAAATCAAGTCTGAGATGCGATACATATTACGTATACCGTACATGTATATAGGGTCTGCGTGTTATCATATCAGCTCAGTGAGCTGAGTAGTGAGTGTGATTGTGATTGAATTTTGAAGCCCTACGAAAAACGAAAAGGAAGTGTTTCAAAAAAGTGAAAATCTTTGACTCAGTTTGACTTTGATTGACCGGTTTTACCATACTCATTTCCCCCAATAGAGTGTAGACCGTAGACCTGTCCTAGTCTAGATCTAGATCTAAGTCAGTGTTATAAATTAAAAACCGTAAGTCGGTAGGGATCTAGGCCTACTAGATCTAGATACTAGGCCTATATCTGACTATAGGCCTAGATCATAGATCTAGACTAGACCTAGATCTAGTCTAGATCTATTAATTTCTAATTCCAATCATAAATATCTTGATAGGCTAGTTGATAATTAGACAGGTCACAGCTGACAGGCGATCGGCTTGTAAAAGTCATGGGATAATAATTATCCCCTCGCCAAAGAAGGAGGGGATCTAGACCCCTGTATTATGCTACTCGCTGTCGAAGCCCGACCTTCCTTCTGTGTGCATTAACAAATCTGGTTTAAAATCAATAACTTTAGTAATGTTTGACGGATTTTAATGAAATTTGATATGAAGGTAAATGGTATAAAAACACCGCATAAGTTCAATTTCGGAGTAAGTAGGTCATAGGTCATAGCTCATTAAATATGCGAATCTGGTTTCTGTTCGATAACTTTAGTAATATTTGATGGATTTTCATGAAATTCGATATGAAGGTACAGGGTATAAAAACGAGGCATAAGTTCAATTTCCGAGTATGTAGGTCAAAGGTCATGGCTCATTGAATATGCGAATCTGGTTTTTCGATCGATAACTTTAGTAATGTTTGACAGATTTTAATCAAATTTGATATGAAGGTACATGCTATCAAAATACAGCATAAGTTCAGTTTCGGAGTATGTAGGTCAAAGGTCATAGTTCATTAAATGTGCAAATCTGGTTTCTATTCGATAACTTTAGTAATGTTTGACGGATTTTAATGAAATTTGATAGGAAGGTACATGCTATCAAAATACAGCATAAGTTCAGTTTCGGAGTATGTAGGTCAAAGGTCATAGCTCATTAAATATGTGAATCTGGTTTCTGTTTGATAACTTTAGTATTATTTGATGGATTTTCATGAAATTCGATATGAAGGTACATAGTATAAAAACACAGCATAAGTTCAATTTCCGAGTATGTAGGTCAAAGGTCATGGCTCATTAAATATGCGAATCTGGTTTCCGATTGATAACTTTAGTAATGTTTGACAGATTTTAATCAAATTTGATATGAAGGTACATGCTATCAAAATACAGCATAAGTTCAGTTTCGAAGTATGTAGGTCAAAGGTCATAGTTCATTAAATGTGCAAATCTGGTTTCTATTCGATAACTTTAGTAATGTTTGACGGATTTTAATGAAATTTGATAGGAAGGTACATGCTATCAAAATACAGCATAAGTTCAGTTTCGGAGTATGTAGGTCAAAGGTCATAGCTCATTAAATATGCGAATCTGGTTTCTGTTTGATAACTTTAGTATTATTTGATGGATTTCATGAAATTCGATATGAAGGTACATGGTATAAAAACACAGCATAAGTTCAATTTCGGAGTATGTAGGTCAAAGGTCATAGCTCATTAAATATGCGAATCTGGTTTCTGATATCGATAACTTTAGTAATGTTTGACGGATTTTAATCAAATTTGATATGAAAGTACATGGCATCAAAACATGGCCTTAGTTTGATTTCCCAGTATGTACCCTGCGAGGGGATGCTATGCTTTGCGTTGACTTGTTTTATTTATGTCATTTAGCATTATGAATGAGGGCTCATTATTTGTATTTATTGTAATATATTGATATTGGTATTTTATTAAATGTAATTTTTTGTTTTGTTTTGTTTGTATTTTAGGTTACTGAGAGTTGAAGAGAGAGTTGCAGAAAGTAAGTTGATATGCTTAGAAAGGCTGAAGTCAAGTAGTTTTTAAATTAAAGCTATGATGGAATGAAACAGATCCGCATAATTGGGAACAATTGAATGCAGAATACGAAAGCTATGGCTTTAAGAAATTTTCTATATAACTTTTTGACACTACCAAGTTACTTTTAATTATGTCAGTAAAGGTATAGACCAGTTTTGGAAAAGCCCCCTCTCAAAAAATGAAATGGTACCTTTTTTTAACAATCATGTGAAAGAATATGTTTTGACTAATAGCTGATGATACAAATTTTGATACTAATTGATATATTTGGTAAATTATTATATCTATCCGGAGTGGATAGATATTGCGCATGTGTCGCATAGTCCCATATACATCTTTCTGTGTACAGTGCTTGTAACTTTACCATGACTGGGTCAAATTTCTCATCATTTTGATGATCCAGAACCTTTCAGTACACACCAATACTTACCGTATATGCTAGATGATCAACCTTTTGTGATCGATTTCACAACGTTTTTTTCGCAATGCAATCGCATGACCAAAACTGGTCTTGAATGAGGGCTCACTATTTGTATTTATTTTTGTAATACATTCATATTGGTTTTTTATAAAATGCAATTGTTTTTTTTTTTTCTTTTTTTATTTCTAGTGCTTTTAATCAACAAATGTCAGTTTGATTAAAGAAATGACCCACACCAGACGGTTATTTCTGTCTATGACTCTCTATGTTTTGCTGGAGTGTGGGGTGGAGGGGGGGGGGGGGGGGGGAGTCACAGGTTGAACATTGGCACATAGAGAGGTCAAAAGTCATTTGAGGTCAAGCGTTAAAGTTTACCTGCAACCTCAGCTACACTACAAACACAAACACATTTTACCTTCACACATGTAAAATATCAATGCAATAATTCTACTCGTATCAAAGGGGGAGGGAGTAGATGCAGTGGAAGCAGGTGAAAGGCAGTAGCATATCATGTAATACCCCTTCTCAAAGTTTATGGGATGTTGCATTCTATGGCAGATATTTCAAAATCAGCTTGCGATAGGCCCTACAATTCTTATAGATGGCAATGGACATTGCGATATTCTAGTTATTTTCACAAGTGGGCGAGACAACATCGCTAATGCCTTGTTTTAACTGAAAAGTCATCCACAAAGTAGATGAGGTTTAGACATTGGTCAGTTAAAAATTTATGTTGTGCCACCACCCATGATAATGTCATTACAGAAATGGTACAATTTGAAACAGGAAAAGAGCTTAAAATGAAAATGCATTGAAGTACTGTACCTAAACAAAATATTGATATTAACATTATTTCTGAACTGTTGGTTCTTACAAAAGTTATTGATTTCGGTCTAAGTAGCAGTTTGGGATGTAATGTGGTGTTTGAATCTTTCCATTTCAGATTTGATAGATCTACTCTTACTGTTGGACAGTTACTGAGAGAGAAGCAAGGAGGCAGAGGTAAATTCAGCTCTTACTGTTGGACAGTTAGTGAGAGGGAAGCAGGGAGGAAGAGGTGAATAGAGCTCTTATTGTTGAACATTTACTGAGAGAGAAGCAAGGAGGCAGAGGTGAATAGAGCTCTTACTCTTGGACAGTTATTTAGAGAGAAGCAAGGAGGCAGAGGTAAATAGAGTTGTTACTGTTGGACAGTTATTGAGAGACGAGCAAGGAGGAAGAGGTGAATAGAGCTCTTACTGTTGGACAGTTACTGACACAGAAGCAAGGAGGCAGAGGTGAATAGAACTCTTACTGTTGGACAGTTAATGAGAGAGAAGCAAGGAGGCAGAGGTAAATAGAGTTGTTACTGTTGGACAGTTATTGAGAGACAAGCAAGGAGGAAGAGGTGAATAGAGCTGTTACTGTTGGACAGTTACTGAGACAGAAGCAAGGAGGCAGAGGTGAATAGAGCTCTTACTGTTGGACAGTTACTGACACAGAAGCAAGGAGGCAGAGGTGAATAGAACTCTTACTGTTGGACAGTTAATGAGAGAGAAGCAAGGAGGCAGAGGTAAATAGAACTCTTATTGTTGGACAGTTACTGACACAGAAGCAAGGAGGCAGAGGTGAATAGAACTCTTACTGTTGGACAGTTAATGAGAGAGAAGGAAGGAGGCAGAGGTAAATAGAGTTGTTACTGTTGGACAGTTATTGAGATGGATATGATATATTTAAGTGTAATTTGGGACTCGGGTTCTGGTTATTTATAGGGAAAGAACCATTAGTAATTACCATAGTAACATTGCTCGATAGCTTATCAAAATCAAGAAATCAATGGTATTTACTATAGTAAACTATAGTAACTATAGTAAACTTCCCGCGGGAAACTGCCAAAAAAAATAAACGGTCAACAGGGTTGTGAACGCAAATGAACACGCTCCATTTGAAATTGCCATGACCGCCACAACAAATTTAACATGTTTAATTTTTGAAGCGGTTCCTGGCAGTATGCACAGATCACTCCGGATTAGGGCTGTAGTATTCCAAAAACGGTTATCCTCCCTCCGAATCCGTTTGGTTTTCGGTTAACCTATACCGAATTGTGAGACATAATTTTAATCTGATATGTATCAATTTGCTTGGATTAAACACCAAAGTGTTTATTTTCTTTAGTGGTACAAGGGTTTTGTAGTACTATCAGCCTAATTTCATTCATTTTCTTTGAAAATGTGATTGAACAATAATGATTTTTTTTTTCAAGGGGGGGTTTTAACATTTATAAATCGGCCCGAAAAATCGCAACGACTCAGCCGACCGCTGAATAAGCGGGGGGGGGGGGGGGGGGGGGGGGGGGGGGGTAAGAGGACACTTTTTTTTTTTTTTTGTGGTCTCAATATTTGAAAATCTGACATTTTGCTCCGTTGGGGGGGGGGGGGGGTAAGGTCACCTTTTTTAGGTCAGCCATGAAAATATTTTTTTTTTTTAATAAAAAAAAAAAAAAAAAAAATCCAAAGGGGGGTGTTTTGGGGGGGATTACGGGGGGGTTTACACATATAAAAATACCAAAGGGGGGGGGGGGGCGGGTGTAACCCCTCAAACACACCCCCCCCCCCTGTGTACGCGCCTGATCTCTGCAAACTATGGTAATTGTATCCCCCGGCAGTATGTCGGTGGGGTACTTTTGATTCAGCAGCGTTACGCCGCCCCGTCATCTTGTGTGCGCTCTAACTGCCACATTTCTTTACAGATATCTTTCAAATTTTGTATGGAGGTGTATCTTGGTATAATCTACACACCTATAACTTTTGGTGATGCTGCCCCCTGTGTTCCGTCTTCTATAGGGTAAAAGGCCATATTTTATTCTTGTGTGCGCTCTAACTGCCACATTTCTTGACTAATTTCTTTCAAATTTTGTATGGAGGTGTATCTTGGTATAATCTACACACCTATAACTTTTGTTGATGCTGCCCCCAGTGTTCGGTCTTCTATAGGGTAAAAAGCCATATTTTATTCTTGTGTGCGCACTAACTGCCACATTTCTTGACAGATTTCTTTCAAATTTTGTATGGAGATGTATCTTGGTATAATCTACACACCTATAACTTTTGGTGGTGCTGCTGCCCTCAGTGTTCCGTCTTCTATAGGTTAAATGGCCATATTCTTTTGGATGGTTTGGGTGTGCTCTATGGGCCTCATTTTTCAAGGGATTTTGTTCAAATTTTTAACAAAGGTGTATCTCGGTAGAATCTACAAGCCTATAGATTTTTGTGATGCTGCCTCCAGTGTTCCGCTTTTATAGGGTCAAAGGTCATACTTTGATAGATGTCTTTGTGGCACTGTAGTTTGCGGTCTAATTGCATCATTACTTAACAGATTTCTTTCAAATTTTGTATGGAGATGTATCTTGGTATAATCTACACACCTATAACTTGTGGTGGTGCTGCCCTCAGTGTTCCGTCTTCTATAGGTTAAATGGCCATATTCTTTTGGATGGTTTGTGTGTGCTCTATGGGCCTCATTTTTCAAGAGATTTTGTTCAAATTTTCAACAAAGGTGTATCTTGGTATAATCTACACATCTACTCTTTTGGGCAATGCTGCCCTCATTTTTCTGTCTTTTATATGGTCAAAGTTTATATATGTCTTTTATGCGCTCTAACTGCCACATTTTTTGACAGATTTCTTTCATATGTATGATGGAGGTGTGTCTGAGTACGATCTACACATCGTTCGTGTTTGGTGATGCTGCCACCTGTGTTCCGTCTGTTATAGGGTCAAAGGTCATAGTTTGGTGGATGTCTTTTGTGCGCTCTAACTGCCACATTTCTTGACAGATTTCTTTCAAATTTTCTACAGAGATGCATTATACTTAATCTACACGTATATTGTTTTGATGATGCTGCTCCTAGTCTTGACAATAGTCTGAGCCACAATTGGCGGTCTCTACGTCATCCTTTTGATTCAGGGAGGGGGGGAGAGGGGATCTTTGTCCCTCCTTCGACCATAAGGATGACACAAAATCGCTGCCACTGCCGGGGGATACATTCGCATTGCGCGTCAATACAGATTGCGATATTTCTAGTTACCATAGTTACAGTGCTTGATAGCTAATAAAAATCAAGAAATCAATGGTATTTACCATAATTTGCAGAGATAGCATTAATTGTAAAGATACGATAGTTTTATGCAATGGGGTCGTGATGGTTGATATGTATGACATACTGAGTTGTTATAATGAGGTTGCACTGTATTATGAAATAATAATAATAATCTGTTTTTTTATATAGCGCTCAATACACCGATCCAACAATGTGCCTAAGCGCTTTACAGATATATTATTACCCCGGTCATCGGATTCAGGCTTACCCGCACACAATGTGTGCACATTTTCGCAACGACTCAGCCAGCCGCTGAATAAGCAGGGGGGGGGGGGGGGGGGGGGGGGGTAAGAGGACACTTGTTTTTTTTTTGTGGTCCCCAAAAAATCCCAACGATTCAGCCAACCGCTGAATAAGCGGGGAGGGGGGGGGTAAGAGGTCACTTTTTTTTTTTTTTTTTGTTCCCCAAAAAACGCAACGACTCAGCCAACCGCTGAATAAGCAAGGGGGGGGGGGGGGTAAGAGGACACTTTTTTTGGGGGGGGGGGGTCTCGAAATTTGAAAATTTGACGTTTGGCTCCGTTGGGGGGGGGGGGGTTACAGCCATGGGAATAATTTTTTTTTTTTTTTTTTTTTTATAATTAAAAAAAAAAACGAAAGGGGGGGGGGGTTTGGGGGGTTTACACACATAAAAATACCAAAGGGGGGGGGGGGGGGTTTAACCCCCCAAACCCCTCCCCCCCCCCCCCCTGTGTAAGCGCCTGAATACGGTGTTAATGCCTAAAGCCCCATTTACACATTGACAATTGAAACGGCAATTTATGGCAGTTTTACATTCCTCCATGGTCAACGAGCAATGCCTAAAGCCCCATTTACACATTGACAATTGAAACGGCAATTTATGGCAGTTTTACATTCCACCATGGTCAACGAGCATTGACTAAAGCCCCATTTACACTTTGACAATTAAAACAGCAATTTATGGCAGTTGTACATTCCGCCATGGTCCACGAGCAATGCGTAAAGCCCCATTTACACATTGACAATTGAAACGGCAATTTATGGCAGTTGTACATTCCGTCATGGTCAACGAACAACGTGTTGACACATTAGTTGGGTTGACACAGTACTTGCTCAACTTAAGAATTAGGTTGAAAACTTAATCATCTACGATTAGGTTGCTAATCATCAATGATTAGTGCCGTATAGATGCACTAAAAAATTAGCAATTTTTAAGTTTAGTTGAAAAATCAGACTCCAAAATTTCTTAGAGTTTACGCTCAATTCACGAGCAGCGGGGGGTCCGCAGTCTATCATTAGGGACCTTTAGATTGAGTGGACGAGAACACGAGGAACGCCGACTGATCATGCGTGTCAACTACTTAACTGCCCATGTTGACTACAATTAGAAATCTTTTAGATTGCACTCGACGATATACATGCATGTAGGAAGTAATACTATGAACATCACGGACAAAGAAAGAAGATAAAATATACAGTTCCTCATTTTACCCTCAACAGAAGAACATCCCTTCACTGCTATTATGTAAAAATGTGTAGAACAGGTGACTATGCATGTGACACCTGTTCTACACATTTTTACATAATAGCAGGGAAGGGATGTTCCTTTGTCTACCTGAGGAACTGTATATTTTATGCGCACGCGGCATACTAGTACCTTGAGCATGTAAAGGCGCTATAAAAATACCAATATGTATGTATGTATGTACTAGATTTAGGAAAATCAAGGTTGACGCATTCTCGATCGCCGACTGAGACGACGTAACGCATGCGCAGTGCCTTGAAATGACGTCACACGTTGCAGTCAAAGCTGTAGACGTGCAAATCTAAAAGTCCCTATTATCCCGTGTGGACGTAATTTAATCAATGAGCTCCACGATTAGCGTGACCTCTCCGTCAACCCTCTGTGCGTCCCTGTAGCTGGGATTATCTCGGCACTTCCGGCCAATGATTGATTGGGAGGGTTGCTTAAAAACTTAATCTTAAACATAAGTTTTCGTGTGGACGCTCATTATTTATGGGGTAAGCTCTTATTGATGATTAGCAATTGTCGATGATTAGGTACTGTTTAAATGTAACTATTGTAGGACATTAGAGGCCTGCTGTTGTGGAGGAACGTGGGACAGATTTATTGCTTTAAAGGTAGGCGTGAATTAGATCTCTAAATTTGAATCTTACAACAACAAAAAACAAAAAAAATGTTATACAATTTTGATAATAGCTAGGTAGCTTCCAAAGAATGAATGGAATCTTGATACATATTTGTACTGCCTTCATGCTATCTGAAAGAAAAGTATCAGGTTGGATAATTAATGTAGGTGACCTTTGGGAAAAATCAATTCTAGCATATTAATTTAGCATGAAAAGTGCATACGGTAAGTAGTGTTTTGTCAAGCCCAGGGCCCCGTTGCATAAAACTATTGTATCTTAACAATTTATGGTATCTGTGCAAACTATGGTTATTACCATAGCAACACTGCTTGATAGCTAATCAAAATCAAGAAATCAATGGTATTTACCATAGTTTGCAGAGATACCATTAATTGTAAAGATACAATAGTTTTATGCAATGGGGCCTTGATGGTCGATATGTATGAAATACTAAATTGTTATAATGAGGTTGGACTGTATTATGAAATGTTTGAGTGACATCAAAGTATGCAAATTAGTTGTTACCAAAGTTGAATTTGTGATGGAATCTAACTTGGTTTTATTCATTTTTTTGTATTGTATATTTTTGTCATGTTTTACTTGTATTTTTCATTTTTTGTTTTGATGACAGGTGCCATCTGCCATTTGGACTTTGACTGAATAAAGTTTTTGGAGTGTAGGTATACCGAGTGTCTGAAACAAAAGTTGACACTTTTGAATATTCTGCCAAATAAAAAATGTGAAACATTTTTGAGAAATTGTCATATGTATGGATGGTTGAAGCTCTCGTCTATCATATGGCAATAACAAATCTAATAATAATTGTTTCTTGGGTAAGCACTGGCCACTTTTGTAAAGGGTATGAAAATTAGGTTGCGCAAGATTTGGCTGAGCGAGAAGTCCCCCAGCATAACAATTGTTAATGGTCTGTTCAATTTATGATTAATTACGATGGATATGGGTTTGGGCTGTGTATGATGTGTCCCACCTCTTGCCCCACCCCACCCAACTACATTTAAAGGAGAATGAAACCCTGATTTTTAGTCTTAGGCCAAAAAAAAAAAATTGTTCGGTTGTCCTCGATTGCTTTTCTAGAGTAGGGGCGGGCGGGCGGATTTTTTTTTTTTTTTTTTTTTTTTTTTTTTAAATTCATTTTTTGTGTGTATTTTTTTTATTTTTATTTTTTTTATTTTTTTTTCTTTGAAATACAGCACCTTTTAAATCTCCATTGTACTACTTATAGCTACTTGCGCCCTCTTTGTAGCAAACAATGCCTAATCGGTGACCATTGGTCCCCATGATCCTCTTTATCTTATATTAACTGAGAGCTGATTTGATGAGATAACCACCTGTCCAGTGACCTTGCAGGGTGGTCTAATCCCTCCTGTAAACTAGTACAGATGGGGTTTAAAATGAGTTTAAGATTTGAATGAACGGCATTTTGACATAGAAAAATAAAAATGGCAAGTTTAATAAATACCTAATTGCGTACTGAAAAGATCAAACTGGCAACGGGACGCATTTTGATCCTTGCAAATGCATAAAATGGTATGTTTGGCATTTAAGATTGCTCCCCCCCCCCCCCCCCCAAAAAAAAAAAAATGAAAAAAAAAAATGAAAAAATGAAAAAAAAGAAAAAAAATTGAATTAAAAAAAAAAAATACGAGCGGCCCGAAAATGACGAGCGGGCGGTCGAGGACAACCAAACAACTTTTTTTTTTTGGCCTTATTGTGTTAATCAAAAGTTAAATAATTATTATTCAGGTACAGAAATTATGCTTGCACAACAACTGCAAGCGAAACCAGAGCCGCATGAAGATCCCCTACTATGCGGTTGTCTGCTTCAACAGGAGGTTCCACTGTACTAAAAAAAAAAAAAAAAATTCATGAGGTCATTTTGCTGGTCTCAACTATTTTTATTTCTTTGGGTTTTTTTGGGGCTAATATAACAAGGTAATTTTTATGGTCCCAAGGGCTTTGTTATAATGAGATTTTACTGTATATCAAAACAAGCGTTGTGTATATCAAAACATTTAAAATGGGCCTAAATTATACTGCCCTACTTTGGCAAAAGGAAGCAAGTGACATACCATCTAAATTTGAGTTATTTATGTTTTTATATCTGCAAATGACAGACACATTTTGTTTCTTTACAAGACATTTCACGACTCACGACAATAAGCCTCTAGCACTCTAAAGCTAGTTGGTGAGTCAAAGAAGAGTTGTGGTATACAACACCTTGTCTGTGTGCGGGCAACTCACGACAATAACCCTAGCACTCTTAAGCTAGTTGGTGAGTCAAAGAAGAGTTGTGGTGGACAGTCAGGGAAAGTCTGTGTACGGGAAACTCACGACAATAAGCCTCTAGCACTCTAAAGCTAGTTGGTGAGACAAAGAAGAGTTGTGGTAGACAGCACCTTGTCTGTGTGCGGGCAACTCACGACAATAAGCCTCTAGCACTCTTAAGCTAGTTGGTGAGTCAAAGAAGAGTTGTGGTAGACAGTCAGGGAAAGTCTGTGTGCGGGCAACTCACGTCCATAAGCTTCTAGCACTCTAAAGCTAGTTGGTGAGTCAAAGAAGAGTTGTGGTAGACAGCACCTTGTCTGTGTGCGGGCAACTCACGACAATAAGCCTCTAGCACTCTTAAGCTAGTTGGTGAGTCAAAGAAGAGTTGTGGTAGACAGTCAGGGAAGTCTGTGTGCGGGCAACTCACGACAATAAGCCTCTAGCATTGTGGTAGACAGCAAAACATTTTACAGCTTTGACAATATTTACGACTTGAACTTTGAACTTTTGTCACTTGCTTCCTTTTGCCAAAGTAGGACAGTATAATCTAATACAATACATATGCTATCAACTTTTTTTCTTGTGTTTCTCTTTGACAGGTACTGGTTGAAGCAGATTTCATTATCATCTCCATCTCATCTCATACCATCTCATCTCATACCATTTCATCTTCACCCACAAAACTCATAATCTTGAGTTTTTGAGAAAAGCACTCATTCAAACCTTCATCTATCATAAAGTCTGTGTGCGGGCAACTCACGACAATAACCCTAGCACTCTTAAGCTTTGGTGAGTCAAAGAAGAGTTGTGGTATACAGCACCTTGTCTGTGTGCGGGCAACTCACGACAATAACCCTAGCACTCTTAAGCTTTGGTGAGTCAAAGAAGAGTTGTGGTAGACAGTCAGGGAAAGTCTGTTTGCGGGCAATTCACGACAATAAGCCTCTAGCACTCTTAAGCTAGGTTGGTGAGTCAAAGAAGAGTTGTGGTAGACAGCAACTTGTCTGTGTGCGGGCAACTCACGACAATAACCCTAGCACTCTTAAGCTTTGGTGAGTCAAAGAAGAGTTGTGGTAGACAGTCAGGAAATTTTACAATTTTGAACATATTGACGAATTTACGAACTTGAACATTTGAATCCTTCATTATCTTACTCTATCTACTCAATCTGAATCTTCATTATCTTACTCTGTCTACTCAATCTGAATCTTTATTATCTTACTCTATCTACTCAATCTGAATCTTCATTATCTTACTCTATCTACTCAATCTGAATCTTCATTATCTTACTCTTTCTACTCAATCTGAATCTTCATTATCTTACTCTATCTACTCAATCTGAATCTTCATTATCTTACTCTGTCTACTCAATCTGAATCTTTATTATCTTACTCTATCTACTCAATCTGAATCTTCATTATCTTACTCTATCTACTCAATCTGAATCTTCATTATCTTACTCTATCTACTCAATCTGAATCTTTATTATCTTACTCTATCTACTCAATCTGAATCTTCATTATCTTACTCTGTCTTACTGAAACTCAATCTTGATCTTACTCTGTCTTTCTGAAATTGAATCTTCAATTTCTGTGTTGTGTTGCTCAAACTGTGTGAAATTGTGTGAAAACTAGAAAATAAGATACGAAACGAGATTTGACAAGAGTGTTAATAAACAATAAAGAGAAGAAAATTTCTTTTTGAGTTGATTTTTAGTGAAAGAAATAAAGCTGACTGGTTGATTGCTTGTTTAAGATATTGGAGAAAATTGTTAGTGTATAGAGAAAAAAAAGTGAATTGATTGAATAACTGAATTGTTAGAAATTGATTGTGAGAGATAGAGATATTTTTGATTGGTTGGTTGATTGAGTGATTTGATAAAAGTGAAATTCGTGAATATTACCTTTAGCATATAAGGTTGAATATAGAAACATAACTTTAAGACCAACAAGAGTGTTAATAAACAATAAATAAAAGAAAATTTCTTTTTTGAGTTGATTTTTAGTGAAAGAAATAAAGTTGACTGGTTGATTGCTTGTTTAAGATATTGGAGAAAATTGTACAGAGAAAAAAAAGTGTATTGATTGAATAACTGAATTGGTAGAAATCGATTGTGAGAGAGATATTTTTGATTGGTTGGTTGATTGAGTGATTTGATAAAAGTAAAATTTGTGAATATTACCTCTAGCATATAAGGTTGAATTTAGAAACATAACTTTAAGACCAACTAAGGCAAAACTAGAACACTTCGTACTAGCAGAGAGAAAGTAGAGGAATTACACGATAAAAATAACAGAACACAGAAATTTATTTTAAAGAGCGCCATCTTGAGGCAAAAACAATACTTCCAAACACATCGTAAACAGAAATTTAGTTACATCGAGGTATTAATTTATTTTGGTCTTTACTGAGACGACGGTTTGAAGAACACATTCTACTTTTGTATTGATATAGGGTTGTATAAAAGTGTTGATTGATAAAGAAAGAAATTTGTGTCTGGATATAGGCTCCTGTAGTGTTCATAGCTTTAGTATTATAAGTAAGCCGATTGCAGAGAGGTTGAGAACGAACATTGTATCGGGATATAAATATAGTTTTATAAATATAAATCGGCTTGATCGATTAGAAAGATAATAAGAAAAATATTTAAATTAGGATATAAAGTGGACTTTTTTTACACAGAGTTTTAATACAGATTGTTGTTAATAGAGCGCCATCACAAGGCAAATTAATATAATAAAGAGAAATTCCGTCACGATCAATACCTTCTAGATTAATATTTAACACAATTGCCGAAGAGCGCCATCTTTTGTTGAAAGCTATATATTTTTCTAGGCATTAATTTTCATTTTTGTTAAAAGGAAATAATTCCAAGAAGGAATACAGTATTGACAAGATATTGCATTGTCTATTATACAAAATACAACATACATTGACCTATAATCCATACATTTAACTTTAAAAAATAAAGAAATCCCCCCAAAAGCAAACACTTTGAACAGCAAATCAAAGACCATTACAAGGCAATTTGAGGTGATCAAGACATTACAGCTCGAATAGAAGGCTTCCTCTAAAGGAGTTTTTATCTTGAAACAAAAACATAATAGTCTGTATATAGTTCAGGCTTTGATATACACTGAATTTCAGTAAAGATTTTGAATTGATATTGACAACAGTGATACTTCAAATTACAATTGTGCATCATAATTTGAATACAGATACACTGTATAAGATAATTTGGAACGGAAAACCTTGTCTTGGCAAAAAAGCAAAAGGGCAGTTGTAATCTTATAGTTCAAAGCTTTGTACGAAATATTTTGTGATGGAGGAATACACTGATACATGTTGTGTTTGTAAGAATTTAATTGGAGAGGATGAGATTACTGTAACTTGCAAGTCATGTACTGGTCCCTATCATGTTACTTGTATGGGTTTTCCATGTAAGGAGACAATCAATGACACAAATGATAGAAGATTGATAGACACTACTGAATTCAAGACAGTTGTTGATGAAATCTTAGATGTACTGTCTACTTGTGCACCGCTGATGAATTCAGAGTTTGATGCATGCTGCATATGTGAAAGTGAGATCGGAAATGACATAAGTTCACTTTGTGAGTTTTGCAATAGTCATTTTCATGTTTCATGTATGCAACTGCCCTGTGAAGACAAACTGAATGATAGGAGATTGATTTGGATTTGTTCTTTGTGTGGAAATAACAACATCGCTCATCGCATGTTTGATCAAGTATGTATCCCTTCTCATTTCAATAGATACGAACTTCTTGGTGATCATGATGAACACTGTTACTTGGATTTGAACCAATCAAGGACCCTATCAAGTACGACCAACAAAAGAAAATGTGGCAGATCAAAGAAGAGGTATGGTAAAAAGGGAAAAAAAAACAATCGATTGAGAGGAACACAACATCATATAACTGACAGGAAAACAAATGAGTCTGATAGACATAATCCTTTGGCTATGGAAAATCCATCCCAAATAGAACACGAAGAGATGCAAAATGAAAAATTTGAGGATGACTGGGTAATTGTGAAATCAAGGAAGACGAAATGGGTGGAGAAACTAAAATCAAGAAAATTGTATCCCAAATCAATAGATGATCATCAAACAGACAGGAAAATCAGAAGAAAATCAGTGAATGGTGTAGTCTTGGAACCAGGTGTGACTTACATTGGCAAAGCAATGAAGACATTCTATGAAAGTCATGAGAAAAAAAATGGAAACCGAAAGAAAAATGTATGTAAGGAAAACAAGAATGTGAAAAGAGAAGATGTCAGTTTGCAGTCTTATGTAGAAACTCTTTTGGCTATATATGCATACAGTGTGCAATCCCCATGTTCAATGAAATTGTACAGTGAGACCTGTGTGCAAATTGAAACGATGCAGACACGATCTTGGGCTGACGTAGCAGGTTATTTGCCATCTCGATCAAGAACAGATTCATGTGTTGATATTCATGCCTGCACTCGTAATCTTTTTGAACAGATCAAGGATTTCCGAATGTACAGAGTTCATGCTGGTGGCAAGAGAAAAGAAGCAAAGAACAAGAAAGGTCGAGCAAGGAACAAGAAAGGTCAGTCTTCCAAAGCCGGGAAAAAAGGCACTGATGGAAATCACTCTTCTGATAAATCAGAGATTAGATTTGACAAAGATGAAGGAATAGAATTAGCAGTAAAGAATGAGAAGCTGGATACAAAGAAATCTATGAATGCAAGTGACCAAGGCCTTGATCCAAATACATGTAAAAATGATGAACACTCAGACCAGCATATTTGCAATATGAAAGACAACAAAGGTTCAGATGGAGTTGTGCAGGACGATTCAAAGAATAATCTGTTGAAATCAAATTTTGATGAAAATAGGGAAATTGAAACAGACGATGATAGTGGCAGTGATGTTCACATACCAGTGAAACGTTCGTGTGCAAGAAATTGTTTAGAATCTGATAGTGATACAGACACAAGTCCTGGATGTGATTTATTCGATAGAAGTGTTTTACCACAACGCAATATGCCTTTGAATGTTAGTGATAGACCAAAAGATATGCCCATAAATGAACCAGTAGACAATGTCTGTGAATCGGTATTGGAAAATGATGATATGATGAAAAATGATTTTTCAGATGTTTCAGATGGTGTACAAGAAGATGCAGTGTTTGACAATGACCTGAAGAATAGAAGCTTTGATACAGTAAAAGATGGTACAGACAATGATACTGATATGTCATTTAATGATCATGCTCATTCAAGGAATCCTTTAGAATCTTCTTCAGATTCAAATATCAAAGATGAAGACATTGAAAAGGCAATAGATGCTAATATGTACACATGTACTGATGAAACAGAAACAGAAGTTGAATTTGTAGCAGATCTTGGATTACGTGATAGACCTGATAAAGATTTCAAATTTGTACCCCTCCAGAATAATGACAAACAGAACATTTGTTCAAAACTGAATATCAGATATATAGGCAAAGGCTGTGATTCAAGGTTAGATAGAAATAGCTCTATTGGAGTTCCTTTACAGAGTAAACAAATTACTGGTGATGGCAATTGTTTCTTTCGTGCAATTTCCTATGTAATTTCTGGAACTGAGCATAATCATGCAATTTTAAGAAATGCCACTGTGAAACATTTATTGCAAACCAAGGACATGTTTAGTAATACATTGAGGCAAGAATATAGAACAGTCAGAGAATATGTTTTGAAACGTAGAATAAAGGAAGACGGAACGTGGGCTACAGACACTGAAATTAGCGCTTTAGCAAATTTAATCGATACTGATATTTATTCATACAATGACCAAGTACCATGTTGGCAATTGTTCTCTGCAAAGAAACCTGGAAGAATAAATATTGTAACATCTGATAAGGGAATTTATATACTGTACACAGGAAATGTTCATTTTAATGTTGTTGAATCTGTAGATTTTGTCAATTTCAATTCATTGGAACAGACAAGAACAACTAAAGAAGATAGAACGTCAAAGAGAACTTTGCCATGTCCATCAATTCAGGCTGATGTTAAAGTAAAGCATGTGTTCAAGAAGTGTAGATCCAAGTCGCAGATAGAGGAAGAAATTGATGAAGTAGTGGATAAGTCTCCTGAAACATTTCAAAACCATGTTGATCCAAAGGGAAAAAAACGTAGGCTCACGTTGGAGACTGGTACGATAAATCACGATGAGAGGAAAGGTACTGCAAATCTTTTTGACATGACATATGAACAGTGTGCAAGTAATCAGTCTGAATCAGTCGTTCACAACGAACGTAACACCAAGGACGAAACCCTTAAAAGTGATCACAAAGACAAATGCACGAGAGTCGATACACAAATAACGCTTGTTGCCCAAGGGACATTCAATCAAGGTGATACAAGATTTGGTGACTTAAGTGGAAAGCAGTGTGTTACCAATTCACTTTCTGCACTGTTGTATAGCAAGGTAAAAAATGTCAATGATTGGAAAAGTACAGATCTAGACAGGATTTTGAATAACGGTAATGAATTATACTGTTACATACGGCGATCCACTTCACTCGACAACCAATACTTATTGATATCTGATCTATTTGAATATTTGGATGCGTACAATGAATTGTTTAACATAGTACGCCGTGAACCAGTCACTGGATTGTTAGATGGAGATGAATTGATATTGGCCCAGTCTCTTTCGATGACATTGAAGCAAGCACTCGAAAAAGAACTCTGTACTGATTCTGATGCATGTTTTGTGACATTTGCTAGAAGTACTTTCATTGTATTATCTGGTCAAGATGGTTTCTTTATATTTGATTCACATTCCAGAAGCAGTCGAGGTTTCCTGAGTTGTAACGGACACAGTGTTGTACTTCGTACTCAAAGCTGGCAAGGTGTGTACAAGCATTGCATGAGGTTAGCAAAATCAATGGGATGCCCCCTGCACACCGAATATGAAGTAACTAGTGTATGTGCTAAAGCAACTTCCGGTAAGAATGAAACCTTGAAAGGCTATCCACAGTTACAGGATTTTGTTTGTAATCCAATTCCTTCGTCAAATACGCACAGTGAAAGTCAGTCTGGAAGCTCTGGATGTTCCATACATTGTGAAAGCTTTGATGAAGTTCAAATATTGGATGAGAGTGTTTCCCCACAAAAGATGATTGATAACCCAAATGTATTTCTCTTCCCTGAAGAAGCAAATGAAACAATCATTCATGATGTACATTATAACGGTCAGCACCCACAAAAGATGATTGATAACCCAAATGTATTTCTCTTCCCTGAAGAAGCAAATGAAACAATCATTCATGATGTACATTATAACGGTCAGGAATTGAAACTGAAGAGTGTGACAATTGGCTTAACCAAATTAAAAGAATCCCAGCTAAATAATAGTTGTCTTCTGAACGGAAATGACTCTATAAATACAGAATATGAAAATGAACAAAAAGGAGATTCCAAAAATTGTACTAAATCCGGGAATGACTCTGATAGATTAAATTTAGTGAACAAAGTTCAGAATTCCAACTCTATCTTAAGCAGAAAACGAAAATGGAGTAACCTCGAAAGCGATGCAAACGTTGATGTCGACCTTGGCAAGGAAATTCGAAAAACCAAATTGCTAAAAATGAATGAGAACGACAGCTTAAGAATTGATGCAAGCGAATGTGCTGATAGTCATGATGAATTAATAGTAATTGGAGAAGTTCATGTTAGAAATGTAGACCATGGAAAGAAAAAACGTAAAAATAGACAAAGTTCTAATCAAAAAAGGAAGCGCATGAGACAGCAAATGAGAGAAAAACGAGCCCTGGCCAAAGATGAAATCATTAAGAAAAAGGAAAAGTGTATTCACAATGCGCAAATGAAAAAAATTAAAATGAAAAATAAATATCAAAATGATTTAACCTACAAAATAGAAAAAATAAATGAAGTAAAAAAAAGGCAAAAAGAAATGTATGAAGAGGATTCAAATTTCAGGAACATACAGCTAAATATGATGAAAACCAAATATCATTTTGATTCACGTTATAAAAAGAAAATTTTGTATGGAAATAAACAAAAATATTTGAGAAATGAAGGATTCAAAGAAAATGTTAAAACAGCTATGAGGATTAAAATGAAAAATAGATATTGGAACGATGAACTATTTAAACGAATGCACAAGAGTAGAATAAGAAGTAAATACCAGCATGATGAACTATTTAAACGAATGCACAAGAGTAGAATAAGAAGTAAATACCAGCATGATGAACTATTTAAACGAATGCACAAGAGTAGAGTAAGAAGTAAATACCAGCATGATGAACTATTTAAACGAATGCATAAAAGCAAATTAAGAAGTAAATATTTGAACAACAAACATTTTAAGAAAAAACAACAAGATATCATGAAAAAACGAATAAAGGAATTATATCGCAACGATGAAAATTTTAAGAAAAAACAACAAGATATCATGAAAAAACGAATAAAGGAATTATATCGCAACGATGAAAATTTTAAGAAAAAACAACAAGATATCATGAAAAAACGAATAAAGGAATTATATCGCAACGATGAAAATTTTAAGGAAAAACAACAAGATATCATGAAAAAACAAATGAAGAAATTATATTGCAACGATCAGCAATTTAAACATACAAAAAAGGCAAATATGAAAACATTGTCCAAAATTAGATATAAAGGCAACGAATTTAAGGAAAAGAAATTGATGAGCTTAAAAATGAAATATAAAAGAATTGAAAAATATAGGCAAAATGTAATAAAACAAAATCGAAAAAGGTCTGTACTTCGAACGGTAAAATTGTCCGAGTTTGATATTGTACTTGAAGAATTTAGAAAGATAATTTCTCATGGCCCAGAATATGTGTGCTGTGTATGCTTAAAACTTCTCTTTGAGAACCAAGTATTGAAATGTAAAAAGAGTAATTATAAAATTCAGACATGCATAAGTGAAGAATATTTGCATGTTTGCAATTCAGAATGCCGGTCAAAATGTTTAATAGGCCAGTCAGCCAGATCGTCACTATGGATATGCTTCACCTGTCATAGAAAATTGCAAGCTGGAAAAGTACCTGCAGAAGCAAATATGAACAATTTACAACTACATGAAGTTCCAAAAGAACTTGCCAATCTGAACAATTTAGAACAGCATTTGATTGCATTGAATATTCCTTTCATGAAGTTAATGGCCTTGCCTAAAGGTGGTCAAAATGGAGTCCATGGCCCAGTCGTGTGCGTGCCTTCAAACACTTATGAAACAGTAGATATGTTGCCAAGACCACAGACTGAAGATCAATTGATCCGTGTTAAACTCAAACGAAAATTGTCGTACAAAAGCTATTATGAGTACAAATTTGTAGATAAATCTAACTTGCTTAATGCTCTGCAGTATTTAAAAGCAAATAATAAGTGGTATTTTGATGTTACAGTAAATGATAAATGGGAAAACTCACTTGAACGAAATGAAAAAGATAATGAAAAGGAAGAAGCAGTGGAAATCGGTGGTAAAGCTCGTTTAGCAAAATATTGGAAGGAAATGGAAGAACAAATTGATTACATTTTGTCCAAAGACAAAAATACTAATGAAAACATGCAAGACAACAGTAAACTACACAAAAAAATAAATGACAAGGACACTGAAGACGATATGGAAGAACGATTACGCGGTATTCAGTTAGACTCGTGTCTCCAGCCAGTAGATATTGGACAGGAAATATTAGATCAGTATTTTGAAGACATAATATGTTGTGCTCCTTGTGAAGGAAGAAGCCCTGTATCAATTCTACAAGATGAAAGCAATGAGGCCAAATGTTTCCCAGTATTATTTCCTAAAGGTCAACCAACATTCCATGATAGAAGAGATGAAAAAATAACATTAGGACGTTATCTCCATAACCGACTGATGCACGTGGACAACAGATTTGCTCAGAATACAGATTACATCTTTTATGCACAATATATTTATGAAATTCAACAGGTTATATCACAAGTTTCTATCGCTTTAAGGCAAAGTCCAAACAAAAAAGATGATTCGTCTTCAATAACTGCCTCAGATTTGAAAGATGCAGAGAAAGTTAAAAAAATACTAAAATCAGACAAGGGCTATAAATTTTTAAAGCAAATTCGTGGAACACCTCCATTCTGGCAAAAGACACAAAAAGATGTTCTCGCAATGGTACGACAGCTTGGAAAGCCGACATGGTTTGCTTCTTTCTCATCTGCCGATATGAGATGGCCAGAATTAATGAATACATTGCTTAGACAAAAAGGAGACACCAGGGAATCGAGTGAATTAGACTATACAGAAAAATGTAATCTTTTAAGATCAAATCCAGTAACAGTTGCCAGAATGTTTGATAAAAGATTTCACACTTTTATGAAGAGAGTTATTTTATCTCCCGCTGCACCGATTGGTAAAGTAGTTGATTCATTTTGGAGAGTAGAGTATCAAGCCCGTGGTTCCCCTCACATTCATGCCTTGTTCTGGGTTCAAAATGCTCCACAGTTGGGTATCGATAAAGATGATGATGTCGTACAATTCGTAGATAAATACATTTCTTGCCAGAAACCGGATGAAAAGGAAGATCAAGAACTACATGAAATAGTGAGCAAGGTCCAACAACACAGTAAGAAACATTCTAAATCTTGCACAAAAACGGGAAAAGCGTGTAGATTTAATTTCCCAAGACCACCATCTGAAAAAACATTCATTGTAACACCTGTTGAAGAGATTCCAGCTAAAGATTGTGGGAAAGTGCAAAATAAGGGAAAGGACAATGATCAAATTAAAGCTTCTAAAAAGATTAAAGATGATGCAGAGAAATTGTTGAAGTCAGTTAAAGATGCATTATCCAATGGAATCGAGTACAACAGTGTAAACCATCTCTTTGAAAAGCTTGGCATTACACAAAATCAATTTGAGAATGCACATAATGAATTAGCATCACAACAAAGTATAATCATCAAAAGAGAAATACAAGATGTATGGGTAAATCAGTTTAATCCAAGTCTACTAAGAAGCTGGAATGCCAACATGGATTTGCAGTTTGTAACAAATGTATTTGCATGCGTGGCTTATATTGTATCCTACATGTCAAAAGCTGAACGAGAAATCGGAATGCTATTGAGTCATACACTATCAGAAATGAAAGAGGGAAATGAAAACGCAAAGGAAAGCATGAAAAAACTTGGCCAGGTGTACATGCAAAATCGTGAAGTGTCTGCTCAAGAAAGCGTCTATCGTGTTTGCAGTCTCAGATTGAAAGAATGTTCTAGGAAAGTGGAATTCATTCCTGTTGGACCCGACCCTGTCAGAATGAGTTTACCATTAAGCGTTATAAAAAGCAGACCAGATAACGATAATGATGATGATGAGAATGTTTGGATGCCTAGCAAGCTCGACAGATACAAAGCTCGACCTAGAAACGCAGAATTCAGTGATATGTGTCTTGCAACGTTTTGTTCTCAGTATAGAATCTTAACTGCATCCCAAAAGCCAAGTACAAGAAGTAAAAATGTCTTTAAATTAGATAACGATCTGGGGTATATTCAGAAGCGTACTCGTACGGGAGATGCAGTTGTAAGATATCCCCGATTCTCACCCATTATCTCACCCGAAAAATATTATTTGAGCATTTTGCAACTCTTTCTGCCATATTTTGAAGATGGACAATTAAAGCCCCCAACATTTGAAACACATGAAGAGTTCTACGAGACAGGTTCTGTGAAAATATGTGGACGTGAATTGGAGAAAGTCTGGTCAATTGTCTGTACTAACCGAAAGAAGTTTGAAATGAACGCCGATGCAATTGATCATGCACAGGAGCATCTTGACAAATTTGGTCCACACGAAGATGCATGGGGTCTTTTATGTCCGGAAAAGGAAGTAGAGCGACTTGAACATCCCAAAGAAAATGTAGATGTCGAAGATTGTGATGGAGATCTTGATATCCCAGATTTAAAGAATGAACCGAAAAAAGATGACTATAGCATCGAACTACGTTCGGTAAAAATTTCCAAACAAGATGGACATTCTTTGATGAGGTCTTTGAATGAGAAGCAACAGAGTGTTTTTTACAAAATACGACAGTGGTGTTTAGATAGAGTAAATGGAAAATCGGTCGAACCGTTTCATATGTTTCTAACTGGAGGTGCTGGCACTGGAAAGAGTCATTTGATCAAATGTCTTTACTATGAAGCAACACGTATACTAGCCCGAATGTTGCCACATCCTGATGATGTCTCAGTATTGAAAATGGCTCCAACCGGAGTAGCTGCATACAATATCAATGGCCATACTATACATAGTATTCTTTCTATTCCAATCAATGCACAAGTACTGTATCAACCGCTGAGTGATGAGAAAATAAGTGTCCTTCGAAATAAGCTGGCTGAATTGCAAATTTTAATCATAGATGAAGTATCAATGGTAGATCAAAAGATGATGTCTTACATTCACGGCCGCCTACGACAAATAAAACAATCACGAGATCAAACTGCTTTTGCTGGTGTTTCAGTTATTGCTGTGGGAGACATGTATCAGTTACCTCCAGTCTTAGGAACTCCTTTATATAAAGACACACTCAATGGTGCATTGTGGAATGCTAATTTCAAGAAAGTAGAACTTGAAGACATTATGAGACAAAAAGACGATACCCAATTCGCTTTTCTCTTAAATAGATTACGTGTAAAACAAGGGGAAGAGATTCTCTGTGATGAAGACCTAGCAATGCTCAAGTCCTGCGAGACTGGTGAAGAATGTGAAAATGCTCTGCATATCTATGCATGTAACAATGAAGTAGATGCTTGGAACAAGAAATTATTGCATACAAAATGTGGAGATGTGATATGCGTAAAAGCACAAGACATGGACAAAGATGTTAAAAAAGGAAATCAAATACGGGAAAAACCTTATACAAAGAAGAAAACCCAGTTGCCTCCTTATCTGTGGATTGCAGTTAATGCTAGAGTGATGCTGCTCAAAAACATTGATGTTAGTAAAGGCCTGACAAATGGATGTTTCGGAAATGTAACAGAAATAATAACGGATCATACAAATTTGAATCCAGTTTGCATCAAAGTTAATTTTGAGAAGGCCGATATTGGTATTCATTCAATCGAAATGTCTCAAGAATCCATTGGTAAGAAATATGTGAGAAAACAATTTCCACTTAAGCTTGCTTATGCTTGCACAATTCATAAAGTACAAGGTTCGACATTAGACAAAGCTGTTGTATCATTAAAAAATGTATTTCAATCTGGACAGGCATATGTTGGGCTTAGTCGCGTTACTTCGTTATCTGGACTTGTGATAGAACATTTCGATCCTAAACGTATATATTGTAATCCAGAAATTAAAGAACGCATTGAGATTATGAAGCCGTTTATCGAGAATGAAACTTCTGAAGATATTCACGATTATAACTTTTCTTTGGTAATGCAAAATGTACAAGGATTAAAACAGCATTTTATCGATTTCAAATCCCAGTGCCAATTTGTGAATGTAGATTGTATTTGCTTGACCGAAACATGGATTAATGATGATGATCTCTGTGACGTTATTTTAGATAACTTTCGATTTTATCATCAGCCACGACATCTTTCATACTGTAATTCTGGAGTTGGAAATGTACTCAAAGAACAATCGCACGGAGGTGTTGCAATGTATATCAAGAATACATATTCAAGTAGATTAGACATATCTGTCGACAACTTAGAGTTTATTGCAATTCTTGTCACCAAACCAGTTTCTGTTGTGATTTCAGTTGTTTATCGACCTCCATCATATAGTATCAAATCATTCTGTGAATCATTAGACAATTTGCTAGATGCATTACACAAAAGAAGCATTAGGTGTATTGTGATGGGAGATTTTAATGAGGATTTGTTTAAAGGTTCTTCACAGGTAAACAAGCTGATGTGTAATAAAGGTTACAAACAGCATGTTGTTAATGGTACTACTGAGAAGGGGACATTGATAGATCATGTGTACAGCAAGGGACTAGATTTATTGGAAACAGAGGTCATCCCTACATATTATAGTTACCATGAAGCTGTTAAGATTGCATTTTGATATTTATTGTAAGGCCAAATAAAAAATAAAACATGTTTAGCGTCCTGTTTTTTTTGAAAAAAAAGAAGGAGGCCCTTTACACCTGGAGTAATTTGGCAATTCTATGACATATCTTTTTGCTTTGAAAATGTTACATTGGGGTTGCATAGACAGAATACTTTTTATGTCAAATGCGTTCATTAATAAGGTTAACACTTTTAAAAAAGAAAAATTCAGTGCTGTTCATATTCCTAATCTTCAAATGATTTTTTTTATTTCACTTCAGATAACTGCTTCAGATGACTGCAAAGCGCAACGTTGCAAAGCTCATTTCTACAACCCTAGTCATCAATGACAGTGCACCACCATATCCCTTTGCTCACCAGTTGAAACAAACTACCGCCCTCGAGTCAGAAGGCTGTCCTCATCATCCAACACACAGCGGTAACATCACCCAAGGACTTCAGCCCTCCGGTGATACCTGGTTCAGCAAAGACTAGGCCTTGGGGAGTGTTTACGGCTCTGTCATCATAACAGCATTGTGGCAGAAGTATGGAACACCAGCATATACAGGGTAAGGAAAGATTGCCAAACTAAAATGTTTGAAAAAGCCTAACCCTACTGTACTGAGTTATTTCAAGCTCCTCCGGATAGATGGTTGACCTCGGCCACTACACTGTTGATTCCCACAAAATTGGCACACCTGGAGTAAATTGGCAATTCTATGACATATCTTTTTGCTTTGAAAATGTTACATTGGGGTTGCATAGACAGAACACTTTTTATGTCAAATGCGTTCATTAATAAGGTTAACACTTTTAAGAAAGAAAAATTGAGTACTGTTCATATTCCTAATCTTCAAATGATTTTTTTAAATTTCACTTCTTGAGATAACTTCTTCAGATGACTGCAAAGCGCAACATTGCAAAGCTCACTTCTACAACCCTAGTCACCAATGACCGTGCACCACCATACCCCTTTGCTCACCAGTTCAAACAAACTACCGCCCTCGAGTCAGAAGGCTGTCCTCATCGTCCAACACACAGCGGTAACATCACCCCAGGACTTCAGCCCTCCGGTGATACCTGGTTCAGCGAAGACTAGGCCTTGGGGAGTGTTTACGGCTTTGTCACCAAAACAGCATTGTGGCAGAAGTATGGAACACCAGCATATACATGTAATGTATCGGGACCTTTACAGGGTAAGGAAAGATTGCCAAACTAAAATGTTTGAAAAAGCCTAACCCTACTGTACAGAGTTATTTCAAGCTCCTCCTGATAGATGGCTGACCACGGCCACTACACTAGTGATTCCCACAAAATTGGCACACCTGGAGTAAATTGGCAATTCTATGACATATCTTTTTGCTTTGAAAATGTTACATTGGGGTTGCATAGACAGAATACTTTTTATGTCAAATGCGTTCATTAATAATGTGAACACTTTCAAAAAAGAAACATTTAGTACTGTTTATATTCCTAATCTTCAAATGATTTTTTTTATTTCACTTCTTGAGATAACTTCTTCAGATGACTGCAAAGCGCAACGTTGCAAAGCTCATTTCTACAACCCTAGTCACCAATGACAGTGCACCACCATACCCCTTTGCTCACCAGTTCAAACAAACTACCGCCCTCGAGTCAGAAGGCTGTCCTCATCGTCCAACACACAGCGGTAACATCACCCCAGGACTTCAGCCCTCCGGTGATACCTGGTTCAGCGAAGACTATGCCTTGGGGAGTGTTTACGGCTCTGTCACCAAAACAGCATTGTGGCAGAAGTATGGAACACCAGCATATACATGTAATGTATCAGGACCTTCACAGGGTAAGGAAAGATTAAACTAAAATGTTTGAAAAAGCCTAACCCTACTGTACAGAGTTATTTCAAGCTCCTCCTGATAGATGGCTGACCTCGGCCACTACACTATTGATTCCCACAAAATTGGCACACCTGGAGTAAATTGACAATTCTATGACATATCTTTTTGCTTTGAAAATGTTACATTAGGGTTGCATAGACAGAATACTTTTTATGTCAAATGCGTTTATTAAGAAGGTGAACACTTTTAAAAAAGAAAAATTCAGTACTGTTCATATTCCTAATCTTCAAATGATTTTTTTTATTTCACTTCATATAACTTCTTCAGATGACTGCAAAGCGCAACATTGCAAAGCTCATTTCTACAACCCTAGTCACCAATGACAGTGCACCACCATATCCCTTTGTTCACCAGTTCAAACAAACTACCGCCCTCGAGTCAGAAGGCTGTCCTCATCATCCAACACACAGCGGTAACATCACCCAAGGACTTCAGCCCTCCGGTGATACCTGGTTCAGCAAAGACTAGGCCTTGGGGAGTGGTTACGGCTCTGTCATAAGAGCATTGTGGCACAAGTAGCCTCGATCTCGACCAAGACATTTTGAATGCCACTCTGTATGGCTCAGCATACTTTTTTTTTCTTTATTCATACTAACGTGTGTTCATGTCCATTTTTCCACCTCTGATTCTTACATTTATTTTCTGATACCATGTTTCTGTGTGATTTTAGTCTTATTTTTACTGGTATGACAATGTAAACATATACCTTTGTTCCACACAAGATATTTTGGGATTTTGTGTGCACTTCCATGTAACTACATGTATTTTTATATGATAGTTTTTGTTTCTGATTGTTCAATTCCTTTTACGCTCTCATTCCTTTATAGTTGTATCTTATTTGAGACAGAGGAAGAGAGAGGGTGAATAGTAGAGAGAGAGGGGGATGCAGAAACAAAGCGCCATTTATGATGTATTTTATTACATTTGTGTTTTAACTTTGCACATACATTGCAAGATTTTGGGATTTAACACGTTTATTTTTCTGTAAGTTTGTAAATCCTTGTATTCACACAGTGTTTTGAGTGATATATTGTAAAGATAGATCTTATGCATGCTCCTTGGGGAAAAGAAGTTATACATGCATGTCACTCTTCTTATCTTGGCATTACCGTAATTCTTATATTGGTTGATGTTGCTGATATATGAAACAGAATCTGATGGATATCATTGATAACAGTTACTGTTTGTCTTCTTTTTAACATCAGGATAACAGATCTTAGTAGTACAGCGAAAGACAATTCACTGTAATTTGTTATATTGTCATATATTACACGATTATGATTTTCAATGGCACATGTTTGTACACTACAATTTTATGTCATTAGAGGTCACATATCCAGTTTGTTTCGTGAATAGTCAATATTGGATTATGATTATAATGTCAGTTTATTTGCAACATTTACCCCATATATAGTGGTATCTTACGATCAACTGTCAATATCTACTGCATTCACTATACATAGCAGTGTCTTGCTTGCTGTAACAAAGAGGTATATAGGGCTGTTAGGGATTATCCATAATGTACATTGTTTTTTAGTTTTTATTGTTATTGTGTTTATCTGAACTTATGTTGTTTATGTACCTGTTTTATATATGTATTCCATTTCTGTTGAATATATATACATGTTAAAATGCCCTTTTCAGAGATTTGTACAATGCTGCTCTTTTCAGTATGTGCTTTTATTTTGGTATATCAAATTTAATTGGATATGCTGTTTTTAAAATTTATTTCTTTTAAAATGTGTTCGAAGATGATAGGTGATTACCATTTGTAACATTGCATTGCGGTTCTTTTTTAGATCGCCAAGGAAATAGCGTGATGTTAAGTTTGGTGCAGAATGTCATTTACATGCATGTAGATAGGTCTATGCAATTTAGCTTTGACTTTGGTTAACAATGAATAGACCTGTTTACTAATGTACTTCATTTTATGTTTCTCTCTATAGTACATGGTAGGGGGTGAAACAAGAATACAAAGGTTAGAAGGAAAAGTTAAAGAAGATTGGGGTTCAATGGCACATGTTTGTACACTACAATTTTATGTCATTAGAGGTCACATATCCAGTTTGTTTTGTGAATAGTCAATATTGGATTATGATTATAATGTCAGTTTATTTGCAACATTTACCCCATATATAGTGGTACCTTACGATCAACTGTCAATATCTACTGCATTCACTATACATAGCAGTGTCTTGCTTGCTGTAACAAAGAGGTATATAGGGCTGTTAGGGATTATCCATAATGTACATTGTTTTTTAGTTTTATTTTTATTGTGTTTATCTGAACTTATATCTCACTTGCTATGTAGGGGGCCTTTCATATAATCAGTAGGTATCTTGTTTATGTACCTGTTTTATATATGTATTCCATTTCTGTTGAATATATATACATGTTAAAATGCCCTTTTTAGAGATTTGTACAATGCTGCTCTTTTCAGTATGTGCTTTTATTTTGGTATATCAAATTTAATTGGATATGCTGTTTTTAAAATTTATTTCTTTTAAAATGTGTTTGAAGATGATAGGTGATTACCATTTGTAATATTGCATTGCGGTTCTTTTTTAGATCGCCAAGGAAATAGCGTGATGTTAAGTTTGGTGCAGAATGTCATTTACATGCATGTAGATAGGTCTATGCAATTTAGCTTTGACTTTGGTTTGATAAGCTTTGTTTAGTGCTTTGAACATGAATTTAACAATGAATAGACCTGTTTACTAATAGACTTTATTTCATGTTTCTCTCTATAGTACATGGTAGGGGTGAAACAAGAATACAAAGGTTAGAAGAAAAAGTTAAAGAAGATTGGGGAACACTGGAAGACATAATAGAGGGAGAACGAGAGTCAGAGGCGGAATAGGGAGAGGGTGAGAGAGTATAACAAAAGAGAAGGGCAGAGATAGATCGAGACATCGCAAGGGAGAAAGAGGGAGGCAAGGAAGGAGTGAGACGAAGGAAGGGAGAGGGTGAAGAGTAGAGAAAGAGAGAGGGGGATGCAGAAACAAAGCAAGAGAGAGGGGCAGAACAAGAGAGGAGAAGGGGAACATAGCAAGAGAGAGGAGAAAGAGAAAGAGATGCAATCGAGGCACTCTACTAGCATAAATAGATTTGAATATTTACTATATAGAGAAAGGGAGAAGTTATATAGACATAGACAATGATGATCATGATGATAATGAACATGAAGGTGATGGTAATGATAATGTTAGATGATGATAATAATAATAATGTTAATGATGATGTTGATGATCATCAGACCATCACGATGATGATGATATTGATGATGATGATCATGAGCGTGATCCTGACATCTGATTGAAAAAAATGAGGGGACATTTAGATAGCATATAGTCTCAGCTACAACATGCTCAAATATATTTTAAAAAACAAGCGGAAATAACGGCGATATTGCTCTCAAAAGACAGGGATGTAGAATCCAGATTTGAGAAAAAGTCATCTCCCATATAGAAAAAGAGAGAAATTTTAACGATATGTAAATGTAAACAATGATCATAATGATGATGATGATGATGATGATCTTGATAGTAATGATTATGATGATGATTATAATGATAATGTTAATGATGATGATGATGATGATGTTGATGATCATGATCATGATCAGACCATGATGATGATCATGATCATGATGATCATCATGATGATCATGAGCGTGATTCTGACATCTGATTGAAAAGATGAGGGGACATTTAGATAGCATAGAGTCTCAGCTACAACATACTCCAAAATCAACAAAAACCAGGCGGAAATAACGGCGATATTGCTCGCAAAAGACAGGAATGTAGAATCCAGATTTGAGAAAAAGTCATCTCCCATGGGGATTACAGGCGAAAAGTAATGGATCAAGTGATAATAGGGTAATAATAAAGTAAATATGGTTGTTTATTACATTATTTGCGATTCTACGTGTAGTAATGTGATATTTGCTATGTATATCCATCAGAAACTTGTCTGTACGAAACAGTGAAATACTGCCCTCTCCGGCAGAATAAAGTAAGCTTAGCAACGAGCATAATGGCGTATACTTCTAGCAGTATTTACTTTCGTATTTATGGACATATAAGATACGACATTTGGCGACGAGGAAGGGATTCTCATTCCAGGACATCACTATGATGTTCCCCCTGCCCCTAACATTCACTCCCGACATCCTGCCCCCTCCAGTCGCCCTTCTCGTACCCGGCGACGGCCTCGATATTTGACAGACTATGTCTCATAGAACTATATTTCGGTTCCTCCCTTTTGACAGTACTCATAGTGTTTTGGTTACATGCATGTTTTGGATGAAATGCCTTCATCTCAGTAGCTAGTTTGACCCCCCCCCCCCCAATGGTTGTTTATGCATTTTGTCATTCTGATGTTTGTCTTTACCGGTAATCTTTTCATACTGCTTCGCATCTACCAGTTCCACTCCATCACACTGATTGATACGGAATGTTTTTTTCCTAAATTCTTTTTTCAAGCAATTTTCAGTTGTGAGTTCAATAATGCAACAGTCTATTTTTTTATATAGAGATACTGTTCGAATGATGATGATTATTTTGATATGTTTGTCATTATTGTTCATTGAAAAGGGAGAGAGGAAGGATGGAAAGAGGATTAATATTTCACGAACAAAACAGATATTGTAAACAAACAAACAAAAAATGATTTAAATGTACGTACATGTATGTATGTCAAATTACTGTACACTGAAAGTACAAACATGATGTGTTTATTAGTAATTTCGTTCAAAAGCATTATTGTTGTATATTGTGTGGTACAATGTATTTTTAACTTGGACTGTTCTTTGCATCATTAGTTTCCAAAAGAAAAAGTACAAGAACAGAAATGATTTATTTTGGTTAATAACATTTATTTTATTGTCATGCTGTGCAAGTACACATATATGCACAACTTTGTTGCAAATGATGTTGAAATGCCAAATGTTGCACAATACTCTATTGTTTCAGTTTGGTGTTATAGCAGACCTCAATAAGGTGTTTTCAAGGTTGTAAGTGTTATGAAAGTTCTATTTGACTTTGTCTAGTATTTTGCAGTTCATGATTTCGACAAGGATTTTGTAATGTCAGGTTTAAGACAGCAGTCCTTTTATTGTTGTGTTTGCATTCAGTTGATCTCAAATATAACTAACCTCGTACGTATAGGATTTTACACAAATACAAGTGCTAACAACTCTCAGAAGAAAATAGCCAAATCACTCATATATATTTTGGTTGTTAGATTTGATCCAAACCGATTCAGCCGATACTGTATGTATTCAACAGGCTTAATGCACCTTCTCCAACATTATAGGAAACTCTATCTCAAAGAAGGGAGAGGTGTAGTAATGTGATATTTGCTATGTCCATCAGAAACTTGTCTGTATGAAACAGTGAAATACTGCCCTCTCCGGCAGAATAAAGTAAGCTTAGCAACGAGCATAGTGGCGTATACTTCTAGCAGTATTACTTTCGTATTTATGGACATATAAGATACGACACTACGTGTTTTAAAATTCAAAGGAGATTGTACAGTGAAAGGTCAAAATGAAAAAAAAGTGAAGAAAAAAATTGTTGGAGACGCCCGGACTCGAACCAGGGACCTCGAGGTCGGAAGTCAAGTGCGTTACCGATATACCAAAACATTTCCCATAGAGATTACACGTAAACGGAAAATGGAATTCTCAAATCCCACTTTGTAAGTGAAATATGAGCATGATCCCGGCATCTGATCGAAAAATAAAGGACACACTTGTGATAGCTTATTTTCTCAGCTACAACATACTCAAAGCTCAGCGTAAACAAAGATAAAACGACGGAGATATTGCTCGCAAAAGACGAGAATGTAGAATCCAGTTTTGAGAAAAAGTCATGTCCCATAGAGAATACACGCAAAATGTGAAAAATTGACATGCCTCCTTTAATCGCAAAAATACGCCATGATGCCATTGTCAAAATGAAATATCATGATGACTACATTTGTAGAGAATATTCTCAGGTAGAACATATCAAAATTTGAAAGAAAATTAATCAATATTTACAGAGATACAATCAATTTTACAAAAATATGCTGACGTCATAATATGCAAATTGAAATTTTGAGTTCGGAGGCCATTATGATGACGTCATGAGTTAAATGAGGGTCAAATGACACATGAAATCATATCTCCAACTCATACTTATTCCAACCATGATATAAAAGTTGGGGTCAATTGACTATCTCAAGAGCTATTTTGATTTTTAAAATGGGATGTTTTTGATCAAATTTGCATTATATTGCCCATAGCAGTACGCGCGGATTTTGAACTTTGACGCGCGCTCACGGCCTTATAAAAGGTCAAGAGTGACTGAAATTAATGTAAATTGTCATTTACGGTAAGAGAAATCTAAATCATGTAAAAAAAAATGAATTTGACCTTTTCCGCGCGTTGTGAGCGCGCGCAACGCGCGCGTTGACACTTACGGACGGAAAATTTTGAAATGCTTAAAATGACCTGATTCGTACTCTCCTTCAATAGTTAAGTAATTTTGAGCATTTTTAAATTTTGACGCGCACGTACGCGCGCGTCGTGACCTTTATGTGACCTTTGATGACATGATCTGTTGACCCTTGACCTGAAATATATGTGATATGAATATGAATGATCTTTGCTGATCCATCATGAAGATATGATGGATAACGTGATTTCACAAAATGGCGCCTGGATGACGTCACGATAAATTGATGACCTTGAAAATGTTCCTGTCACGTCTCATGACAATGACTTATGACTGTGTAAAAATTAAAAGAAATTAACACAACCGATCTTGAGTTAACCGATAAACAAAAAACGGGAAGAAATAAAAATAAATAATAATAATAATAAATAAATAAATAAAGAAAGAAAATTCTGACGAAAACAATAGGTGATCTGTCGAAAACGACAGACCACCTAATCAGTTTCCTAGTGTATCGAGTAATCTCAAGAAGGGATTGGAATTTGGTGAAGTTTGCAAGGAAACTGCACGCATGTTGGTCAATGACTTCCTAACTCTTGAAAGATGAATTTAGAAGTCACAAGAGTTTTTCCACACATTAAACATCTTGGCCCATAGTCACAAAACTTCACAAAGCCTGGTTTTTTAATGTTTATTCATTACAGTAAATCCCGTCTGAAAAAAAGTAGGGGGAAACAAGCAAAAAAGGTGGCCACTTTAAAAAGGTGGCACTTCCAAACAGGTTCCGCTACACACATTGCTTTGTAGGCCTTGTTCCATCGGGCACAATATTGGTGATTTAGTTTGGCTCCATGACCCTACGAACACAAGGAACAAACTTGATCCAAATTGGACAGGACCATTGTCCACCCTATCCGCATCAGTAGATGGACTGATAGCAGGGGGGCATTTCACAAAACTTGTTATCGGTGTCAAATGACAGTTTTTGTTATAAGCTACTGAAATCCTTGCCCCGATTGGTTGTCAACAGATTTATAAATGATTTTTGTCATTTGTCATTGAAAAAAGGCTTTGTGAAACGGGTCCCTGATATCCACAATGAGAGAAGTTAAAAGGTGGTACACCATAACCACCTGAAGCTTTTCAGATCCAGACTTTCTTGACAACTTGACAAGGTATCAAACCAATGAGATATCATGAAATTATATATATATAAACACATGTATATCTTTTTAAAAGCAAAAGAAAATATTGTATTTGGTTTTGA